TTTCAAATTACTGTTCGCTACAAAGCCAACGATGAATGTAAGACCTCAAACGTATGTATTTGTCAAATGACGGTATCAAATAATGATATATGTGAAGTTTTATTTTTAATAGTAGAAATGATGCAACATGTTGAAAAAAAATTATTTTTTATATTGAAAACTACCTCACCATTTATTGTGAATATCTCTTTTAATTAATGTAGATAGTTTTTTATTAGAAAATCTTATGAGTTGATACAAATACTGGAACACTCTCTTTAATTCAATTATAGTTAGTATGATAATCAATTTTTGTTATACAAAATATGATCATAAGTGGATTTTACTAGCTTAAAAAATATTGTAATAAATATATAAGTGGTTTATATTTTATTCTATATAGAAATACAATTGTTCAATATACATATATCTATCTATCTACAAGTAATAAATCAAGTAATCTGTCTACGGATGGAGTGACAATTCAGCATATCCCGGACAACATGTACTAGGATCAATAAAAAAAAATGTTCATGTTAGTTTGAAAATCTGTGTACTTTTTTTTCAGATAAATCAAAATTCCAAAGTTGAGTTTAAGTCACCATATTTGTGATAAATCTTTTTAAAATAATTACTTTGATAAAAAACTGCAGTATATTTTTTTCTATGCACTTGCAATAAAAAACGTTTAATTTATAGACATACTCATAACATTTAATCATTTAAGTAAGAAATTTGTATATATATATACATATATATAGAGGGGGTGAGGGCTTGCCCCCTCCTGCCTCAAATTACATCCAAACTCTAACCTGACACATTTTCAAAATATAAAAAATAAAATATGTCATGACTATGTCCCACTAGCATTTATTTTCTTGATTTTCTCACGCTTATGTCTCTAGCTGTGATTGTTTTGTAGTTGGAGCAATCGAGTTTGCATATATTTGTGATGTTAATCTCTCTAGCATCAAAGTCTCAGTGTACATAGTACTTGTTTGTGGATGCACTAAAGCACAATTCCGGTTTGAAACCAACCATTTTGTTGTGTAGAATTTGAAAGACCTAGATATCTATTTCAACTACAAATATCGGAATACTCCTCTACAAAACAAGGTGGCAAATTTCATCGTTTCTACTTCAATGGTTTGCTTTGTATCCTTGACTTGAATACAACCCTGCAAAGAACGTTGTGCATTGCTTTCCTTGTTATTTATTTGCGTGGGATATGCAAGCTTCCACACAATTTGTGAGTCAAGATGTTGCAAGCTAGAACAATATATATAGAAAAAACTGCAAACTGGCAAAACATGTTGGTAAAGACACTTCAATTCACTCTTTGCAAGCGACTGCTTGAAAGTCATTATCCAACGAGCATTTTTTGATTGAGTTCACATTGGATCGTCAAAAAGCTGATTACAAAAACTTTTGTCAAGACAATGTGATTTCTGGCACATTAAGATCTTGCTTTTTGTGGCCATGACAAATCTAGAAACTTGTTCAATCCTAATTTTTTTTAAACTCTTACTCTTTTTAGTCAGCATTGTGCAAATTATCAACATATTTGCCTCAGTTGTGCACCAAAGAATGCAATGATGATATCTTTAGATATCTAGAAGTATATATATTGAGTATCATGGTTTCATGTGTTCGAGAACATATTGTAAAGCAGATTAGTGACAACTTTTTTTGTTTATTGATTGATGAATCTTTAGACGAATCAACAAAGGAGTAGATGTATTTGATAAGACGGTTTGTCAATAGTTATAAATTATTTTTTGAAAGTTTTTTAATATAATCTATGTTGCCCATACACATTCAGAATTGATGTTGGCCATCATTGTTTTCACTTTGAGCCAAAACGGTTTTTTGCTATCACGTATACGACATCAAGGCTATGATGAAGCATCTAATATGTGTGAGTATATCAACCGTCTAGAAATAATCATTCAAAGAGAAATTTCCTTACTACATGCATTACTTAGCACGCTTATTCTAACTTGCTTTGATGTTAGCAACCAAGAACCACATCAAAGTTTGCTAATTTTTTAATGAGTTGAAGTCATTATGTGTTAAGGTGAATATTTCTTGTAAATGAATGAATCAATTTCAAGAATTGTAGATAATCAGCATATGTGAGTCAATTGTTGGCGGAGAAGCCATAACAGGTCATTGGTAAAATCAAAAGCAGTCACTCCGGCGGCTAGGAGAGACATGATAGAGACCTCATTTCAATTTAATTTTTCGTGTGCTTGATCTATATGACTCAGTTGTCAAAGTCTTTGAAATTAAGGTGAAAAATGCAATTGTGACAAATTTGAGAGCATAAACGTCAAACCTGTTAAAATTAATGTGCTGCTTTGATTTTGTTTGAACGTTACACATCATGAAGTCAGTTTTAAGCAAATCAGCTCTTCTTTTTGAAGCTTTACAGTGCAAGGACGAAGACATCTTCAATGCTATGAACCTTGTTGTTGTCACAATATATGATTTGATTCAAATGCAATCAGAAGAAGGATAGAAGACGATGCATGAAGCATTGAATTTTTTGGCCTTGCAATAAATATCACTATCCTTGATATGAAATAAAGTTATATGCCTATAAGATGCTTTCATTGCAATAACACCATAATCTTTGATCATTATTATCGCATGGAGATACTCTTCAACGTCGTCAATTCGCAACTGAGTAAACTTGATGTCCGTTTTTCTGAATTTTGTTTTGTATTGTTGAAACAGATTGACTATCTATGCATAAATTGCCTTTGTGTTCATGAAAACATCTCAGAGTTAGTTGAGTTGGGTCAAATGTATACACCAGACTCTGAACAATATGACATGGTGATGTTGGAAGAGTAGATTTTTTTATTTTTCTTTTTTGATTTTTCAATTCCGCATAGAGTTGAGTTCAAACAAAATTTTGTCTAGTCGATCTTTCTCCGCTTTAGAGTTCAAGCTGTTTGAATTCAAGAAATCTATTACATATCATCTTGTATTCCGATAAATCATTGTAATCTTAACTTTACATTTCAACACCGTTTCAAAAAACACATGTTCTCAGCATTGACAATTGTGAAAATGTGGTTGAGGAACAAAATGGGCGATGGCTACCTTGCTGATGTTCTCAATTTGTTTCTTGAAAAAGACTTAGCACAAGGAATAACCACTGATCTTATCATCAAAAAAATTTAGATGGTTAGCACTCGACGCCTTCGGCTGGATTAATAAACAAAATTCAGTTTTTTTTAATATTTTGGATTTACTTCTCTCAGTTCTCTCTCATAGATACCAGGAATTTTGGCATTAGTACATTTGAATAACACAATTAGCCATTTAAAAGCCAATATTTTTTTCACTTACAGAAATACTTGGTGGGGAGTCAACTACTAGAAAAGTACTAGTTATGCCATTGTGTGTGTGTATATATATATATAATTTTTCACAAAATTGTTCTTGATTGTAGTGATATTTATGCAAATTTCATTCAAAAAATAAATTATGTGAAAATTCTATTTCTAAATATCAAGATGAATTTAAAAAAATATTTTTTGAAATATAATATCAATCTTGTTAGCACTCGTAAAAATATTTATGTGAATAAGTCATTTTTGAAATATTTTAAGTCTATTAAGAATTTATATTAAATTTTATCGTATCTTCAGATTGTTTAGTAAACTTAAGATTCTACGTTAATTGACGTTTTTGTCTTAAATGTTCCAAATTTTTTTTAAAAAATAAAAATATCTCATGATATGAATACCCAAAAAATCACGAAATATAAAATATTCTTACAGAAGATACATGATAATAAGCCAGCTTATTATCATGTATTTATTCATTTAATTATCATGTATTAGTACTTTTTTGATGTTACTATGACAAATGAAGATTCATTATAAGTTGCTTTTGTTCTTAAAATTTAACATATCTGTTGCAAAGAGTAGCAAGTCTTCACAAGTTTAAATATCTCATCTTTTAATGTTGTGATGTTCATAGTTTGTAATAGATAAATTGATTTGTGTTTTAATTGATATTTGTAATGTGTACATCATCAAGATGTCAATCTCTTAGTAATGATCTTTAACTTCAATAAACTTGCATCGTTTCAGTATTTCAATGTAAATATTTTATAAATGCATTCAATCCAATTCTATGTCATTTGACTAGTTATGGATCTAAGATTTCACACCATTTAATTCATGTCATGGGATAATTAGTGTGATAATATATTTTACTCCTGGATATATGAGTAAAGAATGATTTCAAAATGAGAATTTGGTTATTATAAGTTTATTTTACTTTTCATTTTCCATTTTTGATTCTCACTACATAACTTACAGGCTGATGTCCCTTCTCTCAACAGTAAGAGATGTTCTTAGTATGAAGAGAAGGTACACCAACTTCAACTTTACTATTTACTTTCAGTAAACTTTTAAAGTTCTTGTAATTCAAAGCTGAGATGTACTTTCATTCTTTTCTTTGTTTCTTGTAATATATGTGGGATGAGCAGAGGATAAAAAACGCTTGTGGTATCACTTTCATGACAGGAAGAGACAATAAATATTTATGTTCAACCAAAAATCAATGCTACAATTGACCTTTCCGAGCGATCTATTCTTTCCAGAAATCTGCTCCTCTTGAAACGGAGAAGAATAAAAAATTGTTGTATGATTAGTAACTGAAACTTCAAATTGTCCAATTGGAAGTGTCAGTTACATCAAATGTACTTCCACTTGTAATTAGGTTCCAAACGGTCTTTCCTTGCACCATCAGAAATCATGGATGAGATCGAGAATAAAAGGAAAGCATATGGTGGCAATGGAAAGGTGAAGCTTCGAAAGGGTAAAAAAAGTGTAGAAATTAAGGCCAATTCTGTCTTGTGAAAAGTATTATATATATGAATGTTAATATTCATTCGAATGTGAATTAATGCATGGTGTGCCCACCAGACCGAAGGGTAAGATATAAAACTTGAAATGAATTACAATTAGCGAGATGTAATATAATCCGTCGGTCATGGTCGGAGAGTGAAGTGTTGGGTGGCAAGGCATTTCACGTTCAGCACTGGACAGCGAACTGGAACTGCCGTCGGAGAGACGGCCCGACGGGAGAGGGCCAGAGCCGACGGAAATCCAGGTCATCGTCATCCAGGTCGCATGTGCCGGATAGATATGGGACAGATAACAGCCCGCCCGCTTGCCCGCCCGCGATTCTCTGGCCGTCTCCGAGCGGCAACATCGCGGGCCCGTCATCCGAGCGCATGTTCTAGTGTCGGAGCCAGACCGACGCGGAGCGGGGGGAGGGGGCCGAGCCGCGACAGCGGCAAGAGAACAGGCGGGCGAGGGTCGAAGGGGGCGCTGGGCCGCGGGGGCCACGCACGAGCATGGACGCTTTCGAATCCAGGATTCTGTTTCCAGAAGGGCTTGGGCGCACTAGCGAGAGCGGACAGCGATTTATTGCCGCAAGCGCCTAAAGCTCGAGAGCGAAAACAGTTGTGCCGAGGGCCGAGGGCCGAGGGCCGATCGGGAGTGCGTGTACTGCAGGGTGGCTCTACGGGAAGGAATTCGAGGAAATATGATGTAGAGGGGAGGGGAGGGGGAGGGGTAGAATCTCGGAGGAGGAGAAGAAGAGCAGCTGTACTGAATGTTGTGGTCATTGTCCAGCGGTGCGGGGCTTGATCCATGATGATTCCTGGTTGCTTGGGGGTGGTGGTGGTTCGGGCGTATGTATGTATGTAGGTAAGGCCTCGCCTACTGCTGATTTGCTGTCAGTAATGTCACATCCGTTTGCTGCTTACATAGGCACGCGTGATTTTCTATCTTTCACATGTTTTTGACGGTGTGTGAAAAGTTTCTCTGTTCGAGAATCGCGATGAGGAATCTGGGTGGTGCTTCGTGGGGTAAGGTTTAGAAAACATTCTTCATAAATGAACATAAAACAAATGTTGTTATGGCGCTGAGTTGTTGTTCGATTGGGGGTTAATCTCACCTGTGCTAAGACAAACACACGTGATTCTCTTACACGCCCTTTTGGTTGTCACATGTTTCGAACATTTTGGTCGGGTGCATTATATTATGCGTATGTGTCAATGAGAGTGTATTATCTGTAAAATGCGGTTTTCATTGCTTGTGGTTGGAATGGGGTTGGTTTGCCGTTAAGTAACTTAATGTATTCATTAGTATGCTGTTGTGACTAGCTTCATCTCCCATTCCCAAGCTTGTCGTCTGTGTTACTTACATGTTTCCACGTGCTTTCTTTGCCACGAGAGAGGATCTGCTGACTGTTCCGGGCGTAATAATCTTTTCCGGATGAATTTTTGTCGTAATAATATGGAGTCTACGGTGTTGAGCTGTTTCCCGCTTCACGTGAAACCATAAATTCGTGTTTTTATTTGCTGCTGCGAATAAAACGGCTGCGCGTTAGATCATAAAATCGTTGTTTACGGCTTTTCCAATTAATTCCATACATTCACGTGTTCAGATCGATTGTTGCAGTTTACTCTAGGCTTCATCGATTTCCATTCACGTGTTCGCGAGTGAGATCTGAATGTCTCCCCTCCCCCCAACTTCCCCCACCCCACCCCACCCCATCTCCCCTCCCCGCCTTCCCCGGGCTCGGAAAGTAAAGCAATTAGTCACCTCACAAGATGCGAAATTGATTTAACCTCTCGAGCGTTTGGAGCATTTCCCGGCTCAAATGATTTGATATTATGTATTCTGAGCAAAAGCATGTGGATGAGGTGTGCCTGAGTCTCATTCGCAAAACAATCATTTATTACAGTAAATTTGAAATACTTGTTTCGAATTTTCTCTGTCTTTCTACGCGTATTTCGAGAGGTGGTAGGCTATAGGAACATTCCTGACTTGTATTGAAGTGCAAGCAAGAATATCCTGCGTCACGGAGCTCAATGTCATAAACCGGGACTGCTGAAAGTCAAATGTTTTTCTTGCAAAGAAAAGATTAATTTCTGGAATTTAAAGATTATCTTGCACTTTTTCTGTGGGCGTTTGGCATGAAGGTTAAAGTAATGGTTCATTTTCTAGTGCATCACAGAAATCACAAATTTGGTGTGACGAACATCAAAGCTTTGACGTATTCATTTGCACCTATCGGGGAGGCAGATGTTTAAAATAAACGACACTCTCGAAGGTGGGCACCCAGGTTACACGAGAAAGGAATATTTCACGTCACTGGATTTACATAACTAGTGGGCTGAGTTTCCAGAGTATACTTCCTTCCGAGAAGTTCTGATGCATTTTTCTGCTCATAACTGTCCGAGAATGAATACATTCCCCCAGTTTCTTCTGAGGTGGGCACCCAGGTCGCTCTCTTGGGGAACCATATTGTGTATGAGCAAAGCTTTGGTCTTCCTTGGTTTCTTCCAACCATCCTATTGTCATAATTCGTCCGTCATAGTTCACTCTCTACCTTAGCTGCTCCCCTCTCTCTCTCTACATAAACGAGAATATCCTGCGTCACCTTGCTCGCAGCTGATATCGAGCTCAAGAAGTAGAATAAGATTACCGAGAAAAAGGTTGGAGACAAACTTTCAAGCAGATGGCACCAGTGTCACCATATTCTCTCTTCTCATGCTGTTGTATGTCACTATATGCTCACTGCAAATTTGCTGAGAGCACGGTATCGTAAGAAACCGAATATTTCTAGGCATACACCATAAAGACGATCGGCAGTTGAATTTCATGCTCTCGAATCCCATCGAACCGTTTTAACAATTCCAGTTTCTGTGCGGTGCTGTGTAACTATAACGTCCAGTGTGAGTGCATAGAGAAATATGGAATTGGTGAAGATAGAGTGTGTGTGGAGCTTGTCCACAAGCTCACCAGTTAGTGAATATTCTAACCGCGAACGCGAGCAGTAGAGGCCATTAATAGAGAGATATTTGCAAACAGTTTTTCCTGGTGGAAATACGCTTGAGGGAATTTCCGATGGTGAAGGTCCCCTTGTTTCGTGGATTCGGGGACCGAGGGCGTTCAGACGGGTGGGTTTTGGGGATGAGGGCCTCGAGTGGTGGCCGGAAGCTACTACTCGGATTGGAACCACTGTTTAGCTAGCTCGGAATCACTGCAGGGGTTTAACCGCAAGTCGAAGTCGAGTTAGCAGCGAGAATTGGGTTTGTTACTATGGAGGCAGACGACTGGTTTTTTCACATGTTTGGGACAAGTTGCCAGGAGCTGGTGGCCAGGGGCAGTCATGGGATGGGAGGAAAGCCAAGCGCCAGGCAGGCAGGATGCTGCAGTAAAGAGAAGTAGAATCTATGGATAAATATCTAATGAATTACGATCTTCCATGATTGGGATATATGTTGATCGCAAATAGAAGACAAGAAACAGATCTTATGTTACCTGTTAGTGCTACCAGCCCAATTGGGAGGAAGATCAAAGGGGCTATGGAGGGCAAGGAGGCCAAGTCGTGGGATGGGCTGAGTGTCTGGGCAGCTAGGGAGCTAGGAAGAACATACCCCTCGTTGCGTGTTTGGCTCGGCTTGGAAAATGAACAAGATTCACCGAAGCACAAACAAACAAAAGAATCCACAGAGTGCGAGTCGCTGTTACTGCCGCAGCTACAGCCGTGCTGGTGCTGGTGCTGGTGCTGGTGCTATTACCCTCCGTCTTTTACACTGCTTTGGCACCACCCACTCCATTCCAACCTCCTGCTCGGTTCCTTTCAAGCCTCTGGCTGCCTGACTGTATGTCTTTCTGCTCTCGCCAACAACATCCGAACCACTCATTACGGACTCAGAAACACGACAACCGGAATTGAGGGCAAATCTTCATCTTCTTCTCTGTCCCGCCGAGTAATCCCGGGCCGAAGCGAATCAGGTCCGACCCGCTGACTCTCGCAGACGGAACCCGCGAGCTTTTTTATACTTCGTGCGGGAGAATTCGCGCTCGTTTCCAGCGACCGTTTGGTGCTCGAGGCTGTACATGAAACACGGCTTACCGAGCGCGCGAGACTTACTGATTGCCCAAGCCCCGCCATTGTTTGAGAGAGAGAAGTAGAGAGAGAGAGAGAGAGAGAGAGAGAGGATTGATTGATTGCTCGAAAGGATAAAAGCTGCTTCACGAGTAGAGAGAGAAGGAAGCAAGCCCACCTCACAGGAAGAGAGAAAGAAATGAAAAACGAATCGTCATCATCAAAATCCATCGGCATCGTGACGAGCAACTCTTTGGGGCCCGCCTCTCTCTCTCTCTCTCTCTCTCTCTCTCTCTCTCGCTCAATCTCGACTCTAGTCTCCTCTTTATCGCAAATTGTTCATCGAAACCTCAGTTACAGGAGTGGCAAGCCGCACTCATCAGTGCTCTCGCAGGTCCTTCTCCATCCCCTTCCCCGAGTCCAATTTGGGAAAGAGCCTCCTCCCGCCGGAGAGAGAAGGAGAGAGAGAAATTGTTCGGCCGACGCATCGACGGGAAGTTCGCAGGCGATGCGACCGGCGGCACGTCGGACGGGAGGCCAGAGCATGGGGCCTGACGGGAACGAAAAGGGGGGATGGGGCTGGGGCCGAGACCAGGTTGGAGAACGCCCCAGCGGGTGGGGGCCCGCAGTCGGGGCAAAGGGGCGCTGCGACGGTCCATCCGGGCAGCGCGGAAAGGAGACCGGGGAGTCAAGACAAAAGAGGAAGGGTGGGCCAGGGGCGTCGTGACGTGGGGGGACGAACTGGGCACGACTGGGGGGTGCGAGTGTAGTTGTAGAGCAGTTGCATGTAGAACAAGTGTACACAGGGGGGCGGGGGGGAGGGAAGGGGTATTGGTAACAGGCTGAAAAGGCTGCGCCCGCTGCGGAACAAGCCCCGGGACACCCTGGGCAGCAAGAAGAATTTTCTTGCCCCCCGCTTCCGCACGAAGCAGCAGGAGGCGGTCCCTGTCGTAACCCGAGATGGCCCTTCCGCCGCCGTTATCTAGCAGCCGGCACCAACGGTCTTCGTGGAAAGGTGGGGACCGTGGCCATCCTCTTTAACCGGCGGGAAAAGCTGCGATTTAGGACACGCGTCGTCCTTGCAAGTACCCGCTTGTATACCCACTCGGCGGTCTCTACCGGTGACCTGACCTCGCGGTCTGCTCCGTGCTGACTTCTGCCCGCCCGCTGACGTTCGCCCTCCGTCCCCCTTCTTCCGTCACTGCCCGATCCGCGCGGCCCCACCCGCAGCCACCCCGAACCGGCGCCGGCGAGCCTCCCGTCCAGCCCCGGCCGCGGACCCGGCTTCCCCGCTACTTGGCTCCCCCTCCTCAACTTGGCGACGGCGGCGCCTCGGCCATGCATGTACCCGTAAGGGGCCTCGGGAGAAAAAAAACTCGCCCGGTACCACTGTACCATCGCTACTCCTCGTGTATAATAATCCTCCCGAGAAGCTCTTATGATGCATCATAATGGGACTCACTTTACTCCGGCCTGCCTACAGTCTGGCTACTGTACGCCTCGGCGTACAGGAACAGAGAACTACTGTATCGTAGCTAGCGTTATCGGACGGAAGTACGAGGCCGGCCCCACCGGCCCTCGCCCGCTCACCCGAGTTATGATGCCGTCGATGTTACCGACCGGACGGTTGTCGTCGACAGCCGCGAGTTTGCCGTCGGGGGGCTGGCCCTCCGGCCATCGGACAGCTCCCTCCAACGTCAAATGGCTCGCCCCTCCCCGAAAGGCGCTGGAATATTCCCGCAGTCTGTCGTAACCAGCCTTCGATCGTCCCATCCCGTTCCCTCCCTGGAGCAGCCAGACCTCACCCCTCCCCATCCCCGCCCCCGTCCCCGTCCGCCCGCCGCTCTCTGCCGCTGGTAATCTCTCGTCTCCCCTTCCCTCGGTCGCCCGGTCGCTCGGTCGCTCGGTCGCTCGCTCGCCATGTCCTCCTCTCTGTCCTGTCCTGTCCTGTGCTGCTTTCCTTCTTCTCCGGTACTGCCCGCCCGCCTGCCCCGCCCTGCCCTGCCCCGCCCCAGGAGCAGGAGCGTTCCGGTTCTGGTTTCTGATGCGCGACGCTCCTTTACCTTCGTTTGTCTTTTTGTGCCTTTCTCACTCGGGAGCCCCCGAGTGAGTAAAGTACACCCCCCCCTTCGAACTCAAATTTTACTCCTGAGCTCTCTCTCAGGCTCGTCCTCCTTTGCCTCCTCCGTCACTCTCTCCTCTCTCTCTCTCTCTCTCTCTCTCTCTTTTCTGTCATCATCAGCACAGCAGCGAAGCGGGGGCTCACTGGCTCAGGGAGGGCGAGCGGGCGGGCGGGCGGGGTGGCCGGTTGGTTGGTTGGTTGGATAGACGGACTAAAGTATCTATCTATCTATCTCTCTACTGCCTGCGCCTGCGCTTAATTTGCTCGGCTCTCGCTCGGCCTGGACTCGCCTTCCTTTCCTTTCCTGACTTGCCCTTACCTTGCCTTGCCTTGCCTTGCCTTGCCTTCGCTGCTGCTTTGTGAAACTGCGATCGTCGCCGCTTGAGTCCAGTCCAGTCCTCGCCTCTCCTTCTCTCCTCGCCTCTCCGCATTCATTCATATCCTAGGCCCACTAGATTGCTACGAGACAATTGGGGACCGGAAGCTCGAGACGTAAGACGTGAGATAGCGCACGAGACGAGAGGAAAAGATCGATTGAGCGCGAGCGCAGACGAGGCAAGCCGAAGAAGAAGAAGAAGAAGAAGGAAGAAGAGAGACAGTGCTTGATAGAGTGATAGAAGCCCGCTCGGGACCGAGGCAGGGTCCACGAGGCCGAGGAGCGGTACCATGATACCAGCTCGTCGATGCTCGCAGTTGGGCTCGAAAAGAACCCTCCTCATCCACCAAGGGCCGGGCGCTCAAAAGATGAAAGAGTAGCGCCACTGGGCCCGACTGGATCTCGACCCAGGCCACTGGACGAGAAGAGGTCTTCGCGTAGCTTGCTCGGATACTTGACGGCCTATCTGCACAGGTTGCTCTACCTCCTCGTCCCCGGCCTGGCCTTCCTTCCTTCCTTCCTTCCTTCCTTCCGTGTGCACCTCGTCGCTCGTCTCGCTCGTCTGACCTCCGTCAAGCGACGCACCTCTCGTAGGATCTGAGAAAAAGGCTTCTGTCAGCCACCTTCTGTACATAAGTCGGACCCCCTCCGGGTCCATCTCCTGCGGTCGGACTGCACTCGTCGTGTGGTGTAAAATAAACCTCTCTCTCTCTCGTCCTCTCTCTCGACGCTTAAACCGCTCCCCCGGCGAGTCACGGGTGCGTCTCGTCGACTTCGCGCGCTATCATCGATATCAGAAGCTTGTTTTGGCGCACTCTGAACACTCGCTCGTCTCTGGAGGAAGTCGGCACGAGCGAGTGGCTTATATAGGTTGGATTTGAAGTTCCCCCGCTTGCTGGTTTGTCTGGCAATTGCTCGCTTCGCACTTCCTTCGTTCCTTCATTCAATCTTCGTGAGTTTTCATTGTTGCAGTGCACGTAGACAATTGTGGACTTCTCCACCTCCTCCTCGCTCCTCGGACAAGCTTTTTGCCCGCGGAATGTCACGACTTCCACCTTCCAGCTAGTGTTAGGGTTCTCGAACATATCAAGAGTGTTGAAAGTCAGTACAATCTCCGAGTTTCCCCGTCCAGTATTCAAGACGCCCGGATGTGCCTGGCGAAACCCGACGATCAAAAGACAAACACACTCTTTGCCTCTTTGCAACTTGGCCGGAACTGAGCCAGTCAACTTGCCGTCAGAAGTTGCAATTGCCGCCACGTCTTGCTTCCATAGTTTCTTGAGAAGCCTTGGTCAGCATCATGGAGGAATTACTCCAGTCTTCGAATCCGAAGAAACTGCTACCACCACTGTTTCGACTGCAAACCCACCATTGCAGAAAAAAATGTCAATGAGCAGGTCATTCCGCACTGACTCGATCGTGCTGCTTGAGTCCGAGTCCGCGACTTCGACAGCGTCACCGGCTTTTGAACTTACTCTGATCATGAAATGTGTTTTGTAGATTCCGAAGTGGGCAACTGTCTCTCTGATTGGACGTTGTGACGCTTGTTCTCGATCAACATTTCTTCTGGATAGCATACTGCCAATATTACCACATGAATGTGCATTACCGCAAGCGCATGCATGTGCAGCTCTACGGGGTATGTGATCATGCCTGAAAGCCCTCGCCGATCGTTCACTCTGAGCAAATGGAAGCCTTGGTCAAATTTTTTCCTTCCAGAAGATAGATCTTAAGGACTTGAAGATTCGTGCAGATTGGTAGCACTACACTTGGGTGTAATTGAACATGTGGGAAGGCTTGCTCCGACGACCTCGATGGCTGGACCTCGGAATTGATAAAATTAATGACATGTAGGCTGAGATACATGCGCAAGGCCAATCACCTAACATACCTGGTTGGTGCAATTGTGCAGATCCTGCACATGTAGCCACTTCTTTAGTCAACAGTCGAGTATCAAGATCTGTGAACTATGTCATCGCTTTGCCACTCGACGACTCGACTAGCTAGCTTCATCAGGTAAGCCTGTGTGACCTTCCTGTCCCCGTTGATCAATGCCTGAGTAGTTCGCGGGTAGCATGACCGGCTGGTAAATAGATTCGGAGCCTCGACGCTCCGCTAGCGAGTCCCAGGCCCTTACGAGAGCAAGCATCGCAGGATGTGTTTTCGTCTTCGTTTCGGATGCAGGCTCCCGTGTTTCACGTCTGATATCTTCTCTCAGCAAGGCTTTCCTCGCCATTACGGCGTGGTGCGGGAACAGACATACTCGTGTGGGCTCATCCGAGAAAATAAAATACCGCGGCCATCCTGTCCACGGTTCTCGTGCGATTTAGTCTAGGTTTATTTTTTCTTTTTTCTGGGTACATTGAAACGCAGTACGAAACCATTCAACATGAGCTGAGTTGCTCCAGTGAGAGCCATTACTTTTGCAGTCCCATATTGAGCTCACATTATTGCCGGGTGTGAGAGAATGATGAAGTCCCCGGCTGGCACACGTGCGCGCACTTCGATCGAATGTGGCCATCCTTTCGGAATACAGACGTGCGCTACTCCTGAACTCTTGGAGTAACAATCTCCGTCACTATCTTTAGCTGTTGTGTTGTGCGTGGGGGAAGTATATCTCATTGTTGTACCTGGTCACAGACCCGTAATCGTAGATTGAGCCGCAGCGTCGAAGAAGTAGGCAGGTGCTTGAATTCTAATCTCTAGTTTTCTGTATTTAAACGAGCAATCATAGCCTCAGCTAAATGACTCGATTGAAGAGTGGACATGTCAGCGACAGCCTTTGCATTGCATGCATCCGGCGTGCGTTACGAAATGCATTCCCACCATTAGCCTTGAGGAGATGGCGAAATCCAAGCCAAAGCTTCGCCGCTGCTACTTGACAGACGCTGCCTGTTCTCTATACTCCGTTGTCCCTGGGACTTGAAATTGGAACTTTCGGTAGTATGGGAAGCGTATTAAATGAGTTTAATTTTTCCCTCAACTTCGCTACCCATGAATGCGAAGCAAACTGCTGGGACCTATTTCGTTGCGTGCCCGTCTGCAATCCGCGCGCAACAATTTCGCCGACGCTTGAAGATCTGGTTATAGAACTCAAGCGCAGAGCGCATCAAGCAAGTCGCGAGGCGTACAACGTGGGATTGTTCTTGTGTTCGCACTGTTGATCGTGTCTAGATCTCATGAGTGAGTCTCGTGACTGTTGACATAGAAACACCATGAACGTGCTCGAGTCGGAGCAAAGCTGAGTTCCATCAGCAACTGTAGCAGAAGTTTTCGGGGGGAATGATTGTTTCCTTGGTACCCTAAAGTCATGACCCGAGGCATGGAAGGAAGGAAGGAAGGATGGGTGAATGATGTCCGCGTGAAAGGCCTTTGTTTGTTTATCTGAACAACTGTCATACTTCTTTTCTTTGACTTTTGTATGCTATTTCTGATGCGCTCAGGTCAACCTCCGAAACGAGCACAGTGGCTGCAATCTCTTATATTCAAATTTTTTGTTTGTTGCAGGTGATAGGACATTGGTCATGACAACTCACAAATTGCAGTAGCAAAATCTTCACGCATGCACAGCACTGTGAGTTGGCGGCCAGCGCCCTCTGGATGTATGTCAGGCACTTTGAACGACGTGTTGATGTTCACAAGTAGAAATCGACCGGCAACGTTGGAGATGTCGGAGGACAAAGATGTAGAGGACAAGGATTTGAATCCCATCGAGTGGCAGCTTCTGAGAGATGGTGTTAATGGCACCAACAGTCGACCGAAGCCCAGCGATCCTGACTTCAGATTACCATTTGGCAGTAGTCAAAAACAGCACGTAATGGCCCCAGCAGCACCTCAGTGGGATAGCGCACGGAATTCTATGGATGGTAGAGTTGTTGTAAACTACCTCCGATCGTTCGGACCCGGTCGCTCGGATTCAAGCACCTGCAGTGTCGAAGGACAGGTTAGAGGAATTAGACGCTCCTTAGATGGTCATTTGCTCAGTAGTATGGTGAATAGGGACGAAGTCCCTGATAGGGAGGAAGAATTTGGAACGGAATCGCAGGGACTCTCGAGTCTTATTTTGGGTCAAGGCGTACATAGTTCAGCCCAGCTCTTTGGCTGCGGCTTGGTTGTACAATCCGCTGCTACCAAAGGACAACAGCAGGTTCACAGGGCTCCGCATTTCCGGAACCTTTTCCCTGAGCAATCATCGAGCTTTTCGAGTGTGCTGACCCAGGAGAGCTTGCCCAGCGATGTCAACGAACACATTCATCCCCAGAAAAAGCCAAGAAGGTACGATTTTGTTGAACCTCTTTCTCAGGCGGAGATCGACACGATACGGCTGAACGAGGAGTCCCATTACCGGAATTCATATCCTCCGCGAGGTGCACCGCTCGCAGACTTTATTGATGCCCACCACAGCTATAAGATTCCCGCGGCTTCTTTTTCAACATCTCTGCCTGACAGGCCGACTTTTACCTCCAACATACCATTACAGAATCTTAGCCTTTCTAACTATCAAGTGTCCAGTCCATCGGTGCCACTGAAGTCCTCCTCGAATGATACTTCTTCGGCGAGAACTCCGCTCGTCGACTATAGCTACTCATCAGTCGATACCAAGCTGCAAAACGGAATGAGGAGCGTTGCGCGAGGTGGTCCTTTACTTTCCGGGGGAGGAGGATTCAAACCACTGAATCTCATGGACGGACCGACCCAAGCAGCCGTAAGTCGAGATTATCTGCAATCAGGCTCGATGGGACAGGTCTGCTCCATTCGCCCAACATCCATGGAAACTGGAAGTAGGGCTGCATGGCCTGCAGGTTTCATCAACTTCCCTCCTCCCACTTTGGAAAGTTCTGGATGTGTGATTCCAGGCATGTCCTCAAGGCGAAGCTTGCTCGATCTAGATCACCATCATCACCATCACCATCATCATCACCATGAAATGGCTGCGGAAGAACGAGAGGTAGAGCTCAACCTTTAACTCTTCCAATTTAAGACGTGGCCTTCGTTTTCCGAATTGAATGTAAATTCGATTTTTTCCGTCTACCATGTTCAGGATTGAGTGAACTTTCAGAAAGAGAGGAGAGACTTTAGATAATGCAGTGATTCTGCTTGTAAGCAGTACGTCAAATTATGACCTTTAGAGTTTGTGGGCTTTCACAACGACCGATTCCTTGTGAGGCGAATTAAAAACCATGTGTACGGTCGGAAAACTGCTCACGTTGATATCTAGAATATAATTTCACTTAGATACATGGTTGTGTTCATGTTCGGCTCTGTGAATTGGGCTGAATTCGATAGTTTGGGACATCCCAAGCATGTTCTGAATTTGCAGGTTCAAAGAGTTCATCCAATTTCAGAATCTCAACTACGATTGGTGATACAAAAGCAGCTCACAACTACAGATGTCGGTTCTCTTGGCAGAATTATTTTACCTAAGGTGAGATGCCCGTCTTACATAGGTTTTGAGGGCGGACTCAGAGTCCCTGTTCGTGAGGTATCACTGTTATCACTGGACTCCTCAGTATCTGCTTTCAATTTCAAGTGTAAGACCCGGTTGATGTCAATTGGATAGAGATTTTTACGGCATGGCGTGTATTATTCGGAAGGTATGGCGGAAAGTAGTACACTGCTTTTTGACATAAGCTCTTCAATTGCCTTTGAATGATTTCTGATTGTCATCGAAGAACAAGTATAAAGAAATCAGATGTCTGGGTGGCTGGGGACTATACGTGGCAACTGCCTGCCACTTTTTTTTGTCCGTATGGCAATGCCGTGGCCAATGTCCCAATTTTCTGTGGCTGCATGGTTGGTGAAAGCGTACACAAGGCATTAGTTGTAGATTAACTAGGTTCTTAGGCGTGTACATCAGTACTTGACTGTTCTGAGTAGGTGATGCCGGTAGTTGCTGATTTGATGCGATAGAATACAGCAAGACGTAGTCTACACGATCAACGATAACAATTTTTTATACCTATTGGCTGCCTGCAGAAGGAAGCCGAAACTCATCTTCCTCATCTCCCCGACAAAGAGGGGATTGAAATGTGTCTGTATGATCATGACGTTGATCGTACGTGGATAATGAAATACAGGTGCCTAAATCCTTCTTGTCTTCAATTCGTCATCGCTTTTGCAAGAGGCATGTTGCGTCTGCTATATTCAATGAAACGAGACATTGAGGCAATCATCGTGATCTGTACATGCTTGGACGACAAGAGAAACCAATCATCCACAATCGATGGACTCGGAGTGTTTGCTTCTTCTAAACTTAGCGCCGCAACGGCAATGTTTATGATTGCAGGTTTTGGCCCAACAATAAAAGTCGGATGTATCTGCTTGAAAATACTGGTAAATTTCAAGCCTATTCTTTTGCTATATATCATGTGTCAGATTGAAGTCTATTGTTGTGAAATTGAAATTTGCATAGTAGAAATACGTAACGCGCCACCCTTGGATTTTGAGGCTATCATAGCGTGTACATCGAAAATTGGGCTTGTGGATCGACAATTCGCCAGTTGGTCAACATAGCTTGATTGATAACCACCGGCCTGTCTTTGATTTTGACATTTGCATCCTTTCACCGCAGGGGAATTCGCCAAATATCATGGTCTCCAGCAAGGCGATCTGTTGCTCATTTATCGGCAACTTCCGGCGCGCTATGTAAGCACCGCTTTTACCAGATTCCAATTTTCTTCGTGCGATATGAATCTGAAATGTCTGAACTTAAAGCAGGAATTTCTTATTATCTTCGAATTTCGAGGCTCTGAGATATTCTACAGACGGTGATGAAACTCTTGCTGTAATTAGCCCCTCGCTAAGTGAGTCAGGAAACAAGATTGACGTGAAAGTGGCACAAAGTGATGGAATTTGGGTATGCTAATTTGTGTGTGCTTTTGATGGAAGGCCGATCATCAAAAGTCAACCGACTTGCTTTGTCCTGATTACACCAAATGTGTTGAGGTTAGGTTTGCAAGAGAATGCGACTTCAGTCATGTCGATCCGTAGATTCGAGTCCTTCCTTATAATGGTCGATGGCCCTGGCATCCTGCAGGTTTTGAGAGTCAAGAAAATGGCGCCACCTTTGCGTCTCGTAACCCCTCCGCAGAGCATTTCTGAGTCCGGGGGAGCCGAGGATCTGGTTTCAGGTGCCGCTGAAACAGTATCTTCTCGTGCACTGACCTCCTCAGCATCTTCCAGGACTTTGAACTCCTCCTCAGCAGCAAGCAAGGAGGTTTGTGGAACAGACGTCCCCGCTTTCTCGTATGTGGAGGCAGCCTCCAGCAATCGTGCTCAGCTGCTTGTTGTAGATGGACAGTCTCAGAACTTAGGCAGCTTGAATAAGCATCAAGGAAAGGCATCTTCAGATGATCGCAATCACAACTACATGACGGTGCAGGGACAGAGTACTGCTTCAGACCACGATCCGACGGAGCTGGATGGAGAAAGTGTTTATAACTTGGAAGAGTTTCCGAGCCTGATTGAGGCCGAAGAAATAATTGACATTTTCCCGCTGGATAGTGACAGCAGCGAGGCTCAGCTGAGCCCGGTTGAATCGATTCAAGTCGTGCGAAAGACGCACCATATGAGGGCTGACCTAACTTAAGAGAGGAGCTTGACTCAAGATCGAGCAAGCTCAAAAACATCTCTCATCTTTGGCCAGTGTGGTAATTATTTTCCTTCCCTGTCTTCCCTGCAGGGCCTCTGTATCATAACATCAGCTCGACCCCACCTCCACACAATGTCATAGAGATCTTCTTCGGTGATGTAACACAAGATTGAAGTAACTTCTAGACGCCTACAGGTGAGTGGGGCTCGGCTCCGGACACTTCTGACATGAACAGTTGTCCATGGCCACCCAAGTGAGACCACCTGTTGTTCGAACACTGACCAGTACGAGTATGGTGGAGTCTCAATCACGCAAGTCATCATCATTCTACTAACCGGTACGAGCGACCTCACGATCTGATCTAGCACTCGCCTCCAGGAGCTATAGTTAATGGCATTTCCTGTCCTACTTCACTTTTCTATGAGTTCGGTTACCACATACTATGATGCTGCTGCTGCTGCTGTAGACTTTACCAAGGTCTCGCCGCGACTGTTCCAGTAGTACAGTGGGGCAAGCTTCTCTTCTTTCGGAACTGGATCCGGTCTGGGTGGTTTGGATCAGTCGGCTGTGAGATGACGCTCGAGACTTGATTACACATAAGACTCCTCCTGCCTCCCTTACATTCATCGTAATTTAATCGTTATTTTAAACCTCCTCCTTTTCCTATTTTAGAAGCTAAGCTAAGCTAGCTACACACTACCTACTTAGCTTGAATTCATTTATTGGTTTCAATTTTCATACAGTAAGGTATGTAAGTAGCGAAGGTCGTGACCACAAACTAGACTTACATTCCATTGTAGATTCTTAAGACCTAAGCACACGCCAGCAGAGCTCTTTAGCCGGTGAAGGTGAACTCCGTGCCGACGTGTTGGCACTACTCTGTACTATAGCGGAAATGGAAACAAATTGCAGCAGCTAGACGTTTTAGTTTTATCTAGTTATGGTCTTCCCTGCCCAGACCAGATAAAAACGCCAAAAACTTAAGATGACCATCTCATAGCTGGGCCTCGCACAGATTTGCTGCGCGCTTGGACCAAAGAGTAGCGTAGCTGATTTGGAAATTGGTTGTACAGGAGGATAATTACCTATGACTTCTTATCGTTTGTCGAAATTCATGAAGTGCGTCTCTGCATATCTGGCACTCCTGTGTCTTCTGTTGCCTCTCGGTGGAATGAATGGAAAGGAATGGAATGTGTAGCTCTCTCTCTCTCTCTCTCTCTCTCTCTCTGTGAATGAATGAAGCACATCTGTGAATGAGTGAGGCCGTCCCGGACGTGATCTGTGATTCTTCGTAATCTGGGAGCTGGCTCAGTTTGATCAGAAGGATATATAATGTGGTTGCATTTTGATTGAGTGTTTCGCTACCGGTCAACAGTCTCGGGGAAGTCAGCTGAAAACCTGGGATAACACTTTCACCGCAGCATCTTTGTATGTTGTACCGTACATCTGCCTGGCTGACAGCTGATTGATATACTTGATCAGATGCATCTTACGTGTGCCCTCGTTCACGTCCATGCAAAGTGGTCACGACTCGTTTATTATGGGGCGATCATTCCACCACTGTTCATAAACTAGGAGACTTCAATGCTCGCCTTGTACCCCAAGCTTTCCGTGCGGCCTCGATGCACTGACGCCATGTACCAGTATACGGGCGCTCGCAACGAGAGAGGAGCGCGCGAGAGGCTGAAGCCAGAGGCCGAGTCGGAGAGCAGGAAAATTGCCCAGCGCTAGTGTGTGTGTGTGTGTGTTTTCTTTCGAGGAAATACTCGGCCCTCCATCCCCCCCACCCCCCCCTGCACATTGACCACGCCCTGCCTGCCTGCCTGCCGCAGACGTCCGCATCGTGAGATCCTCTAGATCACCCGTCTCTAAGTTCCCCCCAGCCACCGCCACCACCCCCACCCCCCGGGGGGACTCCGTCCGACGGTCGGCCACGTCAGCAAGCACACGAACGCAATCCAGACCGTAGTCGTCGTCGTCGCAGTGTCTGGCCGGGGATCCAAGTCCGTCCGTCAGCCGCGCGTCGTCGAAACGGACGGAGAGAGTGACGAGTGAGTCCGTGTCCCCACCGAGACAAAGGGTACAGCCACTTCTGAAACCCTGAAGGCCTGCGTCGGCCGATCCTTGCCCGCGCGCGAAGCGAAAAGTGGAGGTCATGATGATGACAGAATTCCATCTGCGGAGGTGTCCGACTCGGTCAAGATCTTTCGGACGAACCAATGGACTGCTGCGCAATTCGTGATCAATTTAGCGATCGATGATCACGTCGGTGTACACAATTGCGACTGATATAGGATCCCGTTCGCATCATAACCAGGGAGGGATCTACGGTACGAGTGCGTCAGTCCTCAGGTCCTTGGCCCTGAACCGAACCGAACCCAGTCAGTTAGTCAGTCAGTTCAGTGATGCCGCTGCTTCTACCCTCTGAGCCTGTCAGTCAGTCAGTCGGTCGGTCAGACCGTCCGTCCGTCCGGCCCTCTGACGGTCTTCATATACGAGCGAGCGTAGCACCTCTGCGACTCTAGCTCTAGCCCCGGCCCCGGGAACTGCTCTGCGCTTCTGCTGCTCTCTCAAGTGAAATCACAGAAGGCATCATGACCAGCACCAGTACCTCCTTTCTAATGCAAACGACATTCTTCTCTTCTTCTTAAGGCGCATGAGTGCAGATAATATCGGACGCATTCCCTCTCTCTCTCTCTCTCTCTCTCTCTCTGGCATGGTGCCATGGACAACCCCAATCTTCTCTCTCTCTCTCGGGACGCTCAAAACCGCTTATTCCCCATTTCCAGTGCAGCTGGACATTACAGTGTTTCGGAAAGGGTGAAGGCGGTTTCTTGGCAAACACGCAGTTACTAAACACGGCGATCGATGACACCCAGTGTTAATCCCCCACCCCGTGTCGTCCCACAACTGCTGGTCTAGACTGGTCTCAAGGCTTAAATCCGCACCGGCGAGGACTAATCTACTACTTAGCTTAGTGTCTATCATTCATACCATGATAAAGGAAAGCACCCCAGGCTTTAATCATGATTACCATGGCGAGTAAGTGAGTCAGGCTCTTAGGCACCCCACCTCCCACCCTTCCCTCTTCTCTGCTGTTGCTCCTTCCTCTTGCCTCCGTCGCTTGCTACCCCATCCTCGGGCGCCGATTGATCGACTGACGGACTGACTGACTGGCTGATTGATTGATTGATTGATTTCTCGGAAAGGCACCAGGAATCGTGTCCCTCGTAAAGAGAATGTTTTCACTTCTCTCGATCCGAACGAAGCTCATCTCTCCTCTAGATCGACATGCGACCGACCGACCGACAGACCGACCCCCTCCCCTCGGTGCGTGCACGAGGAATCTGGCCCTGCTGACCAACCTTCAAGTTTCCTCCTCCAACAGGACACCACATTGTCACAAGGTCTCTGCCCCGCCTCTCGAGTTGGGAGTGTGGATGGCGCCAGAAGCCCCCCCATTCACCCCACCCCACACCTTGGGCCAAGCCTGCTCTCGCTCAACATAGATTCTCATCCATCAGCACGACCGCCCACATTACACCCGAAGCTCCTGTTCATCACCGTTTCCTTTCCCTTCCTTTTCTTCTCCTCTCCTTTCCACTGCTGCTCAGGATGATGATCAACTCATCATCATGATCAACTCCACGATTCCAATCTGCCTTTATCCACTACAGTTTCTATGATACAAGGCTGTTGCAGAACAACTCAATCCACCAGTCATTTCACCTTCTTAAGATGACGCTGCGACCGAGGGAGAAAGAGAGAGGATTGGTTTAAGGTCTGGCCAAATTTGAATCGAGGAATTTAAAATCTTCGTTCACTTCATTCAAGCCGCAAACGAGTCAAATACGAGTCAGGGGTTAGCTTAGGAACAGCCCCATTTTCCATTCATTGCCATCTGCTCCCTACACACGAAACTTGCTCCTTCGTTCATGACACGGAATTCCCGTGGAATGTATGACGCGGGCGGGCATCTTTTAACTGGTGACATGGTTTACTTTCATCAAAGTAGCATCCATGCTAACCTTCACGTCAACCTTCCTTCCATGTCATCCTGTGGGGAGAGAGAGGAGAGAGAAGCCCCGACCTCGGGGCGTCTCCTTCCTTTGGGAAAGGGACAAGCTCATGTGACAAGTGTCGATTGTGACTAGCAACAGAGAAAATGAGCTCTGGACGACGGAGAGATTTGCGCTAGTCGTCGAAGAAGTTACAAGGTTACACAGTCAGGCTGCTCCCGATCTCTGCTTCATGATGCATTTGGCCAAGCTCGGCTGGCATTCCGACGAAATATCTCATGAGGAGGGGTGAGGGGACGAGGAGGAGGACGAGGAGGTTATTGGCAAACCATTGGCCTGAAGTATGGGCGGAAAAATATCTGATGCTAGTCGCTAACGACGATTAGAGTGAGGTCTGCGACAAAGGATCTCGTATGCACTCCATTCTTGACTCCTCAAGTCAACTGCCAGCCAGACCTCAGTCGAGCAGTTCTCCCCATATTCGCCTATTTTGCGCCCATTGTGCCTATTTTTACATCCCCTCACTTGCTTATTCCCCTGCAGTACATCAGCGTACTGCTCGATCCTCTCGACACTTCATTCCTCCTCCTGCGTTCCTGATGCTCGTTCGTTCGTTTGTTTGTTTGCTAGCTAATCTGTTGTTGGCTTGCTCCTCCGTTTCTCAATGCGCTTCCAAATGCATCTACACTCGGTCCGCATGGATGATGACTCGCCGCTAAAGATGCTGACGCCGCTTAAGCTGAGAGCTGCTGAGCCTCATAAGTCTTAGTAGCCGACTGACTCCGTCGAGAACAAATTGGCCAAAGGGTGCTCGTCCTCGTCCTCCTCTTCCTCGTCGACGACCAGCGAACCATCTGTCTGCAGACGTTTGGCCCGGAAGCCGGAACAGCGAAAAGCACCACTTTCTCGTCCCTGCGATTAGTCAATGCACTGTACCCAGTAAGAAGAAGATTAGGATCAGAGAATCAATGTCCGGAATCTGGAAGGGCACGGGACTGATCCTTGCGCAGGGGCGAATTAGCAAATCAGAAACCGGTAGCAGCCACAGGTCATGGACTCTCATGGCATGGCTATGCTGGCGCGAGCTACGCCCCAGTCAAGGGGGACGAGCCACCAACATGTTCCTGAAAACAAGGAAAATGGAATGAAGACGGTCCACGCCTTCGGTGAACCGTCAAAGCAAGGGAGGGGGGGGGGGGGGGGGGGTAATAAACACGTGACTGTTCTGCCACCCCATTTGATTACATTACGCTACATTCCATTCCATTACAGTTAATCATGTCTTGCTCACGCTAATCAATATCCGCCATCATTAACCCCGTGCTTTGAACAGAAGAGGTCACGTCCATCGGTGACCGGTGGTGACCGATCACAAACCGTTGAAGAAGCAGAAGAATGGGTAACGCCGAGCTGGACAGATTCTCCTTCTGTAGGTCCGAGAATAGGACCCTCGGATCTCTGGCTCGCCAACTCTGCGTCCAGAATCTCGGTTCCGAAAGTGGCACCGACGGGAAGACTGAGGCCTGGATGGACGGATGGATGGCCCTGGCCAATGGCGGACTTCCTGTCAGGCGGGCCGGCGGCTTTCACCAAAAGATCGACCATGGGACCCCCGGATCTCGGATTAAACCGCATCGTCTGTGGCTACTCTGCGGCAGACTTCTTGCGCTCATCTTTCCAACTCGAAGTACATCGACGCTGCGAGAATCTCTCCCGTGTCAGATCGTGATCCTATTTTCCCCTACTCTGCTTTATATATATATATATATATATATATATATATCCTTTTCTCCTGGGAAAGGAAGCAGAAGGTGACATTGTGCGAAAGAACTAACACGTCGTTAGACCGGAGTCGGAGTCTCGTGAGGTGTGATGTATCCCATTCTATTTCCATGACGTCCATCCTCCTTGTTTTTTGATGGCCACATTTTACTCAATGTACCTTGTACGGAAATTTGAGAAAATAGATTCATTTTTAGAAGTTCTTATGTTTGACATCCAGATTTTTTCTAAGAAAAGGAAAAAATATTTGCAGATAAGATTTTTGATTGAAAATTTCTTAGAAAACTTTCGATTGGAAAATATGATAATGTATGGAGCACAAAATTGTGCTCCATACATTTGACATACGATCTCTCGTATAATCTTTCTATTCACGAGTTAAGGAGGTTTAATAAAATAATCAACTTTTTTTTGTTGGAACTCAAAAATCATATCTACAATTCTTTTCATTTTTGGTTCAATAATACAATTTCATAATTGAATTGTAATGATATCTTTTGAACTAAAATTTTTAAACCTTGAATAAAAATCATTGGATACATTTTGAAAATAGGAATAAAAAAGCTTCAACAAAATTTTTATAAAACTAGTTGATATAAAATAATCAAAATATTATATTTCTATTTTTTTCTTTAATGAAAAATAACATACCTTTTAAAAGATAATTTTATCATTTATTCATATTTTTTTATATTGATCATAAAGTTGTAAGGACTTCTAAGATTACATTTATTGATTATATAATTAAGTTTGACTTTCATTGAATTTTTTTCATATCTCATGCTAACTATTAAAAAAAATTCAAATATATCGATTTCAATCACAACAAGTATGCTAAAAAATAAATCATAATTTACATTTCAATTTTAAACCACAATAATTTAAAAAGTTCGAATTGATGAATAAGTGCAAGTAGCTGTTCAAATGAGTAAAAATATGATATTTATTAGAAAAATGGTATTCATTCAGAATTCCATTTTCAATATTATAAAAAATGACATGTAATTCATGATGAAGAACTCAGGATATCGATGCAAGATTTGCCTAATAATAACTTGGTTTATAGTCAAGTGTTATTTACCCAATGTAATTTTTAATCAATCTATATAAAATTTCATTCTTGAAAATCAAAAAAGTTATATGATAGAAATTATTTAAAGTTAATTGTTCACAAATTTAATTATTGATTGATTGTAATGATGATTTAAAAGTAGTGAATATCTTAAATTTTTTATAAAGAGATTCATTGCTTTGTACAAAATATACATATCAGTTACATGTCATAATGGATGTAAATAAATGTAATTGAGAAATTTTAGAAAAAATTGATCATAAAAAAATACATTTTGATATCAACATTTTGTCTTCTACGATGATTTTACAATTCTATAGCTTTTTGGTTATTACGAAAAAAATTAAAATTTAACATACTATCAAATATATATATATATACATAGGTGAATAAAATATCTTTAATAGGTATCTTTGTAAAAAAATTCTTACTGATATTTTCAAATATTTGCACTTGATCTGCCCTTGCATACAACTCCTGTTTGTAATAGCCCATGAAAATAATCTATGTCTTTTGTAAAAGTTCCTGCCTTTCCCTCCTCCTTTGTGTAGCCTACAAACGAGAGCAATCAACCAATGATAAGAAAATTACTAATTGGAGAACAATTTGGATTTCATGACATCCACTACCATGTACAGGAGCTACTGTAGATTAATTACTAACGACGCAAGCATGGTGAGTGTGCAGGTTACTTTTGGCGCTGACTGAGCGTTGGACTTCTTTAACCAAAATCTGATCAACACTCTTAATGGAGACCATCACATCTCAAGTTATGTTCAATAATCCGTTCGTACCTTTGAACCCAACGTACAATTACAACTCATGATCTTTACTATTTCCTCGAAAAGGTTCGGCAAATGGGAGACCTGTAGGACTGTAAACAACAAACTACTCCTTGAAACGACAGTCTGTCCCACACTGGAAGGTAGGGCCGTGAGGTAAGGGCAGGACCTCGATCGAGGATTGGCACGGTCATGTGGCAGGACGGAGGACTCTGCAGGGTCCCACAACTGTGTAGACCTTGAACGAGGGAGTAAAACATTGAATGCACGAGATATAATCAAATCCTAAAATTTACTTATCACGATACCGAGTAAATATCTTGCGGTACAGAGCGGTACTGTACAGGAGTAGTTTAACAAAGAAAACGAACTACATATCCTATATTTGATTGGTGAGATCGTGCCAGAAAACAAAAATCTTAAACCGGATGTAGAATTAATCTTGCAAGATTTTTGTATTTTCTCCAAAGACAGCTGCTTGGTTTGATGGACTCTCAGCGTGCACTTTCCCGAACTGCGAGTAGATTGTTGCTCCCAGAATGATATTCAGATAAGGCCTGACCAATGCAATGGTCAAACCACAATTTAAGAAGTACGTCGAACACTTTTATCTGGGGGAGCTGGAGACGTCTCACTAGAGCTACAAGAATATATCGACAATAGAAATCTGTTAAAAAAGGGAGATGGGTATCGCTGAAAGATTATCAACACATTACATAAGGGTAACCTCCGGTATAAAAGGAGGAAAATACACTTTCATTATTGTTTGAAGCTTAAAAAACCTCATCTTACTCATTGTCTCTCTCCTAACGTTTGAGTTATGGAAGTATTATGTTGTGTTTTTAGCAAAGAATTTATACATCTATTGACAAAGATTGGAAAATATCAACTTGAAAGAGTTTAGTGCATTTGTAATCGTACTTCAGTCACATCTTCATTCTTTTGTCAGATTTTTATTGTGCATATTTTGAATTGATATTTACTATATACATATGCATTTGAATGGGTTTTTCTTATCTTAATTATAAACTTATTGTTGAGTTGTATACTCATTGTGGTGAATCACAAGTATGGAGAGGGGGGTTTCTGGACAAAAGAAATTAAATTTTGACAGGAATAAAGATGTTCCTTTTGAAGTTAGTCTCCATTGGATAATGGAGTGCGAGGAGCCATCGTTTCCTTGATCATGTGATCAAGGATACGATGACTACTCGCACAACTTTGTGGTCATATTCAAATTCTAAATGGATGTTGACAAATCTATCTGAAAACTCTTTTTTCTGAAGTATTTACATATTTGAAGGGAATTAGAAATCGTCAGTAGTCAACTTATGTTTCCTTTAAGTTTAAGTTTTAAGAGAAGAAGTACCGAGTTCTTAAATTGATCATCTTGTCACAAAACATACATAGGAGGAAATAAAGACAAGTGAATGCAGAATAATCAAGACTAACAAAATCGTATCAAATGCAAAGTCTCAAACCCGAAAACATCAGTACAAGGACTATTCCCACTTTAAAAAACTATTGTATCTTCACAGTACGATTTACTTATCAATTGAAACATCAAAGGAAACTTGCATTCATCGATAAGTCACTTATTTCCTACAAAAAGATCTGGTTTTCCTTTTTGTATCTGGGATTTGTTGAGACTTTCATTTGGTTAGATACATTTCCAGTTATTATTAGCAAGTTAGCCCATGGTACGTAAGGACAACACGGATCTAGAATACATTGGGCCTATGAAACAAGTATGGATTGTTTTAGATTCTCAGAGGAATACCACATTAAAAGAAAACCGTTGATATTATCCTTTTGACCATGTGAGCAGACCAGCTGGGTTTGATCATGATTACGAACCTTCAAAAGGAGACTTTTTCCGTGGATTTGTGCCTGATGACTGGATTAAGATTTTGAGCAGCGCAAGTTACCGATTGGCTTTTCAGTGGGATAAGGATGAGAAAAAGAAGTGGTCTCATAAAAAATATATCAAAACTTTAGACAAAATGCTTTGTACTCATCGAATGTAACTGGAATTACAGCACTGATCTATTAAGTGTTACCACATGCGGAGTATCTTTTTATCATCATGAAGAAGTTTCATAGTTGGTACAACCAAACTTCGACTTCCAATTTATTTGTAGAACATTCCACATTCATTTCCATCAATCATGTGACATCTTCAAATGCATGTTCCATTCACTTTTGAGGCTACTCCGTCACAAATGGTGTTCATTTCTCTCTGGCAATCTTCCGAACCTACGAGACTTTAGGTTCTAAAGCTTCCAATGTACATTCCTCGCACATTTCATTGATGAACTCACATGACAACCATGATTGCACACTCGCTTGCTTGGTGCGCTGTGCTGGGATCAAATTAATAAAATTCTTTCGAATGTTATTGATAAACAGAATCTGAATCGAAAGCTATCAAATTCGGTACTTTAATTTCGGGTTTCAGATATTGACGAATGAATGGCAGATGGTCGGAAATGCCTCTGTATGGCAGATGGTCATGTTCCTGTACGGAGCATTGCAATGAGTTCTTATCGTCAAAAAGCTCCGAATTAGGAATTCCATTTCTTTCGGCGTTTGGCAAATTTCACTCCGACTCTGAAAAATCAACCGACCGAGTATAAGAGTTCTAACCCTCACCTCCGATTTTGTGAAAATTCCTCGCCGAGTCCAAAGGCGTCCGTCCGAGGATTTCCGAACCGGACCCTTAGCTACTTGAGAATAAAACATATCCCTAAATTCCGCGATCAGAGAAAAACCCCCTGGCCTTCCATATAATACAACAGATGGCATCGAAATTCGATTTGTGGCATCCCGTTGCTCCGGATTAAAGCATCGCTGGCGATGGAAAATATTAACATGGTTCATTTAGTCAATCTCCTCGGCTGCAGTACAGGACCGGGAGATAGAAGGACGGACGGACGGACGGAGGGCTCTGGTTCTCCCTCTGGCTCTGAAGAAGTTCGTGTCGTCCGGCGAATTTCTTTCGATTATCGATTATCGATTATCGATTTTCAACGTTTCTCTGAGGAGCTTAAAACCTTTTCTTCGGGAAGAAAGTGTGGTCGTCGTCGTGCATCAGAATCAACAACAATACCCAAGTTCAAAATTCGAAATCAAAATTCAAAACGGGCTGGGCTGAATCAAGAAGCGGTCGCTCAGCAGCGGCGGCGGTACAGAAGCGAAGCGAGCAGCCAGAAGTCTCGAAGGCTCTTTTTGGCGCGGCCCCTCTCTCTCTCTCTCACTGCCTGCGTGCGTGCGAGTGCGTCCGTGGCGCGACCGGTCGGTTCGGTAGGTCGAGGCCTTCGGTATCAGATGAGCTTGTCCGCTCTCGGAATCGATTCATCGAGAATCGGTTCCGCTTTGTGGTCGACAAAGCGGATGTTGTGAGGAGGCTTTAGGATGCACCGACAGCGTTCCCCGAGTTTTCCCTCGAGCAGACGTCAATCCTGTAGTACGTGGAGGAGCAAGAACATGAAGCTTCTAGAGCAGCCTTTCTGTCATGCACAATCGAATCAAAGCCGCCGTTTTTCTGAAGTGGTCTTTAATCCACTCTCAGTTCGTTTCTCGAAGAATCGGATCGAACTCGTTTGGCTATACGATGTTGGTTTCGATGGGCATGGCAGGAAAAAGTCGAGCCCGGATTTCCTTGAGGATCAAGGCTGAGGATCCGATTGGTATTAGGATGAGAGCAGACAAGTTGGTGGCATCGATGAAGGGAAACCCCTTCTGTGGTCCTTTGCTTGGAAATTGGCTTCATCATTTCAACTTCAGTAAATGTGTTTCTTGGTAGAGTGTTGTGTAGATATCAATTGATTAAAGGAAGGTGATCATGAATCAGTCACTTTAGGAAACAAAAAATAAATGAAAAGCAGTGATTGACTTGTGAGTAGTTATCATACATGAAAAAACTGAACTTCTTTTCCTAGCGGTGCGTTGTCGCTTTCTTGGTGGGTACGTTGCCTAGTCAAACAATGGACATTTGTGTCGGTTAGAGCCATTAATTTCTCCTCACAAAGCTAAAAAGCGGGAAGCAACATTGTTGGCTTCTCGAACCACATGGAAATGCGTTCCTTTTTCAGGTTTTATATATGCTTGTAATCAGAGTGAGTTTGAGTTGTCTTGGGAGTTCTTAGCATTTGGAACTTCCTGAAAGTTGCTTTTGAAAAGTGAGACCTTCAATGTTGATTAACAACTTCAAGCTGATGTGGTGTTGTTCATTTACGTTGGAGCCAAGTTCCAACTACTTCATTGACTCCTGCGCCACTCGAAATGAATAGCATCGTCTCAACTTTGAGTGATATGTCTCCTGTGGGACCTGAAAAATACTTCGCCCCTTTCGTGTAGATTAATGAATTCTCTGCGTGTTACAGGTCCCTAACCAGGTATAAGGAAGAATTCGCATTCGCGGTTTTGACTCCGAGCGACGGATATAAAACAACTGTGATTAAAGATCAACCTTCGTCAATGGAGTCAGACCCGACAGTTTTGATATCACCTCGTGACGCTCAATGCGTCTGTGATTCAGTTTTCTTGGACAAATACCTGTATTTACGTGCATGACGGAGCTGAACTCGATGCATGTGTTAGTGCCAATTAAAGGTCTGCTGCCAAAAGGGAGAGCTGTACATCCGATACCTTGAAGGTGGTCGTCCACATCTGCTACAGGGTTTGTTTACCCTGCAGGGCCTAGGATAACTTAAGCTTACCTCTTTAGAAAGAATGTCAGACATATTGGGAAAATGATCACTAAAAAGCGTTGTTATACGGCTTCGAAGTTTGTGGCATCGGACGTCCACATTCTTCTAATTTGAACTGGAAACTTATGTGTTGGAAAAGCTGCAAGGTTATGACACGCTAGAAGTCCTCTGTTAAAAGAGCCGGGAATGTTTGTAATCTTTTGTGCAGGCACATCATGATGATTCTTTCTGTAATTTCCTCCCTAGGGTGGAATGTCAATCATACTTTATACGTTATCAATATGCAGTAGGCGTCGTCCGCAATAGTTAGTCGTGCAAATGTTTACATTGGGGGCATGGATAGGCTAGCTAGTTGGAAAATTTGTAGATTTCACAGACCTACTCCTGTGTGCTTCTCGTTCAGAGAAGCACACAGGATTTTTAACGTCACTCATTTTCCTAGATTTTCGTTCGAAGATGATTCTTCTAATCTATTGCTTAGCACCGATAGGCTCACCCAGACTAGTACTATCAACCTCTTAGGGACATTTCCTCAAGCGTCCAAGTACATGCAGTTTCCATCGGGAAACGACTCATGAGCCGTTTGTTCATGAATCTACCCGCCCGTTTAAAGCTTATTGCATGATAGGAACCTTCAATGCCATTAGTTTCTGTTCTACCCGAATCCTAGTAAAGAAATGTTGGCGTGTAATTTCGTTAGTAGAAGCTTAGGAGCAAAACGATTTTCAAGAACCATGACTCTTCCAGTTTTACTGAGTTTACGCAAGTCAGATGTTTGCAACAATGAGTTGGGACTGAAACGTGGGACTACCATTCCACTCGTAGACCTCTTGCTTGCCTCTGCCATCGCCACTGTTCTGCAATGGTCTCGCTCACATATAAACGAACACAAAAGTGTTTGCAGTGTGTTGTTGTTCGTGATACCAATTCAGTCTTCTGCATAGAGGACTAAGTTGACTTGGACTTTAGTCGTCGATAGTATGCATTAGAATGTACTCGCTGGTTATTATCTCTGATTCTCCCTCCCAAAGAATATTTTACAAAAGTGTCTATAACGTGAGGCTTCTTCGGACAATTGGTCATGTCGTTGAACATCACTGCATGGAATAGTTGCTAATTTTTTTCTTTTTGTTTTCAGACTTCACTCATTGGAATTATCCACGTACAACGAGCAGAAGTTGTTGGGGCTCCAGGTACTTCTGGTGACCATAATGTTTGCTTTACATCTTCCTGCCTTCTTCGACATGGACGTTGGAATTATTCAGGTCATATATGTAATCTGCACAATGCACCTGCTAGAGTGACACCTGCTCCTGCATAATGCATTAATGTTCCTATTGGGTCATAACGCTTGAACATGTTCATCCGCGTCGGCCTAGAGAATGTGCATTAAACACCTAGACGATTGACCAGGCCCAGGCCCTCCTTCTGGAAATATAAGAGTAGGGGAATGATGTCTCACAACTTCTATCTTAGAAAATGAAATCCAAAGGCCAGGAAACATATTGTTTGAAGTTTTTTAGTTCTTCGTGGATGAGTACATGAAAGCCCGGGGAGAAAAAGTGCAAGTGGAAGGTGGTCACATGCTCTCTCATTGTCGTTCAGTGTAGCTAGAATCGCCGGACTCGCCCTGCAAGGCGACCGTCGACGACGTACATCAGTATCCGATCCGGCGGGTGATGTGATAAACTCGATGTTAGGGATTCGGCCGGAGGCCGGAGTCATGCGGCTCGTGATAATGCAGAAGAAAAAGGCAATGGGTTGGCATTGTGCAGGAGGAGGAGCAGCAGGAGCAGTTCCATGGGCCAATAAGTCCCGTGGCACATGAAAGCGTCCTGGAGCGAAGATCTCACTGACAGAATCGGGCCACTCATCTTCAAGCAGACAACGGCTTCTTTTAGAGGTCATGTATATCTTTCCCTTTCAGTGGTATTTTTGTTTCGTACGACAATCCCCACGTACTGCTTGCTTCTCACGAAAAGATGACTCTTAGACTACTACAGGAACAAATATATCTCTGATTCTCTGAGTAGACTACTGTACCGCGGTGGCAGGTCTTCCGCTTTTACAGATTAACAGTTTCTTTGCAGGCAGGTTGTACAGGAAGCAAGCTCCTCTAAAGGTGGTATGTACCAGCCCAGCCCAGCCGGGCCAGGCCAATATGTCAAGCGTAAGCAAGTACGAAGCAACTCCCTTCGCTGTTCGCAGGTCAGGCAGCGAGGCGGTCAAGACGAGCCATGCATGCCTTCCTTGCGACCTGCGGTGGAATTTGAATATGGCGTGGGGTGAGGGAGAAGGACTCAGCAATTTCCCTTTTCCTCTCCGAACCCATGCATGTCTCGAGCCTGAGGTCGAATACGAAGAATGCATGCCTGGGCCTTGAGGGCCTTGAGGGCGGCCCGGGCTGTACACAGTGCAGTTCGGCCATACTGCGCTGGGCATTTATGGTGGCAGGAAACAGAAACTGCGTATGTGCACAGGGCGACCATCGATCGCACTTTTGTTTCTCTGGGGGGCAGAGAGCAGACAGACAGTGATGATCGAGACCCGTGATGTGCATTCCATACAACGCCAACAACAACAGTGCATGTAGGTTTTCGAGCCTGCGAGCCTGCCCGCCCTCAGAGCAGGGACGAGCATAGATTATCTTTCAGTGAATCATAGGCTCGCCATCATTTGCAATACATGTGAGTGAGTGAGCGAGCGAGGAGGGTTTCGTGTGGCCTTACACGATGACTGTACCGCGTCGGGTTAGACCACTGTATACTGTATTGAGGACAAGTTCGACCTTTTCTACTCCGAGATTCTGGAGGAGTCGCCATGTGCGAAACTTGAAGAGTCACTGACAAGAATGTTTTCTTCAAATTCTCCAAATTCTCACGTTTCTGACCTCGTAAATCTCAAACATTTCAGCCCCTTTCCAAATCCCCGCAGCTGGACACCGAAATGCGAAAGGCTTCGACACCACCGCCCCGCACTGCCGTGCGCTCCGATCCCGAACCCGCAAGATTCAACCGGATCCCCAGTTACAGCATACCACTGTCGCTACCGACCGACCGACCGACCGACGTCGAGACGACGACAAGGCATCTCTAACCTGTTTCTCGCAGAATTAATTCGCAAAATCTCTCCGCCATTGACTTTATCGATAAAGCCTTCCTTGGGGTTCAACAAAAGCGAACCTGGCTGGCGCTGGCCACTTTGAATGCCCTGCACTAGTGGTCATACATGATAGAATCCCTTCCCCGGTCCTGCTGTAGGTCCCGGCGTTTTTGTAATCGAGAGAGTGAGTTATTATTAATTATGCGGTTTTGCAGAAGACATTGAGACAGACGGATTACGGCAAGGACCAGAGGGGACCAGAGAAGAGAAGAAAGAGAGAAACAAACAATTAGCTGCCTGAGGAATAGGCTTCAGGCTGGCTCGCTGGCAGCTGCCGCTGCTGCTGTTCACGTTTTACGAAGACCCGAGGAAGCAATAGAAGCAGAAGGAGCATGTTCTCTGCACATCTCCAGTCACAGCGAGCGAGCCATCAAATCGCATCAAAGGTAACCACGGTCGGGTCCGACGACCCTTCCTTCGTTCCTTCCTTGCGTCCGTCCGTCCGTCCTGCTGCGCCCGTGGAGGTCCTAGTTGAGGTGCGCGTTCCTGGAGTAAGAAGAGCCTGGACATGTCCCGCTGCCCACTTCGTTCATGTCATGTCAGGCCATGCACAAATGATTACAAATGCGTGACCAAATCGCAAGTCAAGTCCAGTCAAGTCCAGTCCAGTCCAGTCAAGTCGGGACTCCCCGTTCGGCTCCCGCTCGGGCCCGGGCTCGGGCTCGGGCTTAAGCTCGGCCTTGGGCTGGGCTGGGCTCGGTAGTCGCGACTCCTCGGACAGTACAGTACAATACAGACTACGGCAATTACTCTACTGCCGCCGTGGGTCAAGTCAAGGCCCGAGCTTCGTCCCGTCGTCTGCGAGATAAATAAATTAAAAGGAATATGGATTTTGAATCAGGGCACCGTTAAACTTGCCAGCCGGCCAGCCAGCCACACACGACGACGGAGAAGGCCGCAGGCAGGCAGGCAGGCAGGGGAGTCAGGCGGCCGGCCGCGGGGCTCAGGCAAGGCAGACACAAGCACGTGAGTCAAAGGGCCGAACGGATGGAACGCTCCGATGCGTCACATGTCTGGAATCCATCCGCCAGAATCTCGACCCGATCTCGCCTTTGCCTCTTTGCGCCTTTTCTCTGTACTGTACTATAGATCTATCGCAGCGTACTGTACAATTATATGCCAGTTGGATACGTACGCAGGAGGCTGCCTGCCTGCTTACATGCCTCGCGCTCTCGAGGCTCCGATGGCTCTGTTTCCCGATCGTTCAACGACGGCACGGGACGGGACGGGCCGGGCAGCAGCAGCGAGTCGTCGGCCAGGCAGGTCACTTGTCTCCGGTACGGAGAGGATGTAATTCATCGGACAAAGTGGTGACCGCTGGTGATCTGTCTGGTCACATGGCGAGGCGACGCGAGAGAGGCGATGGCTGGCGGCGGGTCCGTTATGCGCCTGCATGTAGCTCAGGCACGCACTCCATTGGCGGGCAAGGCGGTACGAGGCACCGCAGGCAGGCAAGGGCGCAGGCCGGGATGCAGACTTGCGCATAGGCTCGGATGTAACGGGGAGGAAGCTCACGGGCAGGGCAGCGTAGGCCGAGGCTCGCCGTAGACAGACAGCCTGATAGGCCAGACAGGCTCAGGCTCAGGCACAGACACAGAAGATATCAAACAACCGGATTTGGTCCACGACGTAGGTGTCATTAACCAGCTCATCCAGTCAACAAGTCAGAACACGAACTGAACCACTGCCGCGTACTGCCGTGCAGGGAAGGGGGGGCAGACGGGGGGCAGACGGGCAGGGCCTTTTCAGCAGCCCGAGTGGGGCCGGAGCCACCGTCGCGTCGCGGTTGTTTCCGCTAGTCCCCAGGATGGCACGGGCGTCCCTCCGGTGGCGTTGTGGTGGGGGGGGGGGGGGAAGATCTGAGGCGGATCATGGGGGCGCTCCCTCGCTCCCTCGCTCCGTCACGTCGCTAGGAAAACGGGCGCGCTTTCAGAGCGACCGGCTCGCGGCCGTACTGCGAATCATCATTCTAAACTCGGCCCATTAGCCCAATGAGAGCCGTGTTTAGCGAGACGGGACACGGGGGGCGGCCGGTTTCGAGGCCGCAGCCCCCAGGCGTCCTTCGTCTTATTGTGCGGGAGAGAGACGGTTTAGCACCGGTCACCGGTTTCGTTTCGCGACTTTCGATTGCGGTTTGACCGAGTGAGAGGGTGTGGGGGAGTGTGGGGAGCGTTGGCATGTGTGGGGGCGGAGGGCCGAGGATTGTGAAAAGAGGTGGAGGCCCCGGACGGGGATTGGTGACTGGAGGAGTGTGGAGTGTACGTGAATGTCATGCAGCTCGCCTCAGGCCCCTCGGTACAGTACAGTACCGGTGCGCTGTCTTCATGACAGCTTGATGGGATCACAGCGATGAGATGGATCACGGATTGGGCTGCTCGCGTAGCTTCATTTATTTATTCTACGCCATGGCCCGGCCCAGGAGCCCCTTTCTTGGAGGGTACGAAACATGATCAAATTATTGTCGACAGTTTTGGTTTGGACCAAGGCCACGAAAGGGCTTCGATATGCAGGCAGGCACGCAGGCCGGCCCGGCAGATTGCGGTTGTGGTACTCGTGGGTTGCGAGTGAGTGACTGAGTGAGTGAGTGAATGAAGTTGCGAACCCTCCTGGACATGTACCGACTTTCCACTCTCCACATCAGCGGGCAGGACGCAGCAGCATCTGAGCGCCCACAGTGACGCCAAGTGAAGCAAAAAGGTTGCAGGTGCAGGTGCTAGTGCTTGTGCAATCGCAAGTGCAAGCCCAGCTGCAGGGCAGCAAAGCACACCAAAGCAAAGCAAAGAAAAGCAAAGCAAAGCAATGGGAGGTGAAGTGAAGTGTCAAGTGTATGGACGCGTAGATAGAGTGCACTGAATGTCCTCCGCCGGTCGAAAGATCTACTGAGATCACGATTTCGTCTGGCAGTCCAGCGGATCCCCGAGAGAGAGAGAGAGAGAGAGGGAGAGAAAGGACGGACGGACGGATGAAAGGTGGAAGGGCTGATGACGAGAAAAATGCGGTTTCCGCCGATCCGAGGGCTTGGACGCGACGAAGACCTTCCGAGTTTTCCCCCACCCCCCCACCCCCAACCCCAGCCAGCGCCAGGACTGCGGAGAGGCTGTCCCGTGTCGCCCATATCACATGACATCACATGCCCGTCGACCAGCGGGGGCCCTGAGCCAGCGCTACTGATCTCGATTCCGGGGGGGGGGGGGGGGGATTCAGATCTAGTTCAGGATGTAGGCTCCCAATCCCCAATTCAGAGATTCAGAGAGGAGCAGAGCAGAAAAGGGGCTCTAGGGCAGCGCTAGAGGTGTGAGTACAGAAAGAAGGAAGCTGAATATTCGATGCTGCAGCAGCACTTCACAGCTCCGGGGGCGCCCGCTGGCTTGGCGGCCAGCGTGGCAATGGCATCAGCGTGGAGCCCAACGGCCAGCGCGCCATTGGAGGCAGGCGCCCGGCCAACCGCGCTCGACATCCCCTCCCCGTGAATGCCGTCCCCCTGGCCCCTCGCGGAAAGCGAATGACGCAAACGCATGTCTCAGCTCGTTTGACAGTCGGTACATATCCAGTCGCCAGCGTAGGTAGCCCCGCGGGTCGAGTAGAGTAGAGTATGCAAATGCTTCCTGTCCCCCCAAAAGAACTAGGAGCTCGAGATGAGCCGCATAAAGGCGACGCCCACAGCCGGCCAGCAGCCAGCCGACCCGGGCCCGTGCTGCCCAGTTGTTCGTTCCATCTCCTTTCCCCGGGCAGGCTCTCCTCGCTCTTTACTTTTCTTCAGTTGCTCGGTCTTTTCTTTTCTGGGGGCTCGCCGCTGCTCGCGAGCCTCGAACTTTGTGCAGGCGTTACCGAAGGCAGTGGGCTGGGGTTTGCTCGGCTGGGGCTGGGCCTGGGCTGGGGCTGGGCTGGAATGGACTGAGCGGGGCGGGGCTGCGATGCGATGGGCCGGGCAGACGCGGGCAGGGCAGGGCTGGGGGTTGGACTCGCTTTTAGCCCTAGCACAGCACCGCAGGGAGCGCAGAACGATGTACGTGCGATGGTACGAGAGCCTACGAAGCGTAGGACACTCACCTCCCTTTCCCTCCTCGCGCTCCTCCTGATCTCCTCCTCTCCTTCCGAGGGACAGGACTGGGCTGTCCGGCCCTTACTTTCCTTGGGAGCGGCGAAGGAGCGAGGAAAACCCCGGCCCCGAGGGGGCCCTACCTTAAAAGTCTCCCCTTCCTCCACGCAACGTAATCATGCCTGCCGCCTCCCCCTCCTCCTCCTCCTCGCCGCTTCCGTCCGCGCTGCCCGTCCGTTCCTCGGCCGACTGGCGACGAACGGCCGTCCACGTCGTCGTCGGCCTCCCAACTGTGTGCATGCTGCCTTCCTCGACGGCCCCTGCGCGACGCCTGACGTCGGTCGCGCGGCCACAACCTCGTCCGGCGGTTACCCCCACCCCCCCCCACCCTCCTCTCCGTGGGCATTCTTTGGACCGCTGGAAAGAGGGAATATCGTGATGGGTCGAGTTCTTCGAGCCCTTTAGCCCCCCTTTTTTGATTTTCGATGTTTATGGCATCTACGTTTATTCTTATTTATTTTCCCCTGCTTTATAGCCTTTTTCCCTCACCCATTTTCCTGGCTGAATATTATCCTCCCGTTTTCCAGCATCTCGGACTTTCGCGGGCGACCTGGGCTGCGCTTGAATCTTTTCCTTTTCAACCTTCCCCACCCCTCTTTAAGAGAAAATAATTCCCTTTCCGGAGATTTTCTTAATTTTCTTGGATAGATTTTCTTTTCTTTTCGTTACATTCTTTTTTCGGTTGATGTACCCTTGTGATTCATAATATCTGACCGCGAAAAATTCCTGGAAGAATATTGTGTCATCCGCGTCACCTTTTCTGAAGTCATCTGCGGTATCTTCTCCGGTCTGCAGACATTTTTAAAAATATTTTTCTTCGACAAGCGATTTTCGACTTAGGCCCGCAAGAAATTAAAAAACTATCCCAGGGAAAACGAGGACGTCAGCACGGATATTTCCATACGCAGCACAGCCAGCGTCACCAAAGTGTCGAAGGCAATCACGAAGGGAACGGTGATGATGATCTACGAAGGTAGGTAAGGAGTGTTCTGATTCCCAGAACAGTCACTGGCAGCAAGACAGAGAAAATGATAGAAAATACACATTTACATATTTACAGGATACCCGCCCTCGGCGTCACATCGATAGTTACAACAGGTGGGCGAAGTTCTTATACGAATGCAAGAGCTATTTGCCATTTTGCCATTTTGCCATTTTGTCTTCTTGTCATTAAAGTGACCACTTGGAACGTAGAATACCTCCAACCCCAAGAAAAGTTGGTCGAAATCTGGATACCTTTCGATGGAGGAGAGAGGAGTTAGGATGATGAGCAGGGAGAAGAAGGCGCAAACTCTCATGGAGTTGGGAGTCTACGACTTGATTCTGTCTGCTATGCTCGGTGACTAACTGCCTGCCTGCCTGCCTGCCTGAGTTCAGGCGAACAAATTTTGATAATGGACGTTGCTCCCACCCCACTGCACTGGACCGGACTGGACTTCAATGTGCATCGGCTGCAATCACCCGCACCTACACTCGTAGGTCGCAAAAGAGACACACCTTGCATTTGCATGCAAATCGAAAGTCCGATAGCAAGAGGGATTTCCACGTTTGGTGAGGTCGGAGAGAAAGGTAAAGAAATTAGTGTAGGAAGCTATCGTTCGAGAAAAGCGTTCAGGTTTCATGCCCACGTACGACTCGATGGGATGGGCTCTTTCCATCTCGGATTGTGCAAAATGAGAGCTGCGAGAGCTGAGCTGAGCTATGATAACAACGGATTCTTCTACAGCTTTTAGTCGAGGGAATTTTGACTAGCACAAACTCTTCTCGACCGAGGTCGGGCCTACTCTTCGTATTATGGCTAGCTACTTCCAGTCCCACCATCCATACCATCCCTCTTTCCTCTCTAATTCCTCAAATAAAATCGATCTGAAAGCGGATGCTTTACACCGGCTAAGATGTAGTATGTAAAGGAGACATAATGTTGCTGACTGAGATCAAGTGTCATTGTGCACTTTAAGTGACACACGGATGCGTCTATTTCGACCCACTGGTGTAAATGCCAAGGGCCAGGAGCGCATAGCAAATAAAGTATTGGGAGCTGCGGGTGCGGGAGTGCGAAGAAGAGGGAGGGGAGCTCTTGCACATTCCATTCCTCTTGCTCATCCGGAGCAGTTGATTCTTCGGACTGGATTGCAGTTCTTTTGGCTGGAAATGATGAAAGGTCAACCGGTGGGGGCCAAAGTAGGAGGGTAGGAGGGTGCGAAAGATGTAGGTTATGATTGAGGCCCGCTTTGCAGCGCCATTGGTTATAGAAGGGGCTGCAGATTTTCTACGTAATCAAAAGGAGGCGAGTAGGCGATTTGGGTGCCGAAAAGCAGAGGGCTCTTAAATTAAAGCGTGACCCGCGGCAGGCAGAAGAAGCAGCCGCCTGGAGGTCGCGGGCGGGGAGTTTCTTCGGACAATATGAACCTTGGAAGTCCATTTAGTGCCCGCGAAGAAAAGTCGAATGTCAAAGTGAGATCATTACCCCCGGCCATCCTCTAAAGCTGTTCATCCCTGCGATGTGCAGCGAATGAAAGGGAATGAGATGATGTAAGACCTTGGATGATTGCAAGAAAGATGCGAGGATTTGCGCAGGCTGTTCTAGTCTACATACCATGTCCAATATTCCTTCTCAGATTGCCCGCCCGCCTGCCTGCCTCCCTCCCTCCCTCCCTCCCTCCCTCCCTGTTCGTCGGTTGTTGGCATCCTATCAGACAACACACCGCGTGAGTTTACGTAGGTCGTCGACGTGTGTACGTGCATATTCGTGTACGTAACCGATTCTGTGCCAATGGTTTTCTAAGTCCATTGACGCCAGATTTCATAAAGGGAAGCAAGGAAGCATGGAAGATGTGCCGATCTAGCTCGAGCATGGCAACCTTTTGCCGGACTCAGATTCGTTTCTTCATCCCTTCTCGACCTCACTCTCGAATAAACGGACGAGCACTCTGCCTCTGCTTTCCCTCCGCACACGTTCCCATAGTCGTCGTCGGACCTCCGTCCCTACTACCTCACATTACTCCTACTGAGTACGCATACATTGCGCAAGAGGTCGATCTTTCTCTCCCCGTCTCTCTATCAGACAGGCATTTACTTCGGTTTCGGCTGATTGCCCATATTCCATCTGGTGAGGGAGGAGGCTGGAGATGGAAGAGGCTGCAAAAAGGTTGCAGGCATGAGAGTAGCTCTAGAGCTTTAATAGACAAAAGGACAGAATCTCCAGGCCCTTCTTTCTCATCTCATCTCCCCTCCCCGGAAGTCGTGTCTTGTGAGGAGAGGTTGCACATGAGTCATATGCGGAGTACGTGTTTCTACATGTCTCTCCAATCATTCAAGAGTCGATTCCTCAAAGTTGCACCAGCGCGAAGCAAGAGGAAGAAACTGAATATTTTGATTGCACTCGGTAGGTGGGTGGGCATACGATACCTCTTCAAAAGCACTCTCTCCAGCAGCAGCAGCGGCATCATCGATGTCAATCGAGTCGCGGTACAAGGCATCTAAAGTACCAAGTTCGTTTGGATCTTTCGTTCCGAGTTCTAAAGTGTCCGATGACGACAAATAATGGTGAGCGAGCTCGCGTTGCGTCGACAACTCGATTCAATGCTACATGTCTACAATTAAGACAACAAAGCCTCGCATGTGTTGTATCATCTTACCGCTCCCCCTGATCCTCGTTGGACCCAAGGGCGAGAGCATGTGCACAGTACTTTAAAGTACCCTTTGGCAATCTGCAACGCAAAAACGTCCTCCCACGAATCTACGATGCATCAATGGCAGCGAATATAGGGCGGCCTGTGCGTCGTTGTCAAGCCTTGAATAATGATCTGTTAGCCTTAACTCCATGGATGAATGATGTGCCCAAACGGCTGCCCCTTTTCCACATCCGAAGCTCTCCAAGCGCACGCTTTGAACATCAACGACGATGCAACTCCCTGCGAATCAAACTTATCGTCGGAAATCAATGGAGGTTGATACAGGTAGGTGTAAAGCCTTACTTCCAGTGCGTTCTTTAGCACGGATTTCGTTGGTGTTGTGAGGGTTAACGAGCAAAGCCCGTGCCAACTATTCATTTATTCATTCATTCATTCTTCCGTCGCCGAGTGCTCACATTTGATTATCCAAAGGAGGAAGGAGGAAGGAGGAGGAGGCTGCTTTGGCACTTTGCCCCCCTCGTGTGGTCAATGAACGTGAACAGAAAGCAGATCGTTAGACGATATTTACCAATTAGTTTTTTCGGAAGTATTTGGGAGGGCTGAGAAGTCGAGACATCAATGCTCTGGAAGAATCGTCCAGACTTTTCGAGCATCGTCCAAAGCTCCACCGAGCATAAGAACTACGCAAGTTGGTCGATCTCAGGACAACAGGTCGTGGAGATATGCCCCGAGGTGACTGGGCTGGGCTGGGCAGGGCAGGGCACGCAGAGGGATTTCAGGAGCTCGCTAAAATATCTGTGCACAACCAACAAAGCTGGACGGGCTGCCGATATGAAAGACAGATCCCTCCAACCACCGAGTCCCGAGCTTTTGATAGGTCCACATGAGATGAACATCCCTGAGATCTGTAAAGGATTCTTGCAAGTGTCCAAAGAGCAGTTCAGCTTCAGATTTTTGTCTCCAGATATCAACTTCGGCATCTCGGAGCCAATCAAGTTGAGCGAGACGACAAGAGTTGCGCTCAGATGCCAAATCTGACTGGATTAAAATTCCACTTGCAAGAAATAATGCGCGAAAAGTACCCAAGATTCCGATATTTTGGTGGGAAACTCAGAAGTCGCATTTTGGCAACGAATCACTGTTCTTAAGATCCTGAGCCTCGTAGGTGCTCCTCAGTCCCACCTTAGGCTCATTCCGGTTCAGCTTTCGGCGTAGGTGTTCTATGTCAGCATCAAAAGTGCTGGACTGGGCACTCAGACAAATTCCCTTTGACAAAAAGCCTGACTCCAGGCAGGCAGCCAGGCAGCTAGGCAGCGCAGCGTAGATAAGAAGGATGCTGGACGATGCTTCCTCTGGGCGAGACCAAGCACATTCTGAGTTCTTACAGTTCAAAAGGTAAACAGTTCCACACAAAAGCACATGTGTACACGGTCAGTTATCGACCCCAGTCTTGGTGACCCAACCTCACCAGGCTTCGACACTGAACCTTGGGCATCGAGTGACATCACTCACAGCTGCTTTGTCCTGCTTCGTCACTTCAGTACGCAGCTTCGTGGCTCATGAAGCTCAATGATTTAGCGAGCCGGAATTCCTCCGAAATACAGAAAGCTAGCTAATATTCTGAGAATGCCATCGCCTGCTGACTAGAGTCAAAACCTGTTAATCATGGGGGCGTGACCACACAAACGGTGTACACATTTTCCAGTGCTTCGTCCAGAGCCGGCTGTGGTGGATTCATGCCGGGATCGTGACTCGGCAGGGAGACTTGGGTCACGGGCATCCGGAACCTGAAGTTCATTAGGCTTGAGGCTCTGTGCTTCCGGCACGCCTCTCTCCCGCTGCGCATGCTGGCAACGATCGGTTCAAGAGCTTTGAACGTGGGTCGCTCGTGCAGCATTTCGGTCGTCGATTGGGCCTAAGGTTGCCTAGGTTCGAACCAATCTGAGACATGAACGCTGCGACACGATCGACTTCGTTGATTGCTCGCTGATGAGGACTTGAGCAGTCGTACGGAACCAATGTCGTGGTCGGGAGAACTGGGTATCTGGACAATTTGGCACAAGCTCGTGTCCACACTATTTGACCACTCGTGCACATGGTGAAAATAATTGATCACGAGACCCACACAAAAATAATACGGACCGAATGTGTAGAAACAAATCATTGAAGAACCTTCAAAGACTGAGTAGTTCACACACTAGACCACTTGTCACTCGTTCCATGTTGCTGGGGCTCATCAATCATAAGGGCTAGACGTCGAGTCTAAGAAAAAAGCTTAGTCGATGGCTCAAAAGTTGCAAATAGTACCTGAAAGAGAGTTATACAGGAGGATTCCTGATTGGGCGTCGGAGTACCAGCCTTTACGTCCCGACTGTCTTGAGTGTCTTCTGTGCATGATTACCTACTTCTAGCTTGTCGAAAAGTCAAAGACAAAGGTCCGAATCACTTATTGGAGCCAAGACCAGCACAATGTTGGAAGTTCGTGCCCTTTAGGATGAGACGACAGGAGAATGGTGGGCTTTCTTCCTCACGATGCTCGTTGAAACTCTGGATTATTGAGACCTCTTGAGACCATTCACGGCTACTCTTGCAGTGATACGCACACCAAGTAAGGACAAAGCAGATTACATGCATCCTACGGAAAAAGCCCAGGGTACGAGGCACCTGTGTCAATAATGAGTTCATATTCGAATAATGGGTTATATGACTTGCTCAAGGTGTTTAACTAATCATTGTTGATCGAAGATCTTTTGGCAAGCTCTACTCTAGGCACAATCAGCAAAAGACGATTGAGTTAGTTGCATGCTGTGAAATACGAGGCCGGGTCTAGGCTAGGAAGAAGGTTGCGCACATTTACGGACAGTGAACAGAATTAAACTAGTCTGTACTGTGGAAAGTTGACTTGGATTGTTCTACTCATAGGTTAGCCAACATCTCAACTGAAACAGCTCTTTCGCAAGGAGATCTTGAATGCATGAATATTCTTGGACCAAGATCTACAATCCACCATATCACAGCGTCCAATGCATGTCATTACCGCTCATTTAGTATATCCCTGTGTGACCTTGCCTCAAGGTCCAAACTAAAGATAACAGACCGCTGTAACTCAATCAAACCAGCGGATAGGTTAGTAAAGTAAGTCAAAGTTACTCCTTCGACTTCAAGGAGAAAATTACATACTCACATCAACAGAACAGAACCGGGCACCTTTTTTTCACGCAGCACATAAACCAACGAGGAGGTAGCTGGCTAATGATATAGGAAGGTCATTGAGCTACAGCCACATGGGGTAAAGTCGTCGAGGACACTCGGGGTAGATATCACTCGATCAATCAAAGCATTCTAGATTCTATTTCTGCTACACAAACCCTCCTCATGCGTTCAGAAGCGAGACACAGCTCAAGGCAGGTGTTCACAGGCATCGCAGTAAAATAGCAGACTAATAAACAAAGTTTCTGATTGAGGTGAATATCTAGATGACTGCAGATGTTTTCTAAAATGCTGCCATCTCTTCAACAGATTCACTGGTTGAATCTTCCTCAACTCTCTTGGCGCCAGACTTTATGTCCACGCGCTCCTTTCTCTGGATACGGCGACTTCAGACATCTAAGGCGGGAGAAGCAAACATGAACACATCGGAGAAACCCAGTGAAGCTTGAGCCATAGATCTAGAGCAGATCATGTTGGTTCGACAGTGCTGAGAAAGGGCAACAAAGACATCGAGAGCAGAAAAGTTCGTCGCCACAGGTAGACCCCACGCGTTAAATTATATTAGTTCATAAGACCTTGACTGTGCCTGCCAGACACGGTTTAATGACTGCGTCGTAGAAGGCATTTCTCTTGAATAATTTCCTACTTTCTCAAAGGACTTTTTGAAACAAACAAATAATCACAAGCAGTCCTCAGGGAAAGACAAATTCAACTTCAATTTGATGAATATACTTCGTAAGTCACAAGTCACAAGATGACACCTTGAATCTGCCTACGAGTAATGTGCAAATAAATCCATAATCATTTATAAAACCCTAGACTATCTAAAGGTAATTTGCAGCATATCATTTCATTGGAATAATAAAGATAGCTCAGAATTTCCTTTCTCTCACGAAGTGATCATGTCCGGGAAAGGTGGCACTAGGAGGCTCTTCGAGATATCTCAACTGGGTAGTTATGGAACGTACGACAACAGGAAATGCAACGATTCAGATGAAAGACGCTTATTGGCTCACTTTAAATCGTGGTGTTCATTTGATAATCTTCGACAGTATGTTGCCCATGTATTTTGCAATATCATATCAAACTTATTGACAAAAAACCTCTCAGAAAGGAAGTAAAATCAAAAGCAAGACTCTTCAACCGGTTTGAACTACTACCCCTTCCAGCCAAATTCGACATATCTGCCACGTGTCTTAGAGAAAAGCCCAATACACTCGAGATCTTCAGCTGACTGTTATCAGAAAAAACAACTCGAACAATAATCACTAATGAGATAACATACAGGCTAGGACTGCTTGTTCTCTTCCAAAAATAGGCGATGGTAAGACATGAACTTGTTACAGCTAACAGAAGAAAACCTGCATCAGGGCAATTGCTGTCGTAAGAAAAAAATCAGAAATTGAACTTCAAAGAAATATCTTACACATCTCGCCAAGTCCATGAAGGACGGTGAAGGGGAGATATGAACCCAGGCTACTCTTAGTACATAAGGATGGCAGAGGGGGACAACAGAAGCCACAATATGCATCGTAGGAGACCTGATCCCTTACGAGTGTACCAAAATCGCAGCATTAAAAGAGTATATCGTGAAGGTACCTGACCGTGCCTTTCTTCCTGTTCCACCAGCTTTCTTCCCTGAGCCTTCCGAGTCCCCCGTGCAAGCCCACAATGACAACATACGTTACATCCTGGAGCAGTATTGCGTTCTAGATTTCATATTCCCCGTGTGTTAAGCCTCAAGGGTCCTGGGATATTCTTCTCACTGTCCAATATGTAACATGTCTAAGATTGGCGACTGTGGTTGTTGAAATTCTTTTCATGTGCAGCGTTAGAAATTGAAAGCACATAGCCTACTTCCTTCGTAGTCGTGACTGCTATCGATATGACTTCCTCCCAAGCTTAGAGTTCATTGAAACGGAGGTCGTAATGTAATAGTTGGTTCTTATATTTAGATCCACTTCTCCTGGCTTTCGAGTTCATAAACACTTATTATCTAAGCGCGTCAACCTGTTGTCGTCTTAGCTTCAAGTCTAACATCTGTACTCGACATGTTGTTCAAAAAAATATTGACACATAGCATTATACCTGGGCATTCATGACACAACAACTATGAGCGCGTCCCATCGAAAGATCTAATTTCGTAATTGTTCTCGAGTTAAGCACCAAGTGTCCTTAAAATCTTTTCCGCTTGTCCTAGATGTTGATATCTAGGTCTCAACAGTTCTGGCTTCTGTTCCAAGCTAGACATCGTTCCTCTGTATGTATTTTCCAGAAAATCATGCCCTTCTTCAGACATATCGTCGAGGAACTCTGCAACCATTATACGACCACGGAGCCTGAGGTCAAGTCTAGAAATCACCACCTGCCTTCACCAATCACCGTTTCATTGTGGAACTAAATTTACTCGGAATTTTTCATATATGTCAGCCCTCCATTCACCCCTTCCGTAGTCAAATCGATTTTCTTCAGCTGCCTGTGACTTGACTTCCTATATAGAAAAGAAGGTACCAGATGTTCATCATATTAGTTTGATCAACACATATTACACCATGATAATGGTCCCCGCAAATTGTATACAGCCTGGCTACTGCTGTCTGACTGACAAACATGACTCGATTCACCAAGACGAAGCAGAAGACAGGCACATGTTGGTTTCGTTCTGGTTCCTTTCTGTTCTTCAGACCTGCTTTGGAAAGTTATTTGGAAGAGAACTTCAGGTGGAAGGACTTGATTTTACTGTATACTTTCACCATTTTCTGTTACAGGTGTTCACAGAATTTGGTGACAAATGAGATAGCTAACTAGAGAAAATTGCATTCGTTAGGGAGTTTCGGTATCCTCTCAAACACGACATAATATTTGACGCAACAGTACTTCCGATTTAAGAGGAGCAGTTGATAATAATATCTCCAAGATTCACACCTGTTAGTGGTTAAGTTCACATCTAAGATGAGATCGGCTAGGAAGATAGTCGCGCTTATTGAAAAAAGACGGTAAACACGACAAAACAAAAGTTTTCGGAAGATGCACGCTTGGATGTTTTGCGACCATTATTTCGCAGTTGTTCTTCTCTTCCCTTCTCCTGAAATACAGTTCGTCACTTGTCTCCGATACAGTAAGTGTCCCCATTTTACTTGCCAATCATACCTGATCACCACTGACCACCCGCCCTGGCTGCGTAGTGCTAGAGACACAAGGAGGGCAGAAGAACAGTGAAGGAAGAAAGACAGGAAACACTCCTTAAGAGTGAAGAGGGTCATACTTGTTGTGGAAACTATGACCATGAAAAGGGTGTTTTTCACGGTCATCCGAAAATTCCACACTAACTCATCAAACGAATCAGATGTAGGACCTCGAAAGTATATGCTTAACAGCACGGCAGCTCTGAGCTTGGGATCTTGGATATGAAATTCTGATATGCACTTTAGACTCCACTGGGCGAACTAGGTTTTGGTCAACTGTCACTATCTTCTCATTTTCACAGTACCTTATAATGTTTCAAACTCCTTTCCTCTTTTTCAGAATCTATTGTTACTATCCAAGTAAGCAGTAGCATAGAGTCAGTCAACAGATAGAAAAAGCAGAGCGCAGATTAGTCAACGTTACACTTACACTACGGAGAGAAGGTGCTCCAGCTACAGAGAGGACTGTAAACCTGGAACAAGTGCTCAAGTCGAACCAATGAGTATACCTTATCAATCAAGACAGCGAGCACTGGTTTCCCAACTTCAATTTTCTTTTATGGTTTCCGCGCGCTAACTATCGAAAACGTCCAGTGACCTAGATCCGTATTAGATACTTGGCACTACCCATAACTAACTACACTTCACATAGAATATTGTCCAACACCCTCTTCACTTGTTTTCAGTTGAGTAGGTTGAAAATGTAAGAAGTAACAACCATGAATCTTAACTTTCCAAACTTCGCTCATCTCAAAGTCTGATTTTCAATGAGCGCCATTTATGTGGCAATGTGTTCTGGGCGATAGGCGGATTCATGATGTCTGAAGACCCCAAGAAGGAAGAACAGTTCCAAAATTCTGTGCAAGCCCATCTTAAGCTTCTTCCTTCTCAGAGTAATAAAATTCCGCAAGATTCCCAATCCCCTGTGACGTTGTAATCTTGCTTGCCAGGACCAGCACAGAACAGTAGTCATTTGCCAAGGAGAGCTCAACACATATATCTAAATTGAAAACTTCTGTGAGGAAAAAAGGTCTGATGATTATCATTAACTTACACAGGAGAACGAGCAGTGTGGCCCCATCTTGGACCTCCGACATAGGCTTAGTTACCAATGAAATCATCAGAGAAGGATCGTAACTGGGTATAGCGACTCTGTTGCTTTCTGACCTCGAAGACTTTGCCCCTCGAGAGGAGGCTTGTAAGCCACATCATACAAAAAGCTGGTGTACATCAAAATGATTCCCCTAGTTTGCGCCCCGTAAGAATTTCGATAGTGCTCGCTGGAGAGAATTAGACACACAAGAGGTAGAAAATCCTGCGTCTCAATCGAACGCGAAATCGTGACGACCCCCAGTCGGGAATGCAATTTCGACTCGTCCGGATAAACAGTTGATGCAATCTGCAACACCCTGATAATAACAGTCTGACAGGAAAACAAATCACGTCAATCACTGGAGGGTTGCACTCTCTCAGTAAAGGGGATGAATTAGGCCATTATCTATCCTCCAAAACATGGACTCTCATTATTGCCCAACAATGCACTGCAAATCCTTTTAACAAATGCAGAGCAAAGTTGTGGCTTTTTTGGCACCAGTAACCCAAGAGTGAGAAATCAGCGGCTTGATGTTCTGGAATGTACATTAATTAACTCTAACTTCTCTGGACTAAAAATGCTTATGGAACAATGTTGTTTGTTTGTGCAGACTCGGGCTGCGGAAGGTCATTAATGGCATTTGTTATTGCCTTTTGATACATAACTAACTAACCGACACTGCATGTCGAGACCTACAGGAGTTGCTAAACTTTCAGCTGGAATGTTCGCTCTTACAAGTGATAAAACTAGAGGTTTCTGCCTGTTGCTCTTCAAAGACTTGTTGAGTTGCAATAGGAAAAGAGAGAAGAAGCATCGTATAAATACTTTAAAGGTACAACAGCTTCTTATCACAGCACGCCATGTTAGCAGAGGCTAATAGAGTCACACTTGAAGGTCTCTCGAGTACGCCCTTCTCCAGCGTTGACCTTGTACCCTGGTAATGAAGAGTGTTTCAAAAGTAAACTCAAAGAAGCTAACAATTTGATAGGTGTGTGAGAGGAATAATAAAGGAAGCGGGTAACCCAAATTTGAACCAGCAGGATAACTTCAGTGAGTGGATAACCCAAACAGAAGCCAGCATGAGCCAGCATGACAAAAGTGGTAATTTGGAGAGATTCTGACCCAGGTCATTCGCTTCGCTACAGAACATAACGTCTAATTCTATACCATAACAGAACCCTATACCATAGAGCGATGAAGAAAAAATCACAACCTAAACATGACTTTTAGAACTGACTTGTTGAATTTTTCTCATTGTAGCTGATGGAGTCAACGAAAGGTGTCTTTCTTCATATCCTTCTCTTGGATTGCGTTGTGCTTCTTTCTTCTCTGATTTAGTTCTCTGCATCTGATCTGCATGCTTCTTAGTAACTTTCATAACATCCATACATTTGCTCGCAGAATCTCAGCGTTCTCCCACAGGTACGGCAGGTATCTTTAGCCTTCATTCGCTGACCTTCAACTGAAAAACAACAAAATCAAACTCCTTCTCACAACCTTCCAGACACCTGAGCTATCTACTCAGCTCAGGTGTGTCTGGAAGGTTTGGAAGAGTCTTCTGATTACTCAGCATACTCTTACTAGAACACTTCTTTGCTCATTTATCGATAGCCCACAGCTATAGATCATCGGATTTATCTGTTCTTGATTAGACTTGATAAATTCATATTCTAGTTATTATTCGAGGTTGTAGCTGTCGTTGATCACCGTGCAAACACTGCGCCTGTAGTTGATCACCCAGAAAACTTTTGCTAGGATACATTAACTCCTATACTTCAATTCTAAGAGGTTGCCAGAGGGAAGTAGTTATCACTTCTAAAGTCAAACGGAAGTTTATAAAAAAGGTCCAGGTTCAAATGCAGCCAGGGGACGTGCCATTCGCACAACAATGTCATACACTGCGAGGAGCACCTGAGACTGGAGGCAAGTAGCTGTAGACCCTAAAGCGACATACAAACAACACCTGACCTGCGTCTACCCTTCTGAATACTACAACTGAATACTGTGTGAAAACGTTATGTTCAACCGTCTTGATAAAGACAGCAAAATAGACCTGATGAAGCTTCAACTGAGCAGACTCTCGAACTTTCTTAAACAGGAAGAGCGTTAGCAGGCAGAAGAGCATTTGTTGTACGGTTGTCTAAAAAAAATTAAGGGAAAGAGGATTACTGTTTACTACCAAAACTATCTATGAGATTTCATCAGATTCAGACTTTATCTGTCCTTAGATTCTTCCCTGATTGTCAATTATGACATTTCATTTCTGTATGAATTTCCAAGACTAGGAAGGGAAACGAGCTATTCATCATGACTTACATAGTTGATAGCATACCTGGAACCTACTACAGAATGTGTAATAATTGTGGCTCAGATATGGAGCATGTCAAATTGTAACTAAGGCCGCATGTGTGGAGATACGAGGAGAACATTTGCAGAAGTGCCTGCAAATGTGTGCAAAACAAAACAATGCAAAACTCAAGTGTGCATGGCGACATCACTCACTTACCGCAACGACAAGTGCAACTGATACAGACGGAGAAAATAATTCCCGATGACAATCGGATGCACCGAGTATTCGGATACAAGCGCCTGCAAAAAACTGAGAAAAGAAACACTTGGTGGAGGTAAAGGAGCAGCTTCTCTTTGTGCCATATCTCAGCTCGTTCGATGCCGACATAACATGTCCTCCGCTCCTCCTCGTCTCGTCTTAACCAGCTAAACTGGGCATCACTGTAGAGAATGCCCTACATAAATTCCTGTGTGTAAATGTCCACACACCCGGCCCCAATAAATATCACTATCGTCCTTCCATCGTCTGCCACCAGCCTGATAAGGTAGCTTTGAGTTCTAGATAGGTTGCTGATACCATACCTCTCTGGTTCCACGAAATAATCAGACGGCATTGCCAGTCTCTGAGAACGCTGGCAATCCATTAGAAGCCCTTCGTCTGCATCTCTCGTTCTCTAGAACCAGCATTCAGCGTGAAAGCCATGCACATTGAATGAGCTGTGCCCAAATCCATTCAGACCGAAAGAAAAATTGCGAAATGAGCACAAAAGCGAGACAGCACTGGCGCTACCCGAGAGGGAACTGGACACAAGCAAACCACCGAGCCCGAATGGGAACCCGAAACCATCGATCATCACACTCAAAGCTGCCCGGTTCCTGAGTCACTCCACCACAATCTTGCCCATGAGCCTGACCCATTCATCCACCGCTCAACCATCGCGCTCTCGCTGCACCGCTCTTTCCCACCAACCGAGACGAGAGCTCGAATGCGTCGCTGGAATTGCATGCACTCTTCGCGCTTTCGCTCCATTGCTTCGAACGTCGAGCGAAATGCAATGCCATGCGCAGCGCAGCGTGACAAGTAGACCGCTTGTCCTTTTCCGGCACTGGATCGTTATCCAGTGCCGGTTCACCAATTTGCGGCCCGTATTTTTCCGGAATTACGACTCTCTCTCTCTCTCTCCTCCTCTATTCGAATGTCGTCGCCCCTTTGTTCCATTCTCTGGAGAATATTCCAAACGAAATTATCAAACATACCGAGCGAATGTCGATTCATTTTCTTCGATATATTTGCAATGTGTGCACGACTAACTCCCTTCGGATGATGCTGTGGGTGCTTTGGGATCTTCATCATTTTTGAAACGGTCGGGCGAGCGATTTCTTACTCGTAGACGTGATATGATGGGCTCTTTGCGAATAATAATAATTTATTTTTTGTTGTCTACTAGGCACCCCACACCATCTCTATCGCGTACTAGATTTCTTCCAACGATGGATTCAATAGCTGTCCTAATACGACAAACCTCGGAATGCTGGACAGCCTACGTCCTAGAGAGGCGGCGGGACGGATGGACGGACGGACGGGCGGGTGGGTTGTGACCGGCTATGACCGGCTGGAGAACTGACGCGAGGTGAAGCTGCCGGGTCTGGACTGTGGACTGCCGAGTGCCGAAGCGAGCCACGGGGAATTGAATCGGTCGAGGTCGAGGGCGAGCCCGATCGAATTGCGATTTGGTGCGACTGAACACGAAAGGAAACCAGAATGTCCTCTTTCTTCATCGTTCGCTTGCCCGGAAGCTGGATTGGATTGTAAAACCCTGGCCCTGCTGTTTGAAGAGTAGGAGGAGATCGTGGCCCGTTCTTGAGTACTGCGAGCCCCGATATCTGTCTTCTGACTCCGCCTGAGGATCGAGCGAGCTTGCGGGCGGGCGGGCGGGCGGGCGGGCGTGCGAAGCTCAGAATCATGAGTATGTGGCAGTTTTTGGAGGCTGTGCTGATGATGACCAATGCCCTTGCGATTCTCAATGAAGATCGCTTTCTCGTTCCTCGTAAGAGTTTTTACTTTTCTTGAGTCTGGTCCAGTGTTCATTCTGCCATCTAGGGATCGTTGTGTTTCTAGCAAGATGTAGGTCGCTTTTTTGAGTTCCTTCTGGGATGGACGTCGTATTTCACACTAGCTAGTTCCTTTGAATTTTGCGCCGTAGTGCTAACAGAATTTTGATTACAGATGGCTGGGGATTTTCTGAGATGTCAAACGGGAGGGTATCCTCGCTGAAAAGTCAGATCATTGGATTGCTTCATGCCGTTCAGTATTTGAGAGGTACGGGCGATTTGCGACCAAGTTAATTGGCAATGGGCTCATCCGTCAGTTAACCCGCTTGCTTCTTTGAAACTCTGTTTAATTACAGCCGATTTTCACCTTCTGGCTTGATTTTCCTTCCAATTTACCAGAAGATTTTGGCCCCATCTTCGTTCTTTCATGAAAGAAGCCTTGTTTTGGTACGCAAAATAGTTCGATCATTCTTGTCACGAGCATCCGAAGTCACACATGTACGCTGATCATGTCGTCGTTGTCATTTCAGTGCCACTGGTGGCTTTGAACACTATAACTGTCGTTTTGAAGCTCATATTCGGCTAGTATTCAATGGTACGCGAGTGGACCAAGATGTGCACAGTTTTTTAATTTTCTGTACGTCTTCATCTACATCTCCATTCATCTGCTTCGGAAGAACTATTTTTCATCATTCGCATATGTGAATATTTGCCTACGTTTTCAGCTGACGCTACTTTTATTTCACTTTTATTTTACAGTTGTGTAGGATAAAGTATTGCGGGAATATATTGAAGGAGCCACAGAAGCACACCACGTTTGGGCATTTCTCTATTCATTTTTCCACTACCGTCGGAAGAGACGTTCCTCATTCGTTGAAAGAATATCTGGAACCAAGCAATTTCTGCCCTCATGCGTTTCTTATTAGCCCGGTACTTTAGCGAAGTCTCTCTACTGAAGTACGTCCAAGCCGGTGCCAGTTTTGCCCCTGGTGAATTGCAACGGAGGAAGGATGTTTATCATGCTGTAGGTGTTTCAAGTGTGTTGTTGGAATAAATCCAAATGTTTTCACTTCAGCAGCTGTCCTGTATTTCATTTTGCCTCAAGGGTAATACTCTTCGGTAAACAGCGTCGCACTGCAACATCAGTCTGAAACTTTCTCGCATGCTGCCGAGACCATTACTCTCTGGACACTGATTACGGAACATGACTTTAGGGTTAGGGGACGTGACATTCATTTTGTAAGAGTGTGCACAGAAATGAGCCCAAATTTTCTGCTCTTGTTCTTTTTTTACTGGACAGTGATGAATCCAAGAGAATTCGGTGGGTATGGTTTCACTCGTGAGAAATGGTCTATATTGTATAGGCTTCATCTTCGCGTTCTGGAGGGCCTGGAGGGCAAGGTGATGTACTCGCAACACAACCGGATCCTAGAAACTCATCTTGGCCATGAGGCTTGCGCGGTCGTAGATCGTATCACGCAGTCCCACACTCTTGCTACTGGCACAAGACGGCTTATCATATTGCTTTTGAAACCTGAGGAAATCGTACCATAACATACTTCTTTTTCTAAGGGATCGTTAACTTGATGTGTGCTTCCTGTATTTTATTTTGTAGCTGCCTTGACCTTGTCAAAGAGCTCTTTATGTTGTGCAATCTACCTTCCTCTGTCGTCCCGCGCTTCTGTTCTTAGCATTTTCCATTGTCTCCGCTGTTCACAAATTTGACGCCAGGCTAGCTTTTGCAGCTATTCTATTCTCGTTACCTGTGAATCAGTTGTGCGCTGGACCTTGTTTTCTCTCTAAAGGATTTGTGTTTGGTACCTATTGTCGTGATGGATGGATCTGTAGTGTCACATTGTACATATTGGGTACAAGCGACGTGGTTTAGTGCACTGATCCACTGTCATCTGCGCGTGGACCCAAAACGCTGTTCTGCAACCAGTTTGGCTTCTGAAAGAGCCAAACTTATCGTGGCGTTCACACAAGGGCACTTCAGGTTTTTCATGTAGGAGTGTTTGCAGGATCTCCTCTGTGTCTTCACACCATGTCCTGGACGTATTTTTAACAGAGGTAGGTTAGTTTCTAAGACTGCTCCTTGGGACAGGACTGCTATGATATGTTCCTCCTGTTCTGGAAGGATTGGAAGAAGTAGGTCTCTTGACTCAAGCGTTGCTACACCCGTCCCCATGGAAATGTTTGTTCAATGAAAGTCGAGTGAAGATCAATTATTGAATTGCAGTTATAGAGTTAGTCCCTTCTAATTCCTCTGAATATTGTCCCTGACGGCGATAGCTAGAGTTTTCAGGCTGTCGATATTTTAATGCTTAGTAAAAGACAAACACATTTTCTTGAATTCAAGGAATCCTTTATGGACACGTGAAGAGACCCATCAGCGTCAGTACAGCTGTTGCAGCTGCGGAAATCTGCTACGGACTCGTATATACACATCCTAGTGATGTTTATATACACACTGAAGTCAACTACTTTTACATATTTATCGGACAGCTGAAGAAGATCCGAGCTCGGAGATACTGACAAGAAGAAATTGGCAATATGTTTTACTCTAATCTTTATGTACTTCAATTTCAAATTTACTTGATGTATCCCTGCCTAACACAACACCCAATATGTATTGGGTCCTTCTTAGGACCAAAACACATTGCATATACCTCTAAAATAGACCCATGTCCAGGGAAACACATGTGACTTTAACATAGAGAGTGGTGTTTAGAGGACAAAGGGAATATGGAGGAACCAGCAACAGCGAGAGTGACTTAGGGAAAGCGGGGCGTTTCGAGAGGCACAGATGGAAGGAAGAGGTGACAATGAGCCGTAGAAGTGGCAAGGAAATGGAAGGGGAGGAACTTAGGGAAAGCTGCGAGCGTTTCGAGAGTTCGCACATGGAAGTAAGAGGTGACGATGAGCTGTAGAAAGGAGAAGTGGAGCATTCATACTTGCGACAAGTGATCGACCATCGAGACAAGATCAGGTGGAGGAGTTACATAGGAGAGCGGAGAGGCCACCGCGGACCGTGCTGTTGTCGTTGTTTCTGCTCGCCAGCCAAGTCATATATATACAGAGAGAGCTGGCACCTCTATGTGTTCCCTGTTCGGGTGAGTGAACGCTATGCAAATCGAGTTTGCAAGGCTTTGACATATTGTCAAGTTCTCCTTGTCAATATCTCCGAGTTTCGATCTTTTTGAGCTGTGAAATAAATATGTAAAAGGGGTTTACTTCAGTGTGTATATAAACTTCAAACTGGTAACTATTCAAAATGATGAAAGTTCATTTTATTTATAGTAATCACTTTTAGATTTGACCTTTATATCACATTGATAACAACTTTATCAATAAAGATATTATCAATGTGATATAAAAATCAAAACTAAAAATAATTGGTACCAAATTAATGTTAATCACAAATTAGTTTTACAAACGGATTATAAGATATTCATGCAATGATTTATGCATATTTTCATGTTATTTGCAATCTTATGAAAAGTATATTTGATAAAAACTCTAATCTAAAATGAAAACATTTAGTATGTCATTTTTGAACCATCATCATATTCAATGTTAGTTAAAAAAATATTTTTTCAATATTGCACACTAAATATTTGTCATAACATCAATAAGATTATGTGAATGTAAAATGTTTGGTTACTTACATTACATTCACATCATCTTATCACTATATAACTTTGTAAATGTAAAATGTTTTGTTATTTACATTACATTCACATCATCTTATCAATATATACCTCTGTAAATGTAAAATGTTTTGTTATTTACATTACATTATATACCTTTGTCGAAGGTTGCTTTGTCCAACATTGTGCGGAGGAGATTTAATTCAGCTACGGTCTCTGACTCCTGCCCTGAGTGACCCTGGCCAGTGGACTTTTACAGAACTTCTGCAAAAGTCCACTGGATGCGGCCATGGTGACCTAACCTCAACACTCCCAATCCAAGTCGAATCTAACCAAGAAGCTACCCAAACTTCAAGAATTTAGTTCCAAAACTTCAATTATTACAAATTTATCAATTATGTATGGATATACATATTCTCAAAGGACTAAGAAATCAGTTTTTGAGAGGCGAGCAGGAAGGTGAAGATGACGTGCGCGTTGTGATGCACACCTTCCGACGAGCCCCTACTCGCAATAAGACAGAGTTGTGATGTTTGAACCCTGATTCTTCAACGCACCACAATGGCGAACAGTTTGAGTAGCTTCTTGGTTAGATTCGACTAGGATTAACAGTGTTATGGTTATGGCATCATGGCCGCATCAAGTTGGAGTTACAGAGAAGTTTTGCAGAAGTCCACTTTCCAGGGTCACACACGGCAGGAGTCAGAGACCGTAGCTGGAATAAGTCTTCTCCGCATAGAGTTGGACAAAGCGCCCTTCAACAGAGGTATAGTGAACCCATTTCATCGTAAAGATGGGAAATTCAAACCTTGTGGAACATTTCGTAATCATCAAGGTCTTCTGATACTGGGCACGATCTCTTTCACCTTGGATGAGTAATCAAAAGCTACAGTAATTTAGGAGATTGCCACTTTGACGGCATACGTTGTAATAGCATGTGTCGTAGAGGGTGATCTCCAAGACACAGCTCTCAATACTTGGTGGGAGTTGTTGACTCGCATCGCTCGGAAAAGTGATCCTCTTCCGACAACTCTTTTCACATTTCCTCTACATATGAACTAATGGACAGGACATCATTCACCGACTACGTACAAAAGTCTTCCACTTCTTCACGGGAGTCGTGGTGGTTTATAAAAAATGGATCTATGGCTTCAATCCGCGCTTACACCATGTAATCCAGTGGCCAATGTGAATTTACTTCCCAAAAATCCCAGTGGAATACCAAAAATTCACGCATAAGGTAGCCGTTCAAGTGATTCTGATACTGGCACATCAGGCTCGATCCTTCACTTCTGCGTTGAAGTCAACATGAAGCAAGGGTGGGTTTTAGCCGTTGTAGGATACAATACTACTGGCGGTAGTACAAGCACTTCGGTCCTATATTATGCCCTGAAGCTCAAATGCGGACTCTCTAGGCATCATCCGCATTCGATCTCACAATGTTGGCGTTATTGCAAGACGAATCAGCATCAGCGCGATGTTGGTACTTGAAATCCAGTCTCAAGCCGGAGGGTGATCATTGATCGTGATGGACAAAGTTTTCAAGCGTCATACTACGGAGAACCAGTTAAACCTCCTCATGAAGGTTTGTAGCGATCCCCTCACTAGCGACCAAGTCGTCGTAATCGAGCGTACCCAAGTACATCAGGGGATCGGCAGCCTCTCCAACAAGATGTCGAATGATTCATACAGTTGGGGGTGGCAAATGTAGCAAGCCGTCCCGGCTCACCATGGGAGTTCCAACCATGTATGCTTCTACCTCACAACACTCTAATCCAAGAAAGGCCGGCTGTGATGTTTCAAGCGATAACCCCACTCCAACAGCACAGGTTGAACCACCAAATCCGTTGCAGGTTCACGAGGAGTCACTTCAACCTATAAATCAATCGGCAATACCAGCACAGGCCACATGACGTATTTGAATACGGACAAGGAGATGGAACGTGAAACCTCAAGTTACTCCTACTTTGCATAAGTCCAGTTCAGTGGAGTCCTCCATTCCAATGCTTAGTTTGGAGCTAGATACTCAAATGCATGACGTAGAAGACTCGGCACCAAAGGAACATTCTTTGGATCTATATAACCCGCACAATGACACGGATTGCACCATGAATCTTTACTTACATAGAGACTCACATTTACCTCTTGAGTATGGATGGAACCGGTGGGATAAGATTTACACTACAAAAAATCCCTTTTGTGGTACCGACACCATATGCACTACATCTGATTTCTTCGAGGTGACTCGTGTACTTCTGAACCAAGATGCGATGGAAGTTGACTCAGAAGACGATCTTCAACATGTTTCACTCTCAGAGTCTGCTGATTCTCATACATCAATCAGTCATGTAGAGAGCCCAACTTTGGTAGTTGAAGAAGTGGAGATGTCTAAGACCAACGTAACTCAGATGTTAGACATTGATGAAGGATCTCAATCCTCTGCCCCAAGTCACATGCAAACTGCCTCCACGACCCGTGCCGCAATCCATCCTCCTCAACACATCAGGTGACACAGATTAGTTCAAAGATGCAAGCACAAGTCTACTTCCCATTCCTGCATCTCCACCGATGACAGCCGCAAACTCTCTCCAGGTTTCATGTTCTAAAATGCCGCTGCCGAACAATGATAAGATCAAGAGCAACGCTGCCTTGGCACTTCCTCGGTCCTTCCAACCTGCTATTAAGGTGAGTAACGACACTTGTAAAACTCCTTGCACCGCAGCATCTAGCACATTGTCTGTATGCTCACTACGCGCATTAGCCAGGCAGAAATTCACGGCCCCCGCTCACTCTCCTACCACATATGATGTGTGGGGATTCAAGCTACAAACTATCCCGCGCGTTGGAGACGATGTCAATCAATGTTCGCTGCCTCAATGAGGATTCGGCCGTGAACATGATGCAGGCCTACATCCAAGATTGACATCCCTCACCAGATATGATAGCCATTCATGAGCATAAACTACAAGGCAATGCACTTACACATCTAGGCTAGAAATTATGGAGACATACGACGTGCTATGGACTTGAAGTGTCTGTTGACTACGTCCATAGTGAAGAGGAGGAAGGCGCATGATGTGGCGAAGTCTTGACTCTTATAAGTCCGAGATTGTCCACAAACGTCAAGCAATTTGACTCATTATTTAGCAACAGGCTCCAATAGGTGATTCAGACATTTAACGGTCGACATAGGTCTGGAAAATATATATGCACCTAACGAATCGATGAAGCGGTTTCTTTTGTGGAATTCATTACCGAAGGATCTACCTCAACCGTGTCGCTGGCTATAGCTAGGTGACTTCAACATGGTGGAGGGATGGGCCGACAAATCACGTCATGGGGCCACGATGATGACTTTGCGGACTCTCTTTGAAGACATGAAAATGGCGCTTCACGTCGATGATAACCCGCGATCAGCAAGTGGTTTAAAATACTCGTGGGACAACAATTGGCTGCAACAAGAAAGATTACTTGCGCGCCAAGACAGGCTGTACTTGTTTCAAGCCCAAGCAGGGGATCCACCGCGCTCACTTATTCACTACACTATCAAAAGCAATCTTTCAAGGTCGGATCATCATCCATTGTTCACTTTGATCAAGTTGGCAGAGCTAACTCCCAGGCAAACTCAATGGAAAATGATTGCGTACTGGTTGGAGGAGACGGCACCTGGCATCCATAGGATTTGACTAGACCAACGCTCATTCGACCTTTTTTTCAAAAATTCGAAATGTCACTTGCTTTTATCGTCAATTCTGCCGCTTCCAAACGGCGAAGCTACGTGAAGACAAAGATGTTCTAATCGCGCAGCTCGATGAAGCCACATAACAAGCACAACATTTTCCAGAAGACGTTCTGCTTATGAAACGTCGTGGAGCAATATGCACGCGTCTAGCAAATGTCTATGAACGAAAGTTGGCAGGTCGGAAAGCTCATTCAAAAATCAGATGGAAACAACGAGGGGATCACGTAAGCCGAGAGGTTTTCCAAGCGATATGCCAGCGGGATCCAATGCACAAAACATTGCCCTCTACGATCAACACCAGGCTCGCGTCACAAGCCGGGAGGCAATTGAAGAGCGTGTCATGTCATAATACCAAGAACTCTATGCTAAATAGGTATTCACGAACATTCATCGAGCTACCAAGGCGGCCCTAACTCATCCATGAATCATTTACTAATAGATTCCCAAGATCAGTCCTTGAGGACCTGGGCAGAAAGCCAGAGGAACTAGAAATCCTAGCTGCGCTAAAAAAAATGGCAGCTGGGAAAATCCAAGTCCTGACTGCGTCCTTACGGAATTTTACCTAAAATTCTACGGACTAATAGGAAAAGACTTTTGCCAAATGCTGACCACTGCTTTCGATGAGGGGCGGTTGCCACCAAGAATGAACATCGGGTTGGTGGTGCTTCAGCCAAAAGAAGGAGAGCTAGAAATGATTTAAAATTGACGAACTATTACGTTGTTGAATACTTCATACAAATATGGACAAAAATACTTCAACTTCGACTCCAGGCATTATTAACTGAGGCCATCCATAAAGAACAGGCGTACTTCTTACCCTCGCGATACATATTAAATGTTATTCTTGTGCAGAATGAAAGAATTAATTGGGCCGAGAAATCCGATCAAGAGCTCATCATGCTTAAATTGGACTTGCGCAAGGCCTATGACACGGTATGCTGGTACTTTCTGTTCAAAGTCATGACGAAGATGGGCATTCCAGATTCACTTTTCAAGATGCTGCAGATCCTACTTATGGATGTGTAGGCAGCTGTGTCCATTAACGGCCTCAGCACTAAAGCTTTTTCGATCACGCGAGGGGTCGGCATAGATGCCCCTCTCCTCTTATCAATTTCTTATCATTGCAGAATCGCTAGCAACGATCTCCAACCATGAGCTCTCACAGACCGACTACAAGGTATTTTGCTCCTGAATGGAGTTACTCAACAAGTGATGTTGCAATTCGCCGACGACACCACTTACTCTATTAAGGGAGCTGAGAGAAATCTCACTGTCGTCTCCAACCTGCTTTGAGATTTTGGACCGGCAACAAGGCTCATGATTAATTGTGAGAAGGGAGCTCTTTACTGTTATGGCCGCGGGCCCGCTCCACAGTGATTAATGAATTTTGGATGTGCTATTGCCCCACCAAATTCTCTCTCTAAGCTGCTTGGAACACCTCTTGACATCTCCCTAGCGACAACAGATTTTGACGTCTTTCTTGCTAAGAAGATCGACCGCAAGCTACGTTACTGGAAGACTGTTCAACTTTTCTTGGCAGCCCGGACAGTGATCGTGAACTCTGCGTTATTGTCGACACTATGGTACATTCTCAGTATATGGGGCGGATCGAAGGCCATACTTAACAACATTTGCGCATCACTTCACAATTTTTTGTGTTCAGGGAATGAGGAGCACTCCCGAGCTCAAGTTCGATGTACTGATTGCTGCGCAGGTAAATTGGTGGGCAAATTGGGGTTGATAGATCCACATGAAGCCTTGACCCCACTCGCAAACAAATAGATAATCCGAGCTTCAACATCCGGCAATGCACCGATGCATATTCTTCTTCGACATCGTCTCAACGGGATACATCTCCCTAACTCCCGTAATTGGTACTGAAGCCTCCAATAGACCTTCTTGAAGCGATCTTCTTCCCCCATGCTCATCCATATGGGAGCCTATGACAAAAGCATGAAGACAAACCAGTCCACTTCTCGAACCATTCAAACCTATCAACACAGTCAAGGTGTTGAACACATAGTTTGTGGACAAATCACTTTGTAGTATCAAACTTCAGGTTCACGGAGTGTCGGGTCCGTGTTTTGGCTAGTCGCGTTCTCTTGAATCTTTGGAAGTTGTTTGAAGATGGCAACATAATTCCTCGTCCATGGACGGATTTACAATAAAAGTTTGATCTGTAGGCCACTGAACAAGTGCTTATTTAAGGGTTTCATACCCTGATACCTCAGTCCGAGATTGCCACATACGACCGCACCGCTCGGTAGGCTGTTGAGTTTGAGTGGCTAGGCGTGCTCCACGATCACCTAGCGACGAAGCCTACTATCATCTTTCAGGCAGCGTACCACTTTCTTCCTTACATTCCAACTGGAATAACTGATACGATCTTGCCGGCTAGGTATCCAAGGTTCTATCTAGGGATGCGCTCCAGACGCACATTGGCGGTCCAAACACCGGCACCAAAGGAGCAAGTCTACAGAGGCATACTTCAACGCATTCGCGTCATAACGATTCCGAGCAACACTTAGAAACGTGCATGCCGGATGTATTACTTGGCGCTATTGTGCAGGCTGATATTTGACCCAAGAGGTTGGTGTGGGCGAGGTGGCGACCAATTCTACACGGCTAAGAAGGGCCGGAAACTTCATCAACCGCAAACTCACCCCTCCCGCACCATCCATGAGAAATGGAATGGAGTGCTACCAGCGTCATTCGAGTTGGACTAGAAGAAAGTGTGGACAGGCTCACGGCCGCAAAAAGAAGCAGCATTCTTGTGGAGTATTTATCATCGAGCCGTCGCAGTGAACCAGTGGCGTCATCAAGCCTTTGCAGAAACATCCGATCTATGTGTTTGGTGTGATAAGGTAGAACCTGAATCAATATTGCATTGCTTCTTCAACTATAGGATGTCAGTACATGCTTGGACCTTCGCAATGTCATTGTTGCATGCCGCTGCAGGAACTCCAGTTTCAAGCATGCCATGACGTACCCTCTCTTGGGAGCAATATGTGTTCGGTAAGCCGCTTCCGCTTTATCTTCAACGAGTGTCCAGGTCCGGGACGTTCATTGGGGGCGCGATGCTTTGGATCCTGTGGATCTAGAGGAATCAGTTAGTCTTCCACAACCACAAATGGCCACTAGCGCTCCTGGAACAAGTTTATGGGATGCGGTAATCGACTTGGGTAGGACGGCAGCAGCTAATATGGGTTGGTCTTATAGGCACCCGTCACACGGTGTGCCACATGCAATCAGGGAGTTCAATGTCATATGGAACTATGTAGTGGTTTTTTTTTCTAAGGGGTGAAAAGGTACTGTGGAACTCCGAGCCACTACGAGCTGGCTGCTCTTAGTGGCCAGAGGTAGCCACTTTTATCTTTAGGTAGTCAGGTTGTTCATAGGCTTTTCAGGTGGAGAAACAAAAAATCGGTATTGCCAACATAACCCGGTGTGTTCGGCGTGCGGTGTTTTGTTTAGGCCATTTGTGGTTGTTTTGTTAGTCTTTGCAGTGAAATAAAGTGACCATTTGCTTCTTTAAAGAAAAAAATACTCTTTTACATATTCTCATTCACATATGGAGAGTCAGAAAGTTTCAATCATGATTTAAAAAGGTCAATGATAATGAAGGTAAAATAATGGCTAGACGAGTAAAAACTTGTACTGCAGAGTTCAGTGGACTTTGAAGTAATACTCATAAGTATATCATATGTAAATACTGGTTGCTTATGACCGAATATTTCAGTCTATTAAATAATACTGAGCATGGTGCAGAATTGTGGTGTTAGAATAATAGGTTTCTTTAGTAAATCATATTCTGGGGCATTCAGGCTGATGGCCTGAATGCCATCAGCCGCAACAGACATACGGGAGTAACCAGGGCATGAAAGGTGCAGAACTGCAACATGCGACTACTCTCAGAGTTTAGAGAGAGCTCGGTTAAGCAAAAATTCGTGTCGTGTCACTCGCACAGTTTGTTGAGTTCAGCCGGAATTGCGAGCGGGAGCCACCACTTTCAGTGAAGAAGCTCCGGGGTTTACGGCTCTAGCCGACTTTTGAAGAGAAGACTTGCATTAATTATCATCACAATCGTGTGGCTCATTCGTCCTGCAATGCCTGTAACTCATAAGTTGCTGGTAATCATTATTACCGTAGACTTACGTCCAGTTGTCTCTTTGGACGAATTACAAAACAGTCGATCTTCACCCTGGACATAGTCGTTTCCCTCCAACCTGCAGATTACGACCCATGCACAAAAAGAAGGGAACGAACCACGGGCTGCGAATCATCTCACCACCGCCAGAAATGTAAAACGTTTCAAGCGTGCTGGAATTGTTTCTACCTCACATTTTGAGTAGCCTGCAACATACAAATCCTCAAATGTACCAGATTTACTCCTGCGTAAATTGGAAGAAGTATTAACCAATGAATCGGGACAACGACGACTAATGACGGCCTACAGTAGAGAACACTTTCAAACACCTTCAAGCATTGATTTAATTTGACTGTCAATCCTTGTAACACAAATCATCATTGAGACCAAACTTGCACATTCACGTCATATTCACTCCGCAAAAGGTACTCAGAAAAAAGGCTTGAGTATCCAATGCACCGCGCGTTGCGAAAGCACGCTGTCCGAGTTTGAGTAACTGCAGGCAACTCAGCTGAGTCAAATAAATTATACACATTCGTAGCTGGAGCTAAAACAACTAAGTTCTACAGGCCATAAAGCAGAAATTGCCTATCAAAGGTCATCATATGAATCCTATACAGCCCAAAGAATAATTCGATCAGATCATGTTTTCCCAGGTCTCAAATTTCGAAGTGCCCAAAATCTTCCCGTCCTGCTCTGAATTGAAACTACGTTTCATACTAATCCTCGGCGATTAAACCCGAAGTCTGCAATATTTTTAAGGGGATACCTTTCCTCGGAAAAAATTGAATAGAGATTATCTGTAGAGTCTTCAAATGAATAATGCGCATCCATTTCCTTGTGAACCCCTTCCAAACAGCGGTCTTAGAAACTGCGAGTAAAGACTTCTCAAATTTACATAAAATTATTCCTGATTCGACCGCCAAGGGATTTTTCAACTCCGGCCGCTCTATACAGTTCCCAAAAAGTAGTGACAAGTTATTTCAGAAACTTCAAAACCGATTCGTACACCACAAAAGTGATGGATGATGAAGGAACCGTTCTAATCAAGGCTGGTGAAAGTCCTTTGTACAGGCCCCGTACACCCTCATACCTGATTAAAACCATCAGACAATACAAATAAGTCTTCCTCTTGTAACAAGTTCAGCTTTCCACGACAGGTTTAGTACCAACAATGTCCGTGAACTGATCCAAAGGCGGTCCAATGAATTAATAACGACTTCTTCCCCGGGATATTAGAAAAAATTATACATAGTCTTTCACCAGTACCTGAAGGTTTTCTTCAAAGCTTGCCATCCACCGACATAACTGGCCACGCCCTTGTCGTCCGGTCTCTGTTGTATCCGAGATCGTACTACCTGCACGCAAACAGTGGCATGGTTACGAGGGAATAAATCGTAAACAAACTTCAACTAAACAATAACGAATTGAACAGCCAAACTCCATTATGCCAGTTCAAATCCATGCAGGCGTATGAAGCATACGGGAGGATGTGTGATACGCCTGCAATCCAACTAAGCTCCAGTGACTAATAGAGTAGAAAAAAGAAAGGAGCACTGAATCGGAAAAAAAAAAACACTGACGACTTGATTACGACTTGCGATTTCCAACATGGATCAACACTGTGACGGGTCATTAGAGATGAAAGGAAATAATCTCCGTACTGAGTAAGGGTAGGTGCAGAAAAGTGCAAAGATCTTCGATGCAGCACCCAAAACTGCAAAATCCACAGATGCCTGCCAAGTCCATGAAGCCTGATCGTCAGTTTTACACCGAAATTGGTCCTCAACGATCCTGTAGATCTTTGCAGATTAGAATTACCGTTAATACTATGTAAAGACCTTGAATAGTATGAACGGTGTTCACACCATTCCTTAAATTGATGTTGAAAAATACATGCATTGCATGAGTGGCTTCAGAAAAGAAGTGTCCACGCATGCGGTCTGAATCTGGTAATCAGTATCTATAAATACCCAAAAGAATAGCCACTCTTCTTGTCAGTACAAGACTGACTTTCGAGATGACCTTCTCCAGAGTCATAATGATGAAAGAACATATATGAACGACGCTAACATACGGGACATGGATTAGCCATGATATTACTTCAGGCAACTCTGACTCCCGAATACAAGAGAAACTTTGTAACGACGAGGTCGCTGTGCAAGGCGATCACAGATAGAATGGCCACATCCAATTCAATGGTAGAGAATCTTACCAATTTCGGAGCTGCTCCGTCAGAATCATGATCTGGAACACGTTTGGAGCGGGAGGCCAGAAGGAACTTTTGCATCTCTTCATAAGCCATGAACTGCAGGGCTCCGTGCGAGACCTAGTGCAACATCATGGGAGTTAACCTCGTTGTCCGTCAAGAAAAGTGAACACATTTCACAAGTTCTTCTGTGAGTACCAAACTGGACAGTCTGTCGAACGTAAAGGTTGTGATTTACATCACAAAAGAGCATATATCTATGTAGAGCGTTCTGGATCCTCACAGCCACGTGACGAGATTTGTTACGTGTAAGCATTCTGGTAGACTCATAATATGTGGACGTCTCAAACGACAGTTTCGTGAACCGGTGAAGTATTTTATAAATTGACTGCTCTATACAAAAAGCCCAAAAAAACCTGTTAAGTGTCGTGCTACCAATGCTAATGTCTACGGACCTATTACACGGATAAAAAGGAATCTCGATCTCACTCTAGTTCGATAAGTAGAAAGACATGAGCTCAGATAATATGTGGAGATCCTTTAGGGGCACGTCAAAGCTTCTACGTGCCCATCTAAATTCACCACGAGATTGAAAAATCTCTTTCTTTATGTCCATGTTTACAATGAGCACGCCCCCAATACGTCCCATCAAGAATTAGGACAACCCCAGTACCTATAAAAACACTAACTCGCGAATGAATTGCTGCAATCACATTCAAGAAGAGATGAAGAGTAATTTAAATCTTTACCGCGTCCAGATACATGCATCCAAGACAACAAAACAAAAAACTAGACTCCAAAACTAGATTAACCTTATGTGCACCAATGATTCAAATTCCAATAGTTCAATTTCACAAGACCGCAGTACTTACCAAAAGTAGACCTGGCCCAAGACCTTTGTAGAGACCTCGCAATCCTTCCTCCCTAACAATGCTCCGTAATGCATCTACTCAGGAGACGGTAAGTTTTCACGCAGATCATCTGCAGATAGTTGAATATCAATTTCCTTCAAATTCGCGTTTATAGATTGACAGGTCAAATTTGGGAAAACTTAGCGCATGCATCAGAGTAAGACATCTGTAGGTGGTTAACAGAAGTATCGTGTTTGCGGCAGATGAGGAGAAAAGTAAGAATAAAATCAGGACAGAAATTGATGGAGAACAAAGGCAAAATACATCAGGTATTTCACTCGGTGGGCAAAGTACAGTTCTTGACCGGGCTTCAAACCTCAAACTCAACAAATGAATGACGCAATTTACCACATTGTTGAGAGTACGACTGATAGACCTACCTGCAACACCTGTGTAAGGTTTCTGAGTTCCATGTCCCGGAGCCTGAAGCTGCAACCGTGTCTTCACTAGCCACAGGGGGTTTGTAACAAGACAGACCTGCCAACCAGATATTCAAAATAATCAAGAGAAGTTCTAAGTAACGAACAAAAATGTCATATCTTCCGAAACATTATCTCCACAACGCAGATGAAAGCCTCGCCCTCTACTGAAACTGCCAAAACCTTGCTCTATCTCGCATCGGATTTTTCACAAAAATCCAAATATCACAAAACTGAGGCTATCAGACACTGTTCTTATAAGTGACCGGATCCGAATTATGCACAACAAGAAAAATTTTACCGAAGTAAATAAACTTACTAGCGAACCAGCTTCAACGGCTGAGATAAGATGAAGGACAGGTCCTAACTCGCCATTTACCATTCCTTGGTATCTAGCTTTCGCATTGCTGTAGCTGAATAAACATGGTTTACAAAACTATCCAGTAAATAATCATGCTTTCTTGTAAAGGATTCGATACATTTGTATGGTTGTGTGAGGTCTACAATATGAGTAAGTGACCTTCATACATCAGAAAAATCAGGCTATTCATTGAGGAAAATGGCTGAATAGTTAGTACATAAACTCACAATAAAAAGTATGCTCCCCAAGAAACGCTTGACCCGATCAGTGCAGGTGTCAACCCAGCATACAGCCCTCTCAACCCCTGCAGTCACCAAAAAAGGCATACAGAACACAGATTTAATATCCTCTCGCGCGTCGTTCCCATGAGTAGAGAAACACGGCGGTTTGCAATACAAGTGTACAAATAGAGGTCTCTAGTACACTCGACTTCAAAATGGAAAGCATATCCACTCACATCGAGCCTTCAAAGACGCAATGCAGCACTTTAGTTGTTGCCCTGAGGTGAACTAACCTCTATTCTTCCAATGGTTGACAAAGCATGAATAGTACTTTTGTAGCTGGGTATTGAGGCGTTACGCCCATCGTTCACTGCAAAAAGAAAATAGTAAGACCAGGATTTTATTTTGCGACCAGTCCAAGATTCATCCCCTGCATTCCATTCATAAGAGCTCGTGAAACAAAGGCACACGCATTAACTGACTAGACAACGATTAGAAGCACTGAAAACCGATCCCAGGCATACAGTTTAATTTTCTTTAATTTTTTTTAGTTCAAACTTTGTACGAACGAGGATTCTTGTGATCGAATCTATGCTCACCATTTTGGAGTTTGCAAATAAGGATATTGGAGCATTTACGAGTAGTGAAAAATAGAACTGTAATTCATCTATCAGTCAAACAAATAAATAATTCAATTCGCTGCGCGATTCGCGTGGTTTGGATTAGAGAAGAACACCAAACTGACACAAAATTTAGTACCTTGGAATCGAGTTCGGACGATGTCTAGAGGGTGTAGCGAAACGACTGTGGCAAATCCTGCCACAGCTCCTGCTGTGGCATTCTCCCACTGCCAAGAAGACATACCAAGATTTCAAAAATTCACCGGCACATTGGTCCCAAAGTGAGAGATCGCGCAGGCTACTTTGATTAGATGCTGTCCTCACAACGATTTTTCTTCGTGATCCAGCTTCCACATTCCGTAATTCGAATCGTCCATGAAAATCCTCCATAGATTCGCCTAATCATAGAAACTGCACACCGAGCCATGAACCCTGTATATGAATCCAACCCTAATTTCTTCCCCCGAACCCTAACCGAGTTGTGTGATCATGTTCGTTCTTACTTCAGCCCTTCGTTCTAAATAGGAACTCCGTGCTTCAGTACTTGGTTAGCTTTACTACGGAAGTCTCACGGTTCTGCTTGATTGTCTGCCAATGCCCTTCACACATTGCGCACAATTGTTCCTTTTCTCATTTTTACAAGCTCACAGTGATGTTTATTTTGCGGTACAAAGGTCCCCTGAAAACGGCCCCTTGAGCCGATTAGGCTCGAAATGCACAAGCCTGAAAAAGATAAACATTTATAATGAAAGTTGAAAATTTTCAGCAACAATTCCCATGTTTCAATAACATGACAATAAATAGATTAACTGTTACATTTTAGAAATGAGCAATGCAGAAATGAGATTTTTGAAATGTGGTAATGTTTCGTGCTTAGTTATTATCTGTTTCAAATCCTGTCTTTCTTCGCATTAAGGACAATGCAATTCTTAGATACATTTAAATGCTAGGGGGATTCAAAAAAGTGCTTTAAGTTTTGTGATTGCTGATTGAGTAAGATGTGGAGACTAATATTTTGTGCAGGGTACAAAGTTTCCAAATGGAAAATATATAAATTTTTAAGGTTGAAGTGAAGGACATTCCTACTTTTGCTCTTCTAGTAGTTTTCCCACAAGATGATTTGTATGAGTGTTTATGCAGACTTAGAAAATCAGTTCGCTTCTCCCTTCATTGTAAGCAGTTATGTTCCGAAGCAAGTCAAGTTCATCAAGAAGTTTCTGGCGGTGAGAACTCTCCGCGACAAAATCTATGTCAGTTTCGAGGTCAAAGTTGCCCCACTGTAAATTGAAGACATCGATCAGAATGATGTTCCTCTTACATTATTCCTTAAATATTGTGTATATGATTGATAACCTTTACTTTAAATATTAAAAAAATGCATTGCTTTGATGCACAACACAGAGAAGATTGCTTGCTAGCATTGAGGGTATAATTGTATCTTTAATACTTGGCCACCTTCAAATCTTGCAGTTAGAGACATCAACTAAACCTTCTGAATCAGCGATTGCGGGTTCACCCGCAATTAACCACTTATCAAGAGATCAGCTGATCAGTTTTGGGTGGTCTTTTACACTTGGCAGTTTGCTAACCTCAGAAATCCGCTCCTTGGCGTATATAGAGCAAAATGTGCTCCTTGAAGCAAAGGAGCAGATTTTGAGGTTGGCAAACTGCCAAGTGTAAAGGTCCACCCAAAACTGCAGCCGACGGACTTACACACTATGTCAGCCTTTCTTAAGAGTAACAAATTAAGTATGCAGTAGTGAAATGCAGAGGCCTATTTGATAGTTATGATTGACGCTACTTAACAATCACGGAATTAGGAAGTTTGATTAAAAACCTCTCGGAGGCTTCTATATCTATCCGTTGCTGTGATCTTCGGTGATTGGGAATGATTTGAAACATACTAGACTCGTGCTGAGGAGGCGTAGGGGCTAGCACATGTCGAGTGAGATAAGATAAATCGGGTCATCCTCTCATAAAATTGACGCTTGTAACTAGTTAATTAAACTATCTAACTATGGAGATCGTCCGATCATATGTCAAGACGTGAAATCTTTATAGCATAAGGAATTCAGTGTTCGCACAGTCTCGCATGCAGCGTTTGTTATGTATTGTATATGACAAGCGTTTGGTACGTTCATAAGTTTCCAAAGGGTCAAATATCACGGGGCAATTCATTGTTCAGAAGCCTCCAGAAACACATTTCTGATCTATGACTAGATTGAGCTTTATATATCTCCCAATAGATGCTTTCATTTGCACCTCGCAGGTTGAACATATCAACAAAAACTTTCTACTCAATTCGGTTAAAAGAAAACCGATTTTACAGAAAACTGTTCTTTTTGTATGATGTGTGCGACAAGCATAATTCCTTCTTTATAATTTTTCTCGTACATCTATCGAATTAATCATCAGTTTCTTACTCTAATAGAATATGACTATAATTTGCAAATATTTTGGGCTTTTATAGGTTCAACTTGATTGTAAAGAATGATAAATAATGCGTTTTTTCTGAGTAACTGAATAAGATAGAAATCGGGTTAAAAAAACTAGACTGACAGTTTGCTGTGTTACATCTGTCTTTGACGCTATCAGATTTTACGTCTACCTATCAAGCTGTTGTTGAATTGATTCTTGGAGCTAATATTATATATCTGTAAACAGTATGTTTAGTAAAATCTGTGTCATATGGAATGTAGATTAAGTATTCTGTATAGAAATAATTTCAAACCAGACTCTGAATAAGACCTGTGTAAGCATGTGGTTAATTCATTTTCATAACTAATCTGAAGTCGGTAGCTAAAGTTTAGAGTACTGTATGAGACTTGGAACTGAAATGGAATAAACTAGAGGTAGACACATGTACTCTTCCCATCTTGGTTAAAAGCTAGCCAAGTGATCATTGTTGTATTCAACTCCCTATAATAGAATTAGTGATCTTTCCGGATATAAGCAGCGTCCAACCTAGGTTACACATCAATTCCTCTTTGGATTACAGGGAAGCTTCTTTTTTAGGCCAACTTAAGATTTGCTTTATGAGGTTAAATAAGTGAACCTTGGAATTTATATAATATTTCATAGGTGTTTATAGATCTACATTTATGCGGGTAAAACATATACATATTGTTGTTATTGTCTAGCCATGAGTGTTAATCTTTGTCATGTCAAGCTTGTGGTCGTGATATGATTTTGACAATACATTTGAAGTTATATATAATTTGTGTAGATTTGAAAGCAAACAGCACAACTTAATTTTTCCCAATCAAATGATTACTTTTGAGTTAATTGATTACGTTTTGCATGCTAAAACAACATTTTATCTGAAGTGGAGCACTATGAGATAGACTTACTTTTCTAGTGGAATGACATGAACAATTAGTTTATATCTACGTATACATATCACTTGTTATATATTATTTTTACCATATCAAAGTTTCATATGTATTTTTGATACTATAAACAATCAAAAGAATATATACGAAAGACCTGGGTTTAATGGAGATGCAAAATATTTTTAAATATAAGATACTAAATTAAAACTAATTCAAGTATAAAAATAATCTTTGACACAAAATTCAGAACTAAGTAAATGGCCAACAACCCAATCCCGTGTTTTGTCAAGTTTTCTTCCCAGATATATAAGTGAGCCATGTTTTTTATAATTGGACATTTTTTCCCAGTTTAATATCAATTCTGTTACAATATTTGTTCAGAGAAATACATACTTCATTCTTAAAATAATAATATATATAAATACATCATACACATGAGTAATTATTCGCATATGAAATGAGCTTAATAATAATATAAATGTGTATCATCATTGTCTATAGTAAAGATTTTTCATGTGTGGTGATGAAACTCACGGTGATTTTTGCCATGTCATTAATTCTAACAAATGTGTATGTACATCGTAACATAATTTGATATTATGATTTTTGTTTGTTGAAGTTCTCATAAGTTTGATATTAACCAATTAATGATAATGTTCTTGATTTTAAAACAAAATAAAATTAAAATGTGTAGATCCTAAACTTTGTAACCCAGTGTTATAAATTTCATTTTTAAAAAATGAAATCATTCATAAATCATAGTTATATTTTTGTAATTATTAAACTTAAAATATAAAATTCAAATTCTTGTGAAGTATATTAGTAGTCTACTTTTAGTTAGGACTATTATGTTCAAGGGATGTGTTCCATTGTAAGGACGTGATTACAGGTGAATGTGTGTTACACTATGTCCAACATATACCTTGAACTCTCTCGGATCGGCTATTTAAATCTAATCTTAGTACCTATGTTTATCAACAACTCTATCTATCAAATACTTCCTCATTCATGAGTCGACTCTCACCATTGAATTGTTATATTTCTCTAATGTAGTATTAGAGCTGGTTTTACTCTTATGCAAGGACGCTTGAATCAAAACAAGCACGAAGTACACTTATTGCTTCAAATCATCTCTGAGCTACCATACCATTCGACGAGATTCCAAAACTCAATCAAGCACCAAATTTTGGCAACCAAAGACCATGACTCTCTTAAGCACCAAATTCATGTCTCTCTTCAAGATTTTTTGCTTTGCACTAGGCGGGCGGAATTTGCCAAAGAATTGTCGGTGCTGATCTAAGTGCTAGAGGATCACGAATTGAAGAAATTTTTAAAATTTTGCAGAACGGTCTAAACCCATCTCACGTTTCTTATTGGTGGGTGAACAATCCAACACTTGGTGAATTCTACTTCACAATGATAGAAAGAGCTGACATCGAAGTATAAAAAAGCAACGTCGTTACGAACGTTTGGTTGTCACAAGCTAGTTATCCATGTGCTAACGTTCCTGACACCTCTAGCTTCAAATTTTAAAAGACTAAAGGATCAATAAGTCATGCTTTCACAATTTGTATTCGTACCGAAAATCAAAATCAAATGTGCTTTTATAATTTTGTTCTACACAAGATTTATGTTCTCGTTTAAAATTTTGTTCAACATTTTAAAGATTATTGAAATTCAAGCACAAAATTTCACAAAATCTTAAATTTTGAAACAATTTTTGAAAGTTGTGTCAACAAACTACACCACTCCATGAAGAACGTAAATCAAAGCAAACATTTTGAGTAAGATGAATACTTCAAGAGCTTCCATCCGAATTGCATGAAAATATTATACTAAATTTAATTGGAAGCAATTTTATTCCTAAAAAACCATATAAGTTGGATCCTTCGAGTTGAAAGATTGATGGACATTATTAAAGATATTGAGCTCCGGCCGATCAGTCCATCTGTATCTACAAGCAGCACACCTACGTCCGGCGCTGGAAAGTAAAAGGAATTGAATGATAAAAACCACATCTCCTTGACAATATTGAATAATGCGCTAGAGTTTCATCAACAACCTCTAATCGCTCGCTATAGTATAGCAGCAAATGTTTAGACCAAGCTGACAAAGGTATTTGAATCGCGTTACGTTCTGATGCAATTGCATCTAAAAGAATCATTGCATTTTCTAAAATTGAAGACAAGCAAGTATGTGGTGAAACATATCACAAAATTTTATCTCCTTCTCGACCAATTGATTGTTGTATAACATATCATTCTAGATGAAGAAGCTTATAGATGTCTCCTTCGAAGTCTTCCTATCGAATACCAAAACTTTGTGCACTCAATGCAAACAAACGAGATGTTAACTACACAATTTGTCATAGGAATTATTCTTCATGAAGACACACACCTAAAAAAGGAAGAGATGATTAATGAAATGGCAGCGCTCTACACCACATAGAGAAGAATGTCGACTCCCTCCAAGCAAAAGCTGAAACCAAGAAGATTCGGTGAGGCATGTCCTTCATATTCATCACAACAAGAACCTACATCAAAACCATCTTTTCCTAAAAAAAGATGAAATGCTTCTATTGCAAAAAGCAAGTCCATTTAGTTAACGAACGTCGGAAGAAAAAGCAAAAAAATCCTTCCACACATTCTAGATCGAGCAGTGGTTGTATGTATTCGTACTCTCCTCAATCGTGATGGATCTGGCATGGTATGTGGATTTGAGTGTCATTCAACACATGACATATAACCGAAATGTCTTTGTTACATATACAGATTTCCCATCGAAAGAGTTTGGGTATCTGGGCGACGACAGTTGCCAACCCATTCGAGGCAAGGAAAATGTTTTCATTTTCTTGAATGATGGAACAGAGAGAGTATTACTTTATGTCCTACACTTTCATGCTCTACTCAAGAATATGTTCTCCATAAATCAGTTAGTCTCCCAAGGCTTGAGTTCACTTATCAATCCATCTTGAAGAACAAGATGGTCAACGTAATTATCTGATGTCAGCGGTGAATTTACCTACTTACTTTTGGTATCTTGTAGTATTCTACTTCTTCTACTATGAGGGGTACCAAGAGTAAGCAAGATAATTCAGATAAATACATCGTTACCATGGGATTGAGTACAAATCAACATTAAAAATTCAAGATTCAATCATGTGACAAACATAAACTTAGAATGAAACGTGATGTAGATGTTGTCAAGAGCCATATATAAGTAACAAAAACTACTGAATGCAGTTGATGATGGAAAAAAATATATCAATAGAATAAAATAAGACTATAAATTATCATGAATTATAATTTCATATAAATTATATAAAATAAAAACATATGATGATATGTGTTTTCAATTTTATTTTTTTAGATTTATATAATGACATATATCACTGTAGCTTAAGAGACAATTTCTTCATTTTTCCTATTTTAAGTCTTATTGTTTATAATGATTGAGCATGATAAAATAAGAAATTTAATCAATCTTGATCAAGGTTATACATTTTTAGATTTTTATTGAATTTATGTATAATTGGCTACATTATAGCTCTGACACCACTTCACTTTGAGTATATTCAATTTTTAAAGAGTTAAGTTTTGACTTATATCACAATAGTGATGGATTATGATATAAAAAATTTATTGAAGGATTTGCCTATCCTTAAAATTAACATGATATTTATCTTCATTTGATTGTTTAAATAATAATAATATTTAATTTTTATATTTTTTTCCAAATCTATTTTCAAATGTCTGTTTTGAATATAAATACTAATTCAAATTTAACATATTATTACGAAAAGAGATGATTGATTTGTTTTAAATTCTTTATTGTTTAACATAATACAAATTGTAAGGCTTGTGTAAACTTGGATGATGATATCAAATATAACAAATTTCATAATTTTTTATGTAATTGACAAAAAAATTGAAATAAGCTACAGTCTTTGATGAATTTTCGTTACAAATATAATCATGGTGTATATACCTCCACAAATATAACTATAATGTGGAAGATCAGGTTTTGCAACTCATAGTATGCTCCAACTCCAATTGCTCTATTACTCTAACCATTTCCCTCCATAAGACAGTTTTGGTACATCTTTTTCTTGCGCTACACTCCTCAAGCTGGCTTTACTTGTTGCCAATTTGTTATTAGCGGTTACGTGCCCGGTAGCTTTATTTGACTATTTCGCGATCATAGGAGACACAACCATGAGGCTACTGAATCTGACAGCCAATCATATGTGTCGGGTAGCTTTATTTGACTATTTCGCGATGGTAGGAGACACAACTATGAATCTGGCAGCCATTGATACGAGGGCGAATCGCATGTAACTTCACTTTGAGAACCTGCTGATGAGTCGTGGGGAGCTTTGGTGTTCGAGATGGATTGGTGATCGAAATGGATAACTCCACACCTAAGGCACAAAAATATCAGCCCATGGTGAGTAGAAGTGTCACTTCCACGACAAGAACCCTTCGAAAGGCTGCCTAAAATAACGGCAGAATAAAAAATTTTAAGCTGATGTTGTGAAACAAATGAACCAACTGCTCGGCAACTAAAAAATTAGCAGAAAAGAAACAAATCGACCAACAAATTAATTCAAATGATGAGCTACAACGGTTTAGAAGCGTCCATTTAGGCTTAGTCTCCAGTGTATGTTACCAGGCCAAAGTGGCCCTGAGCCTTACGGCCCACAAACGATGAAAGTTAGTGTTTTAGAAATATAATTTTCTCAATTTCGTTATGCAGGATTTATCCAAAAGTATTTAGACTCAACTCTTGACGTGAAAAGAATTTCTGTGAAGTTTATCATGTAATTTTGATGAACTTCGTCTTAGGATGTTTCTTTCATTTTGTATACTTTTTCATGAACTATTTTTTAAAAATACCAACATAATATTAAAAAATGTAAAATACTTTTTGGGGTATTTTTTGTTCTCAACGGACATATGTTTGGTTCTTCAAATTATTTTTATTATTAAATAATCGTTTGTTAGGGAACTTTTATAATTGTTTGAAAGTACTTATGGATGTATAAGTAAATTTAAAATACACTTGAGTATTTAACTATAGTATACATGTATAGAGAGAGAGAGAGAGAGAGAGAGAAATATCAAATATATAAAGATCTGCTAATTTTTAAACGGATGTTAGAACATCATCTGATCATACGATTTGAAGTCATGTAATGTAAAGATCATTATTCAAGAAGAAGTGCAAAGGTTCTACTCTAACTTGCAAGCAGTGTTATATGAAAAACTGTATACACTTGGTGTTTGTACGATGATTTAGTTCTACTCTTAACCTTGCGTGAAAACCTGAGGACGATTTCGCTGGGTTAAAAGACCGTATCGAAACTCTAGTTGATAAGAGTGATATCATAAACTCCCATTTACAAATCAAAATATAACGGTATCCATTACTTTGATTTCATTAGATAATAAGATGATTAGAGATCACGTTCAGTCCCTCTCTGAACTGGCAATTATCTCATCCAGAAAACCGAACACTACACAACTTTTACCAAGAATGTTTCGAAGACCATGTATTGTGCTCAGATCCACAATAATATATGTTCACATCAGAAGTAGAGATCGTTAGTGGCTGGTCATTTTGTTCGGTTCCTTTCGCACTTCGTGCAATATTCAATTTTCAGCCTAGAAAAAAAAACGCGAGAGATCTCGACATGAAGAGATAGCTCTCTCGTGTGCAATGTTCGTTCTGCACGTATCGATTACTCTCAGATTCCTACCTAATCGATCGGATCGGCTACATAGGCTTGCAGAGCAAAGTTCTTGAAGCGGTTGACAGCACATACCAGTTCCGAGAACCATGTCAGGGACCAGTGATCTCCGGTCGCTCGAGATATGGCAGCAGCAAAGCGGACAACGCAGATGTCTCGACGAATCATGACGGCCACGCCTCTGATTCGCAAGCTCGAAGCCCCCTCTGGCACCGATCACGACACCGAGACACACTGCAGCCAGTTACGAAGATGGAAGCAGATCCCATCTCTCTCTCTCTCTCTCTCACTCGTTCTTCGTTTCCTTGTCGAAGCGATCCTCATTTATTATGGTGCACGGGGCAGCGCCGGTCGGACGACCGCTTGCAGCAGGTGGGCGGAAACCGGGAACCGGCAAGGGGAGAGAAAAGGGAGCCTTTCCCTGCCAGCCGGGAAAGGACTTGTCGGCTTGTCAGGCCGGCAGCAGGCTGGGAAACGGAACGTACTAGAGAGAACATGAAGAGTACCGTGAGTGAGCCCGTGACCGACCGGGAACAGTAACGTAACTAGACTGCTTGCGCTATTAATGAAAGGCTTCCAGGCTCTTCTCTTCTCGCTGTCCGATCCGGCCACGCACCCTAACGAGCGCCGCTCCTTACGAGAACGACGCGGGACCGAGCCGGGTCCAGCAGACGGCGGTACAAGAACTCGGAGCTTGGAGGAACTGCGAGAACAGGTCCAGAAGGGTCTGGAGAGATGCTGCTAGAAGTGTGTGGATCGACGGCAAAGTTAGCAGGAAAATTGCGCCTGCTCTTAAATTTCCTGAGTAAAAAACGAGAAAATTCCACGTGGGTAGGTGACAGTGCAGGAGCAGCAGGCCGTAGAGGTTTCGAGAGATGACAGCGGACGAATTCGCTCTCCCTCGCTCTTGCCTACGGTCGTGGTCGTGGTGCCTAGGGTTAGATCTTCCAGACGCTTTCAGAAGAAGCGAAATCTGGTATATAGTTCCTGGCTCGCCCCAAGTGCTCTCAGTCAGTCGAGTAATCTGCAAAATACGAACATCTGTGGAGTGAGCGGGAGTTCTTTCGTGCGCAAATTGGAGCTGCGGAGTTGTGTTAGTAGTCTGGTAGATAGTGAGTGATTCGAAGATCGGTGCTTCGTCGAAATCTTGATTCCGAGTGCCGCAACCGGGGGCATACGAGTGTGAGCTGCGATGACGGGCAAGGGCGAAGGTCCGGCCATCGGTATCGATTTGGGCACGACGTACAGTTGTGTTGGAGTGTGGCAGCATGATCGCGTCGAGATCATCGCGAACGATCAGGGTAACAGAACGACGCCTTCCTATGTGGCCTTCACGGACACAGAGCGTCTCGTCGGAGATGCTGCGAAGAATCAAGTGGCTATGAACCCGATCAACACCGTGTTCGACGCCAAGAGGTTGATCGGTCGCCGATACAGCGACGCCACTGTCCAGAGTGACATCAAGCTGTGGCCATTCAAGTGTAGTCCAGGGCCAGGTGACAAGCCCATGATCCACGTTGTCTACAAGGGTGAGGAGAAGGAGTTTGCAGCTGAGGAAATTTCCTCCATGGTGCTCATCAAGATGAAGGAAATCGCAGAAGCGTTCCTCGGCAATACCATCAAGAACGCTGTCATCACAGTGCCAGCCTACTTCAACGATTCTCAGAGGCAGGCTACTAAGGATGCAGGAGTCATCGCGGGGTTGAACGTCATGCGAATTATTAACGAGCCTACTGCTGCTGCTATTGCCTACGGTCTCGACAAGAAGGCAACTTCCGTCGGTGAGAAGAATGTGTTAATTTTCGACCTCGGTGGTGGTACTTTTGATGTGTCCCTGCTGACTATCGAAGAAGGTATTTTCGAAGTGAAAGCTACCGCCGGAGATACCCATCTCGGAGGTGAGGACTTCGACAACAGGCTGGTGAACCACTTTGTGCAGGAGTTCAAGAGGAAGTACAAGAAAGATATTAGCAGCAACCCCCGAGCACTTAGAAGACTGAGAACTGCCGCCGAGAGAGCGAAGAGGACTTTGTCGTCCACTGCTCAAACGACTATTGAGATTGACTCGCTCTACGAAGGTGTCGACTTCTACTCAACCATCACCCGTGCTAGATTCGAAGAACTGAACATGGATATGTTCAGGAAATGTATGGAACCCGTAGAAAAATGCCTCAGAGACGCCAAGATGGATAAGAGCTCCATTCACGACGTCGTTCTCGTCGGCGGATCTACCCGTATCCCGAAGGTTCAGCAATTGCTGCAAGATTTCTTCAACGGCAAGGAGCTCTGCAAGAGCATCAACCCCGACGAAGCCGTTGCTTACGGAGCTGCCGTGCAGGCTGCTATTCTGTCTGGAGAGGGTAACGAGAAGGTGCAAGACTTGTTGCTCTTGGATGTCACCCCCCTGTCTCTTGGTCTCGAGACGGCCGGAGGAGTAATGACTGTTCTAATTCCGAGGAACACCACCATTCCCACGAAGAAGGAACAGGTCTTCTCCACATACTCAGACAACCAACCTGGAGTGCTCATTCAAGTGTACGAGGGAGAGAGGACGAGAACGAGGGATAACAACCTCCTCGGGAAATTTGAGCTGTCTGGCATCCCCCCTGCACCCAGAGGCGTGCCCCAAATCACAGTCTGCTTCGACATTGACGCCAACGGTATATTGAATGTTTCAGCTGAGGACAAGACTACTGGTCAGAAGAGTAAGATCACCATTAATAACGACAAGGGTCGCCTGAGCAAGGAGGAGATTGAGAAGATGGTGCAAGACGCAGAAAGGTATAAGTCTGAGGACGAGGATCACAAGAAGAAGATCGAGTCCAAGAACAGCTTGGAGAACTACGCCTACAACATGAGGAATACCATCAAGGACGAGAAGATTGCAAGCTCGTTGCAGGCAGCAGACAAGAAGAAGATCGAAGAGGCCGTCGAAGCCGCCATCGAATGGTTGGACAACAATCAACTTGCCGAAGCCGATGAGTTCGATGACAAAATGAAGGAGCTAGAAAGCATTTGCAACCCGATTATCGCGAGGATGTATCAAGGTGGTGCCGGTGGTCCTCCTACTGGCCATGCTGACGACGACGATGCCGCACCATCTGGTGCTGGCGCCGGACCAAAGATCGAAGAGGTCGACTAAATTACAGAATAGAATGATTGGAGACTTTAGTCTCGCCTTAGAAGATTGCTTACACCATTTTGAATTTGTAGATAGATTTACACTCATAGTTTGCCCTTCCTCCCAATTCAATTTTTTAGGGGTGAGTTGTCAGCCACCGGAAAGGTTGGCGTAGCTGGGCATTTTTTTGGTTAATGTACAATATGAGAAGTAGTGCATGCTGTCTATTTCATTTTGCGCACAAACGCACAATCGTGACGTATAATGCAAATGGCCAGTTATGGTTTCTAAATGAAACACCAAGTTGCAAAAACTCACTTGTGATGAAATATTACCTCTGATCTTTCCTCACTGAATGGAAAAGGAAAGAAGTGATGATCGTATGTGTTATTGTTGAGTACTCAAACAATCTTAAAACTGGAAAAAACTAGATTTGAACGAAATGATAATGTAACCTTTTCACGTATGAACATTTTTTATTCAGTTAAAACATAATTAGACATATATGTCGATATTATTTTACTATTCTACTTTACAAAATATATGGTGAATAATTACACAAAGCACAGAAAGTATATCACTAGCTAACTGAAGACAAAAGGTTTCGTTTGAGTATAAAATAAAGAACGTAGCATGTTACCCTACTCAACTAATTACTGTTAAATTTTCTAACATGTAACAAATAGAAATAAAGACAATGTTCAAGATAAATTATCATATATAAATCTCCATCACTAATCCAAAATGCTATGAAAAACAAAAATGAACAAAGAAAAACTTTAGACTTCAATGTACACCACTTCCAAGTCTTCAGCATAAGGTATGTTGCACATCTACATGTACATCAAATCTCGTATGTCCGGCCGTTAGCCACCAACTCTGCTTTGGAAAGGTTGAAAAGATGGCGGGTGGAAAAGCATGACAGTGCAAGTTGATATAACTGCTACAGCAATGTCGGCAGACTTTCAAAACTGGTTTGGACAGTTTTAAAAAACAGATGATAGCGATGGCTGGATGTTGATATAACTGCTACAGCAATGTCGGCAGATTTTCAAAACTGGTTTGGACAGTTTTACAAAGCAGATATAGCGATGGCTGGATGTAGAAATGCGATATAGGAGATGGTTCTAAAATCTGTGGAAAGATCAGCGAAAGTTCAGGGCGAATATGGGGATAAACGAAAATGTGAGTTAGGAAAACTCAACCTGTTAAGTAGACAGTTGATAGTGTCCAATGCGATCACCCTATTCGAGCAACCTTTCACACCCTCGCCCTTTTAGTCCTTGATCGACGACAACCATCTCTTGCACAATTCGGGAGAGAGCCGCCCAAGATTCAGAAATGGGGAATCTTGTCGGAGCCTGTGGACTTTGCGTAAGTTGCGGATGACTCTTGGTATCTACAACCGCCAGGAATAGCGTTGCGACATAATCTTTTGTGAGTACTCCTCCTTTCTCTCGGGCTTCTGGGCCTCACGGCAAAGTCAAACACAAAGTAAAATATCACGAAGAAAGTGACTATCGACTATGAACCGACTTGCTGCTTTCGTGAAGAACGAGAGCATAAACAGGTACCTTTGTAGTAATGCACAAATGAGCAAGGATTGGCAACAGCGAGAACCACAGACATAGAACGAACGGAGATTCAGTGAACATTATCCTTGGTGGTTTTCTTTGCATCTGCTAATTATCTTCTATCTGAAACCTTTGCTATTGATCCACCGCACATTTTCATGTACCCTCTTCTGGCAATGCCGTTGACTTCATTGAAGCTGTATATTCAACTTCAGTGGGATTCCAGGAAGGCCAGCCACCATGTTTACCTACGAGGGTTTCCATCGGTCATGATACGGATTTCCACTTCCATCTTCCCGTATTGTTGATATCGAAAATACGGGAAGACTTAAGGGAGACCGGTGGCCTCAGTGCGTGGACAGGGACAGACGGTCAACAAGGAGGTCAGTGCATGAGAAAAAATTTGAGCGAGAACATGGGACAGTTTAAAAACTAAAAATTGTCGTTCTCAAGATTCGATTATTTTTGCCTAGGAGAATAGTAATTTTTCGACATCGGATTGGATTATTTTTAACCTGCACATCTTAAACGTTGTGACATTCTATCACATCAATCAAAATCGAGGTTCTCCTTTTCCATAGTTAGTTGTAAGAACAATATATACTGTCAAGGAAGCAGGTATTATATAGGGTTTGATGATTGAACCCATCTTACATGTTGAGTTATAACGATCAAAGAGAAAATCATTTAGCTTAGCTTTATATCTATCTCGTAATGAGTTGTAATGATAAGATGCACTTTAATTGTTGCACTTTTTATATAGCAAATTTATATATTTGCCAATGTGGATTTGAAGAATGAATAGGTGTTGGTTGAATAAAATAAATTTTTTTTTGGAAATATCGGAAATTGAGTATATAATTAAGATTTTCATTCAAATGAGGTTTATCATAAAAAATAAAATAAAATAAAATATGCTTCATTAATTGAAATTTACACATCAATTTACACATATTGTTATCTTGAATGCATGTGAAATAAAATTAAAATGCATGCAGATCTAAATATAAAAAAATTTAAGTGGTATATAATAAAAAATAATATCATTTGAGCTTAATTTATATTCAATGTTTTAATTTATAAATATCAATAATTTAATTGTAGGAAAATTAATAAAAAATATCATAAATCATCTACATATTAAGATTTTACAATGCCAATTACTAAATATCGCAGTTTGAAAATCTAACTCGGAGAAATTCGAATTAATCATTGTTGCAGTGATACAAAGAAATCCACAATATTTTTGAAAAAATTCTTAAAAGAAAGATGAATCTTATTTTTGCTCAAAACACAAAAACAATATGAAACATTGTGAAATTAATAAAAAAAACATCTGGATTTTGATTATCTTGTCATTAACTCAGTTGTATGCATTAAAGTCTAAAGATATGATTATCAATTTTGTAAGTAATTTTAGAAGTTATTTTTTCAAAAATTTTCTAGACTGGCATCTTTATAATTTATTCCGATGTTATATCAAAAATTCACTAAACTTTCTATCCAAAAAAAAACTTCACTCTAAATCTATATTTAATTAAAAATTTTATCTCAAAACAATTTGCAACCTTCATTTCATATAAATATGGTAAAAAAAAATTTAATTTCTTTTCAAAAAATCAAATATGTTAATTTTCTTTTTTTATCTAGATACAAAAGTTTAAACGTGCATTTTATTCATATATATAAGAAATACAAAATTTTGTAGTCAAACTTTCAAATCATGGATGCAAATTAACTTCTTACTTAAATCATTTATAATGGATATAAAGTACTTCAATAATAAAAATATATTAAGAATTTACTAAATTCATGATATTATTTTGAAAATCATCCAAAAATTTTATATCTTCATATTTTTTCTGACTTCATATTTTATTTCATGAATATGATATTATCAAATTGACAAAGAAAACTAGTGATAACATTTATTCGATTTTGAATGAGATTTATATTATTATAAAAACCACACTATAAATGATGATATATTTGACAAGTAAATGATGAATCATAATGTTATTTTTTCCCTCATATGATATGCTTGATAAAATTTCATATTCTTGTAGGTTTTGTTTGCATGGTAAGTGAAGTCTTATATTCTCTTATAAACAATATATAGATAGTTGATACATTATAACCTTGATTAATCCTTATATTTTATCAATTTATTTAAATTATTTATTTCATTGCACATCATAATATGTTAATGCATAACTTATAGAAGCTACTCATCTTCATTGAATTATTTTCGTTTGTTTTCTAAAATTATATCGTTTTTATTTCATTTCAATTTTAATTTTTGTTGATTCTTTATTCTATTTAGATTGCTAATTTGAAAAAATATTCCAAAAATTAAATGAATATTTTATTAGTTTGTTCACTACTGATAAATAATAAAAGCTCATATAGTGTATGTTAGAATTACAGAGTCTAGTTATGCTCGTGTATTTTTCAAGATGAAAAACTTTCAATTTTTTTAAAACTGAAAAACCTGGTCACCACATTAACTTATCAATCTTAAACCAGAAAATTAATATTTCTTCTCGATATAAAAAGAATGAGAATTGTAAAGAACAAATATTACATCTGTCTATGTTGTTTATTTATTGTTCATATAGTGAATGTTGTATATTGTTGTGACTTGCAATGTAGGTAGTACTTAATCTTTATCTGATTGAATATAATTAATCATTTCACTGAAAGAAGTTGGTAAATCATTTTACATATCATGCTTAATATGAACCTTTTGCTTTAAGGATGAACAAACATCCTGTTTTCGTTTCCTATATGTTGTCATTTCTGATATGCATGCGGAAAGCTTGGCAGTTTTCATAACTACTTATTTTCTTGTTTGGATTAATCACCATTTGTATTACTAATGTTTTGTGATTCAGCATATAAGTCATTGATATTTTACATCTGAAATGATTGAAATCTACAAGCCAATTTTGTTCCTCATGCTAAATATTTGTTACTTGTTCCAAGATTGTTTCTAAGTCTAGTTGCATACTGATTTCTGTTGAAATTGCATAACTTTGATTTATTTTGCAACACTCACATGTTTTCCCTTGAAGGGCATGCATGTACACACATGGACACATAGAACTTTTAAGGTTTCCGCATTCAAGGATGTATTGAATAATGTTACATGTACTACAGTCCCTCGAGACACAACACCGTACCTGTTACTCAACATTCATCTTGGCCAACGTTTATTATTGGCTGAATCACTTGTATCAACGTACATTACATGTACTTATGGATTGGATAACCAAAGTATTTGTATTTAATGAAATTATACTGTTGAGCACGTCATTCACTTTAACACTCTGTGACTTACTATCAGAAACATGCCATTAATGAAAACTAAGAATCACTATGGGGATTTTTTTTAAAATAACATTTTTTCTTAAATAATAAATAAGAAAAACAGAGCACATAATATTTTTTTCTTTACATACCACTTAGAAATGAACTCGGCATTACCTTGAAGTTGGACGTTTCAAACCAATATATTCTATATGATTTCAATGCAATAATCAGTTCGATCCATAAATCTAAAGCATACAATACGCCACAATGATTTTCCGTGTACAAGTAAACATCGACTCGGCCTTTTACTTGAACGGAGATGCTTGAACACTCATCACCGGAAATCTCGAGCAGGAGGCGTAGCGTGTAAAGGAGACAGGCGTTTTGCTTCCAACTACCGCCGATGCTTGCATACTCTAGATAAAGGTCGAGGTGTGAACAAAAGCAACCATGCTATTAATTCATGAATACCTCCATGTCCATGGGATGGGGATATTCAAGGCTCCACGATTTATGCTGAATTCTTCAGCACGTCGTTCGTGCTCCAAACGGCTCGATTCTCCGAGTTTCTGTGCTGCTAAATCGGGACGAGGGCTGCGAACTCAAAATTTGTCAGATGTGATGTAGCTTTAGTCGAGAACGACATGACTCACGCTCGGAGCCTCGGAGCCTCAGAGCCTCGGATGTGCAGTTCCTCCTCTTTAGTAACTCCTGATGCGGCAACGGGAAGGTTGTGTCTATCCCTCGACAGGTACAGCTTCAGCCGCTTGAGCGCGAGCGAGGAGCTTGAATATTCGCTCTACATGACACACGATTCGCCTGCAAGAGTGGGGAGTTGGTAATGTGCAGCCAGAGTCAGTAAGATGCAGCGCATTGGCACGAAAGTGTGGGAGGACTCAGTGACATTCTCATCTACCACCCACTGGCTCAATCATTCCACTCGCTAGTGCAGGAATCTGCTGTGCGAATTGGATCGTACAGTCGAGTCGGGACGAAGGGCTTCGGAGTTCGGAGTTCAGAGTCCAGCCCAGGCGGGCTACCCAAAGCCGAGAAGCGTGAAGAGCGCACGAGAAAAGCCGAAAGCCACATTTCATGGCGAGCTTGTTTTCAAGTCCTCTCGCATTCACAAGGACGTCAGCAGTAGCTTCTTCGCTCTGTCTTCACCGACTCTGAAGCGCTCTGTGGTTGCAGCTTGGACGAGAACCCTCTCACTCGCAATGCGCAGCGAAGGGACGAGGGATTTGGCTGCATGTTTGGAGTGAGGCGTGGAGTAGTTTGGTCTGTACGGTCCAGTTCGAATTTCTGGGAAAGAGAATTCTTAGTTCGGAAATGGTAATCTGTTTCTAGACTCGTGCTGGATTCAGATTGCTCCTTCTTTGGTGTACGTCCTCCAGGCAGAAGTGGAGACCTAAGTTTGGTCGACCAAGTTGGGAGAGTTGAGGCAATTGGAAGTGCGATCAGAGCGCTGGAATTGAAGAGAGCTTTCGTCGGCGGTCTTCAGCGTTCGGGTGTCTCTCCTGTGACGCACAAGCTGGGTGCTATGTTAGGAGCGTTTTTCGTCTTCTTAGCTTGTCTGTCTCTGCTGTGTTCGAGCGACAGACATCCTAGCTACATGTGACCTCATTGGTGAGAATTGCTCAGGCTGGTCACGTCTGAAACGCTGGAGGAAGAACTAGTGGAAATGGAAGAAACAGGAGAGGTTGCTGCTTTGCAGCAGCAGGAGGAGGAGGAGCAACAACAACAGCAGGAGCCGCAGCAGCAGCCTTGTCCGACAGACACGATGAGTTTCCAGGACCTTGTGAACTCGGCTGATGTGAAAACGCCTGGTCAGGGAGCTGCAGAGTGGACAGACGTGGCAGTTGCTACGTTTCTCGATTGTTTTGCTGAGAAGTATAGCAATGTGAAGCACAAGAACTTAAGAGGCAAGGACTGGATGGAGGTAGTGGATGGTCTGAATAAACGCTGCGCTCCCGAGGGTGGTCCATACTACGAGTACAAACAGTGCCGAAATAAGCTCGATGGTCTGAAGAAGAGGTTCCGCCAGGAAAAGGATAGTTTGAGCACCAATTCCCATCCCAGCAGATGGCAGTGGTATCCTAGAATGTGTGATCTCAAATGGGCTAGAAACATGAAAATGATCGAACATGGCGGAGGCAGTGGCAGGGTTGACAAACCTGAGATGAGCGGGGACCAAGCTGAGGGTGATGGGCTAGTTCCGGATGAAAAAGACCTCAATGCAGGTGATCGGGCTGGTGAGGTTTCTATGGAGGACGATGCAGCGTGGAACAAGTTCCGGTTGGTTTCCACTTTTCCTCCGAAACAAAAACGCAAGCGCAGAAGAGCGTATGTTTTCAATCCCAGCGTTCCTGAAATTGTTGCAGAAGGCTCTCGCACTCGAGCGGACTTACTTCCCCCATGCACCCCGGACAATATGTCAACTTTGCCAGATAGGCCTCCTTTGATGCAGTACGGCTTCTACCACTCACTTCCACCTTCATAAAGTCTAACTTCTGTTTGGAACAAATCTTTTCGTTGCTGAAATGTAGATTCACTACGTCTGACCTTGGCCTCTTCTTGAGTTTATCAGTAATTTCTGAATTGGGCTATTCGTATTTCTTACGCCGACAATTTGCCATGTTGAGGGTTAGTTTTAGTTCTTGCCTTGTTATACCCGTCCCTGTGTGTCCAGTTAAACTTGGTTTTCTTTTCTGGATTATCTCGAAAATTAGAGTGCGAACCTGTGTCTGGACCACATATTTCGCACTCGAGCATTTGTCCATCTGGGTAGATTAGAGGCACGTTGCTCAATAACGTTCTGAGTTTTTCTCCAGCAATGTCGACGGAGTGGGACAGTGGACCCAGAAGAAGTGGCCACCAGTTTTGTCGATGCTACTATTAGTTGCTGGAAGTGGTAATTATGCAACAAGGGTATGCAACAAGGAGCCTGATCTTCTGCTTGTCTCTGTCTCAGGCAGTTTCAAAAGATGCCCTCTACCGATAGAACTTTCAAGCTACGTATCAGACGGCCAAATGAAACAGACTGCGATGATATCTTTCATTTTACTGGCGAGACCGTCTCAGATATGATAGAAAGTTTCAAAGCTGTTTACTGGGAGGAACCTGCAACTCAAATTCGTGTGCAGCTGAAAGAGAAATTCACTGAGGTATGGGTGACAGTCGCGCCTTCTGTTTCTCTCTCTCAGTACGGGAGTGAAGCCCTCATCATCACCAAACCTCGAGGTGCTTACATGCCTCTGACATCAACAATGGCTTCTGCTCCTGGTTAGTTCAGATTCTTGCACTGCTCGTTGTAAATATTTACAATTGCCAGGAAGATATGGAGAATGATTGATCGTCGAGGTTACATGCCATGTTGAGTAAGTGATGCTTTTAAGGTACTGTATTTGATGTTGTTTCCTGCACCTGAGAAACAAAAAATTTGAACTGTGCCATTACTTGTCCGACGCTTGAGTTCACCGAGGTTTGGACACAGTACACGCCTGCTGCTGTATGATATATAATTCAACCGACAGCACTTCCACACCAGAAAGTGCTTTTTCGGGGATCAACTTGTGTCAATTTCAAGAATTAGTTCTCTTGAACGGTTGAATTGTTGAACGCAAGAAGTGAATTGGTGCTTATAGGTGCTGTATCATGTTGCTTCAGTATGCGTTGGTGAATTTCTTCCTCTGAACTACTTGTGTGTTCATGTGGCTGCATGACATTTGGTGCAACAATTCATGGGCTTCACGCTGCAGTTATGGATAAAGCTTTAACAGCTTGTGAATCGGTTGATCCTTGATATGGCTTACAATTGTACAATAGACCCTTTTGCGGAATGTTCAATCAGACATCTTGAGGAAAGCTCATGAAGAATCATGGTCAACTGTTTACGACCCTGGTGCCTTGGCATAGTTGCATGCATTTTTAAAGTGGGCTTGGATCTCTTAGTTGGCATCCGACATCAAGCCACGCCTATTCCGAAGAGTAAGTTCCACATCACAATTTCATGGCGTGTTCCTTGCTGTAGCGTTCTTTTGAGAATCCGGTCTTTTTCCTCCCAGTTTTGTGGCTGAAGTTAAGTTTGTACCTGCAATAATTTTGATAGAATATATAATGTAGTTTGGCTAGGCTTTGCTAAAGTAGCAACTGTTTGAAGATCCGCGGTTCCTGTATACCGTTCTCGTTTCGTAGTCAATCTGGAATCATGCGCTATATGGACTTCCTACTTTGAAGAAGCGTTTGATTTATCAGAGTTTCAATCTTTCTGCACCGAGTTTCTTGACGTTCACCATTTTTTCAGGTATTTACTTGAGTAACCTTGAATCATGCGTGTTTCAGTGGATCAACTCGACCACGCAGAGAGAATTCGGGGTGTTCATGATCGGTTTCAAAAGAAATCCTCGTTATAGTCCGGGCCGTTTGGAGTATCTCATTTCGACTCTGATGTCTGGTTGACATACTCTAAAGTAACGCTTCTTTCAGTTGTGCATCTTGATTATATGATTCCGAGACTAAAATGCCGAGTGGATGGAGATAGCCGTAGTCACATTCCCTTGTAAGGGCAGCTGAACTCGCGAGTTAGTGGGACCTGCGGGAGGGATTTATATGTCATGATATCTATAAAGTTAGAATATGGATTTGTATCCTTTGAGATCCAAAGAGATATGTCATGTTGCCATAGATTCTAACATCTCGTTTTCAACATCTCATTTTCAACATCTCTTTATGAATCATACAAACTGCTGCTCATGGAATTATTGCGGTGTCCACTTCTTATATTTAGCCCATCCAATTAAGGTGGGCTATCTTCTGGTAAAAATGGTAAATCGAATAGAACTTGGGTACTCGATTCTCAGGCTAGTGTTAGATTAAAGAGTGTCTATTTTAGAAGCTTATTTTTCTCTTCAACATCAGCGGGCGACCGTATTTTGAGCTCATGGAGTCTTTGAAAGACATGGATTATAGGTTGCTGGAGAGATATAAGATATAGTAGCAGGGCTCGACAGTAGCACGTGCAGACCTTATATCTCATCGATGATGAATGAATGAATGGTGAGGATGTCAACTCTATCAAATGGCTTACTAACACCCCAGAACTTTTAGCAGACAGAGTATCGCACTTCTGCAAAAAAACTAGTCGTTCCCACGCTCTGTCGGAATCTTGGTGTGAATTTCTTGTTACCGAATCTGCTTATGGGCCAGAGGGTGATCTGTATTCGTAAATCATTTCTCATGGGTCGTGCACTCACAGTTGTGATGACTGACAAGAACATCGATGGTCAGATGGCTTGCACCAGTCAACACGCCATTCTTGCAAGTAACTGCTAGTTGTGGAAAGAAGCGAACTTCTGAACCGAGGCAATGATGGCTGCGGTGTCCACAGCGTTACAGGAGACTACACGCTAGTTGCGTGTGTACACTGTGACAGTGTGCAGGTGATCGACCTTTGTGTGTGGAGCGTGGAGGAAGAGAAGTAGGGAAAATGTTGCATTATAGGTTGAAGCCTTCGGCTCTGTTGATACACATACAGCTTTGAGCATCTTCGGTCCTCAACGTCTGTATCGTAAGTCATGACTTTATCTATCAAGTGTAGTATATGATCCGAACAGGTCTCTCGCGATATTTCTTCGGGCTGCATAGAATACAATTACCGTCAACTTCCCACCTATCCAAACATTTCCTAGCAAAGAACAAGCTATCTTATGGCTACGTGGCCTTTTCTATATCCAGAATATTTTGATCATATGACTGAGGTTCTGTGCAGTTTTACTTTTATCTTCGTTAGTATCAAACCAACCCACATGTGCATTAGCATACACCTCAAGTTCACAAGATCAAAACCCAGTGACCATTGAAGTCTTGAAAGTCAACGTTGGTCAATATGCAGCTTCCGAAAGATCCGATTTGGTCCATTAAACAAATCCTGTACAGTAACCAGCTTTAAGCTGTAGGTGTTGAACAGCGAGTGAGACAGCCGAGGTTCCGAATACAGGTCAAGAGAACCCTGTCCAACATAACCAATTTGACCCCGTCGTCTCGCACCCCACGTTCATTCCTGCGTATTAGATTTGAATGTGTAATTGCTCGTGTTACAATACCTCCACTGTACGTAAGCGGGGCTGTCCGGCTAATCGAAGATTAATTTGATGAACAGAGCCTTCTCGCATCTCACAGAACAGGAGCATCAGTATAAAAGAGGAGCATGGAAGGAGAAATAAATGATCAAGAAAAAATCAACCAGCATTATCGCGAAGAATTGATCGTAAGTTGGAGATGCTCCCAGGGGCTGACGGACAGGAAGGTCCATGATCGTGTCATAGCGACGCTGAGGGGGACATGGCGAAACTTTCGGATCCTCAGACCACCTCAGACGACTGGCGCAACGTCCCATCCCACATTGAGCGCAACCTTGCGTGGAAGATCCGACATGTTCGTCAAGGCTATCTGATTGGTTTGAGAACCCGCACCTGACGACGTCACGTACTACGTGCCACGTAAAGTAGAACCGACGGAGTCGATTCGATGTCCACGGCGTAGGCTCCAGGACGGTGACCGCAAACGCACAATCGCGCCGAAAGAAGGCGACCTGAGCGCAGTGCTGAGCATGTGGCTCAGGCTGCAATGGCTACGAAGGTTTCCATGAACCACATGTTCACATTCGCTTAACCTCCTTTGCAATTCCGCTTCTCCATTCAATTCATCTGATTGATTCCCTTTCCTTTTTCCATCTCCCCGTTCAGCCTGTGCGTGTGTGTGGCCAGTATGGGACAGCGCTTTCCTTCCTTGTCCGAACTTATCGTAGCTCCAAATCTCCAGCTGTGTCAGGTCTACGGAAAATACTTTTGTGCGCATCACGACACTCCTCAGCAGCTTTTTCCTTCAAACCGTTTCGGCTCCACCGAGTCCATTTATCTTAACTATCTATCTATTATCTTAATTTTATTATCATATTATTAACTCCATCGAAAGTTTTATCAAGAAACTGCTGCCTGGACTCTCTCACGAGCAACTCATAAAAAAATTATTTATGAGTTGTATTTTACCGGTGTTTGCTTCGTACACCTGCATTTGGGCTTCCTTGAGAGCTTGATGCTTGTACTGAGAGACTCGACATCTCGTTAGATATCAGGGTACCATTAGCTTCAGCCGGCTCCGTTGTCCCCTAAGAAATGTCAACAATTCTCTCGAGTTAGAGCAATCAGTGAACGGTGAGAACATGTTGGTTTATTACTTTAACACCTGTTTCCGACTCTATAAATCTTAGATCAAGTCTATCGAAGAGTTGATCAGTATGCAACTCACATAATATCTATGTCTGTTTGAAGTTGATAATCTTCAATGAATGGCAACGAACTTTACATTGTCAAACATAGGCCTTTTAGAGGAAGGCCCGTAGAGGCTAAGGATCACTTTGCACTTAGGGGGACTACAGCCCAATAATAGAAGGAATGAAGAAGGATGGGCAGACCCCATCAGGTCGTACTTGGATGGTATCTATAGTGGAGCATAAGACAACCATGTATACTATCACAATGGAAAACTTTTCATACTCCGCCGAAGTTAATTAAATCATACAAGATGCAGTACATAGTTTCGGAGCGCCATAAGAAGCAAAACCTAAAGTGATTGTAATATTGTGAATTTCGCAAGCACTTCTTGATGTCTCTATATAATCATAATCTTATCGACTACACACCTTGATAAAGAAATTTGACGCACATGTTGCTTAAGATTATAGACTCGTTTGCACTCAGCACAACTTGGCGTCCATATAAGTCCATGGCGGGTGGAGATGACATAGCATAATACCTCGAGGCCTTGGATGTTGATCGTTTCCCTTGTCATCCATATGAGGATGGATATGTTCCTTAGTTGAAACTCTATAGAATCTATTACCACAAGTGTGCAATAAGAACCTGATTCTTTGGTACCAAATAGGTTTTAAGTTACTAGGTTCGTGCTAATTGCAGTGAACTGGAATGCACTCTCCCTATGTGAGGTATCCACCTATTGTGCCATCTATGATGACATCAAGACATCAATATTTTGCATTCCAAATGCCATTGAGCCATATGAAAACTTGCATCTAAAGTAGCTTATGATTCACATGTGAGAACTAGAAATGCCAGGCCAAGACGGAAATCTTGTCAAGGTAGTTACGTCGTTGTAGTTGGTCCTGCAAAACCTTAATGCATGATGAGATTAAGAGCAAGCACTCTCCCATGAGCAAGTGCAATTTCTAATAATACAATGAATCACCGAATAAAATAGAAAAGAATGTAAAACATATTCATTCTTTAAATCCATTGAGGTAGACTCGAGATCTTTAGGCTAAAAAAACTGACGAAGTGGAAAAGAATTGAAGCTCATATCTTGAGCAAAAATTTATATTCTGCCATAACATTAAATGTAATGGAAATGATCCCATTCACATTGCTCACGTCAACATTTGACCTATTTGTCACCACAAATCAGGAGTCTAATGTTATGAAGATTTAGCTAGCAGAAACTCATATAGGATAAGTGTCAATTATACATATCAAGTCTACCCCTAAACAAAAAAATCAGCTGAGATGTATACTTCACGGGTGAACCTTTTATCAATCTTGAAGGAATGTCACCAACGACTTTCACAGAAGTCGCATCAAAGGCTGCCAGAAGTGATATCACGCTAGACTTAACTTGTGACAGTTCGACCCATGATTTTGGAAAGTAAAATAAATGAATAAGGGACGAATGGGACTAGAAAATGATGGGAAACCATCTACCACAATGTCTTAATCATCAGTGCTTTGACAGTTACGCTCTAATCCCACCAACATAACCATACAAAATGATCTTCTCTTGAGGTAAAGTTCAGGAAATTGGAAAATGAGTTGTTTACGTTGTAGTTGGGTTTAATTTCGCTACATACTAAAGTAAGAAGTTGTATATATATAAAGTAAGAAGTTATAAATATATAAATGCAGTTCCACGAAGAATTGAGTGGACAGCTTCGGATTGCAGGACATATCCTTCACTTCGGAGCACAGATTGGAGCTTGACCACGGCGATACTTTGTCGGTATGGACTTCATGGTGACAATTGGCCCGACGATGCCCAATCCTACTGAAGGTCGGCCGCAATTGGCAGGATGATGTTCTGTATGTCTACTGCAGGTCATCTACTGTCGACACCCGGTGGCCGTGAAAGAGGAAGAGCTCGTCCACATCAGATCCTTGCGCGACCGTCGCAGATTTTGTTGGCGCCGTCGACCAATATACGTTTCTGATTCGCTCCATCGATAGGACCACCGTGGGTCGGGGCCAATGGAATTTACCGTCCTTTGGGGACTGTTCTAGTCATCTCATGTTTCAGTTCGGCGTCCAGACAACGTCATGTCATCCCACAGCGGCGAGTCGCAGTTTTCCAGTGCTGATTCAGGATAGATCAGATCACGATGATTGTGAAGCAAAAGTTCCAAATCCATATCCATGTTGTTGGTTCAGACTAGCTTCATATGTTTCTACAAGCTAGAGATGAGCTGATCCCGTTGCGGGCCCCTCCCGACGTGGTTCTCATGATTGGGGCAGAAGGGAACTATGAATTGCACTGTATGCTCTAAGTGTCCTGATATGTCTGGTAGAGGACGCCGTTTGAGGGTGTTTTCCTTTCTTCTCCCATAGAGGAACATACATTAAATTAGACTGGACTCAATGCTCTTGAAACGGAAGCTTATATTGGATGTTTGTTCGTTAATTATTCTGCTGAATGATTCCATACATATATTTGAGTTTTTCCTTCAATGAGATCTAGTTGTTGTGGATGTATTCACTATTCTACAAACGTGTGATTTCTCCCTTTAAATGATTAGCTCTGAAGGCAGTAACAGTAGCCAACGGGCCGTGCAAAGTCCTGACCACGAGTGACAATCAAGTATTCATGTTAAATGTTTTAATGTACAGTACCAGGCTTCCCTGTGTACAATGCAGATACTGTAGTTGTGAACATCTGCAGCCTAACAGAAGTGGAGACAGAAACCTTATGTGGAGATTGTTTAGTATAATAATTTTACAGATGCATCTTTTCATCCACCCTCTGAAGCAGATAGTGCACAGAGGATGGCATCTTGTGTAACGTCGGCTTGCCATTCATTTAATGACAATATTCTTCACCTACGGCAGGACTAGATTCGAATTTTCTGTCGACTCGTATCACGTCATCACGGTAGGTAATGTTATTCCCACTTTAGACTGCAGGCGTTCCACGGGCCGCGTGCCTGTGTTCAGATATACGTGCACTCGATGCTCCATTCAGCGCTAGGCTTGTGAGAAGTTCTTCGGTCTCCTGAACTCGAGTACCAGAAAATACATGCATCTTTCTCCTTCTCCACATGTGCATGTACTCGTATTATCCGAATCATGGCCTCACAATCTTCTGGTATATTAACGCATCCCGTCAGTCATGCTAGCAGGCGGAAAGAAATAAACCGGCGAGAGGCCAAGATGGCACAGCCATACAGGTCGCTCCGATCATGTGCTGACATCAACTGATCGAGTATCGAATTGGGCGTCCATGACGAGCTGGACTGCTTTCGTTCCAGGGTATGGTTGGGCAAGTTGTCTAGCGTCGACACTGCAAACACATCTTCCGAGTGGCTGGAAACCTCATACATGCATCAATATCTTGAGATGGGCAACTTTTGTCACGGAGAGTCTCTGGAAGATAGATAATCAGTCCCTGAATTATTATTATTTTAATCATTATCTATTATACATATCAGTAGATATATTTCACTTATGACCCTATCAATATTACTGCATGATTATGCTTCTAAGATACATATAATTGAATTTCATTATTTTGTCATTTTGTCATACACTGATGTAATTTCAAAATCTGTGTGGAAGATGTCTGACCAACTATTAAAAAAACTCGATAGGGTCGAAAACTGGATTTCCAATAATTTTGGAATCTGAGGTCAACAGGACGCATGAAATTGAATCTAGATTCACTTGAACACTTAACATAAAAAATTCAGAAGGAGCTGAAATAAATCACTTAGGTTATACTTAATGGCAAAAGCCTTTAGTTTAAAATTGGTTGTATTGAAAGGCTACAAAGGTCTGTGGAGTGCGCAGCATGAAGATATTTGGTATCAGATTCTAAGATTACAAAATCAAGCTGGAGAGACTTAAATTTGCATGTAGCTTGTCATGCATTTTCTGCTTCCTATCAGTTTACAATCCCACGACAGGGCTCTCCTCTGCAGCGCTGATCTCAAGAGAACAGGCGGTTTGTAAAAATCGGTTGAAAGGAATTTTCGACGTTGTCGTATCTCATTAACGAGGAGGAATGTTCCATTCTTACCGTGGGGCAGTAAAGATGGGGGTGGATGGGGGCGGATGTGTGGATGAGTGCGCCATGGAGCAAACGATAACCTGCACCTGCGTGTTTGGACCTGGTTCTACTTCATCGATGGGTCAGGACTCGTCAAAAGGACTGGGAAACGGATGGAGGAAAAACACCTGTTACCTCCTCATCTGACCCGAGCTCATGCTGGGGCCCACCCGCGTCCTGGCCACTCGATGGCCGCGCTCGGATCCGCTATCGCACGGCTCGCAGGCGCCCGCTGTCCTCTTGCGAGTCTGGTGGTCGTGGGCGTGACTGTCGCCCGCTCCCTCGCTCCCCAAATTGGACTGGAGCGCTGGGCGTGGAGCTTGCGCGGAGCTTTGAAGCAGAAGCAGCAGCGGGCGACTCGAAGCTGTGCAGACGAGAGCAGTAGCAGCAGCAGCAGCGGGCGGGCGAGGAACCGAGCGGACGAGCGTGGCCAGCAGCAGCAGCATCGTATGTTTGGATTCCCTTCGGTCGAGAGGAGATCCCAATTTTGAGCACGATGGCCATGGCGGTGGCCGCTTTGCGCCGCTTAGGCCAAGCGCATGCTCGATGCAACCCGGCATTGCTCCAGTCTGTCCGAACTGGCTCGTCGGTGAGTGAGGCGACGTCGATTCGAATTGCAGATTCGAGCTGGGTCGGAGATTGAATTTCGTTCGTGGGATTGGTGTTGTGTGTGTCTTGTGGGTGTCAGTGTGCGCTGCATTTCGGTCTGTGTCAGCTTTTCTTGCCTGATTTCCCGTTGCCTGAGCGAGCTCGAAGCATCTTGCAATATTGTACCACCTAGTTCACTAGGTGTCCGGTTCGATGTATCATTCCTGAAGGGCACCTAGTATTGTATTCAGGCGTTGCTGGTCTGAGATTGTCCCGCAATGTCAGTTTTCTTTCGTTGTTGTTTGAAAACATTGATGTTACTCTACGTATGAGAGTCTGTCATCCTTTGGTGTATTTCAAGATCTTTACTCTGTACCAGCTCTTTCGTGCGATTGTCGGGTGTTCATTGCCTGAAATGTGTTTCAATGTTTTTGCTCGATTTAGAAGTTTTTGGGAAATATGTAAATATTCTACGTCTCGAAATGGATGAAGAGTGGTGCAGATTCTGAATTTAAACTCGTATTCGAGCGCGTCTGGCAATCTCTTAGTAATGTCTGTTATGTTGCAGTCTGCTCTTGCTAACGAGGAAGTGTACTCCAAGTTCGAGAACTCCAAGGAGAAATCTCACGTAACAGTACGTACACATCGTCCTGGAGACCCCTGGAAATTCTAGTATTCTCTCTGCGCAAGGAATATCTTTCAAAATGCTGTGGCTTAGCATTCAATTATGTCCAGTATGCGGTCGCATGAATGTTTGTCAGTTCCACTCTGCACTCTTCTTCTTTCAATTTTTTCATTATCTTAGATGAATGATGTGTAATCAGGTAGCTTGGAGAGATAGATTGGTGCGTCCCTTTTTGCAGAGCCACGCATAACGGTTGTTGAATTGGATGCAGTGGCCGAAGCAATTGAACTCCGACTTGGTGGATGTGGATCCGGAGGTTGCCGACATCATAGAAATGGAGAAGAATCGGCAATGGAAGGTAATATGGTTCTCCGGAACGAATGAATGAACTTGCTCGGTCACGGGATAATATACAACTGGGTGACAATTTGTAGACTATTGCAGAATGCAGATAATTGTCTTCCCTTCCATGAGCCTTAACATGCAAGTCTTAGCCTGATGTACTCTTTGGACCCAACTATTACCAGTAAGGCACGTCTGTGCTGATATTCGTTAACATATATGCTCAATATATATTGTTCACTGTGCAGGGGTTGGAGCTCATCCCTTCCGAAAACTTCACGTCTTTGTCAGTAATGCAGGCCGTAGGTTCCATTATGACCAACAAGTATAGTGAAGGATATCCTGGTGCTCGTTACTACGGAGGGAATGAGTAAGTCAGTTCATCCGTTTCGCTCTTGAGATTTTCCTTATCGGACCGTCTTTGAGTAACCCTTTTATTGCTTATTTTCACTATTCTGATCCGCTTCTCTGTGTTCTTATCATTTGTAAACAGATTCATCGACATGGCGGAGACTTTGTGTCAAAAGAGAGCACTAGCAGCTTTCCGCCTGGACCCTGAGAAATGGGGAGGTCAGCTCTCGAATTTGCACATTTACGATCCCTCGGTCTGATTTTATTTGTGAATTCTTTTCGTCCCGGGGAATTGATGTGTGGAGTCTTGTAGTAATGTACATGCGTGTACGCTTTTTCTGATATTGTTTTATACCTCTATTCCAGTCAATGTGCAGTCTTTGTCAGGCTCTCCTGCCAACTTCCAGGTCTACACTGCGTTGTTGAAGCCCCATGATCGTATTTTGGCTCTCGATCTGCCCCATGGTGGTCACTTGTCCCATGGATACCAGGTGAGATAGAGAACTGATACTTCAACTCGTCTAAAGTGATATATGTCTATCAATATTGTTCCGAACTGTCAGGTCCCCCTCTGTTATTAAGACTCACTTAAACATTTTTTGCCAGGAAAAAGAGTAGAAAAATACTCAGTCAGAACTTTAAGGCATCAGTTGATATAGTTGATGGTTCGGCTTTAGAGATTTGATTTTTATAATAGTAGGACTCACTTGGCTTCATCTGCTTGTCCATCCCAGACTGATACGAAGAAAATTTCTGCTGTGTCGATCTTCTTCGAGACGATGCCATACCGATTAGACGAATCTACCGGACTGATCGACTATCCACAGGTAAGAGCCTGCAGTAGCATGGTCAAGCAAAACATCTAAGAAGCGGAGTAGCACTCACAAAGCACCATAAGGAGGCATATGTCACTTCGAAAGGGGTAAAGTGAATTGCTCTTCTCACAAACAGAAATACGGAAAATTTTGCTGGATCTGAAATAATCAGCAGGCTTTTGGTGTTTAAGGTCTCTTATTTTTTTCATTGCAGATCGACAGATCCGCAACTCTTTTCAGGCCCAAGTTAATCGTTGCCGGTGCAAGTGCGTACTCTAGGCACTATGATTACGCCACTATGCGCCAGGTATTCTTTCGCCCGTCCTGACTGCATTTCCAATTATTTTGCTCTCTTGGTATGTTTACTGTTCTGTTTTTTTGTGGTCGTTTGATTGCCGTTTTAATCAATGACGTGTTGAGTTGGAGCGTTACATCCTATCCGGATCAGTATTCTGACTTGATATCTCGTGAACGCAATTTCTGTCTGCGTCCAGATTTGTGACAAGACCAAGGCCATTCTTCTTGCCGATATGGCACATATCAGTGGACTTGTAGCTGCGGGTGTGGTTCCCTCCCCCTTCGACTACGCGGATGTGGTTACTACCACCACACACAAGTCTCTGAGGGGCCCACGAGGAGCAATGATCTTTTACCGCAAAGGATTGAAGGAGGTCACCAAACAAGGAAAGGAGGTAGCGAAGTTCCATGGGCTGCAAATTTCTTTTCCAGAAAATTTGTAGAGATCTCTATCCATCGCTGTTGTTCTCGACGTCTACGGGTCGAGGTTCGATCCTTAATTTACCAATTTCGTTTCTCATATTTACTCTGTTTACATTGATATCGTGTGACACGGCAGGTATTCTACGATTACGAAGATAAGATAAACCAGGCTGTGTTTCCTGGACTACAAGGTGGTCCACACAATCACACAATTACTGGCCTTGCCGTCGCCTTGAAGCAGGTTCGTGAATTCTTTTGTTGTTGGTTGACTTACTCTTCAACTTTTCCTCGAGACTCGCTCTGCATTCTTGTCGACAACTTGTTGGTTTTCTGACGCCGCTCCTCATTTGCCAGTCTCTGCGTAGTTAATTTCAAAGCTTAACGCTATCATTTGTCACAAATGCAGGCTTCTACTCCAGAATTTAAAGCCTATCAAGAACAAGTTTTGAGGAACTCTTCTCGTTTCGCCGAGGTACTACCAGTCATGTGTTTGATTAAGAATCACAAATATACTATAGTCCTTTCCTTCCGGAGGAGGAAAACTACTTTTTTTCCAGCAGTTCTAGTGGTAATTTATATCTGTAGAGAATGATTAGCAGTTGTTCAAGTTCAGCTGGTGGTATTCAACTGAGAAGTCTGATTCCATCGTTATCTTTTTTCGTTAGATCGATCGATGCAGAATGTCGTATGGCTCTTTCCTCATTTTGTGCCTTGTGCTTCTTATGTTCTCAGGCATTGAAGGGAAGAGGATACGAGCTTGTTTCAGGAGGTACTAGCAACCATCTTGTACTCGTTAACCTGAAAAACAAGGTATGCGGCACAACTTTTCCACCTCCTTGATACGATTTCGTCATGCAGCACCATGTACACAGTGACTGACAATCCCCCTCCCGTGGTACCTTTCAGGGTATTGATGGATCCAGAGTTGAGAGGGTGATGGAGCTAGCTCACATAGCAGCCAACAAAAATACTGTTCCAGGAGATGTTTCAGCATTGGTTCCAGGAGGAATCAGGATGGGTATATATTTCTTCATTTTCAATTCTGAAATGCTCAGACATCTGGCTATTGTAGTTCGCTTTCCAATCCGTGGAGGATTGGTTGATGAATTCGAGTTGGATCAATCTCAATCTTTTCTTCTCGCCGATTGCAGGAACCCCAGCACTTACGTCGAGAGGTTTCACTGAGGAGGACTTTGAGAAGGTGGCTGAGTACTTTGACAAGGCTGTGCAGATAGCCGTGAAAGTGAAGGGCGCCACTTCAGGTCAGTCAAATTCAGTTTCAATCAACGTCTTTATAGACATTTTAGTGGGGCTAGGAAAGGGATTGATACGAGACTCTTGGTTCTTCCTGCCAACGCTTAAGTATCGGTTTTGCACTTTGTTTGAACAGGAAAGAAGCTTGTTGACTTCAAGGCAACACTAGAGAGCAACGACAGTCTTCAGAAGGAGATTGTTGGTTTGCGTGAAGAGGTGGAAGGTTACGCCAAAGAGTTCCCCACCATCGGATTTGAGAAATCTTCGATGAAGTATAAAAATTAGATTCATGTACTCTAAGACAGCGCAAACTTTATTGCTGGACCGAAGTTGAAGATTGGACACCCGTGCATGGGTGGGTGTTTCAAAAGCATCATTCTGTCTTTATATCTTGAGAAGGACATTGTCTTGTCTAATCAAGTGAGCGTGTAACGTGATCAGTATTTGCCGAGATTCAGGATTTCAAAGGTAGCTCATGATTTGAACGTGTAAAATATCAGAAATACGAAAGATTACCTCTGCTAAATGCGTGCCGTGATTCTGCGTGAGGCTGTCATTTGTCACCCTCTGCGCTCATGGTTGTGGGGCAGGTTCTTAGGATTTTCCAAGAGCTGGCGTACCTGTCGATTGAAAAGCTATAGCCTCTGCAGCATATATAAGAAGAACTTAGCATCATAGATTGTTCCAGGGCTAGTCTGACGTTTCACGACACCCCTGGAACGACGCGTGAGCGTAGAAGTGTGCTCAAACATCAGACTTCTCTTCCTTCCCTTCCGTTAAATGATTGCGCGAACGCTTTCTACCAAATTTAGGGCGGACGATTCTGCCCGTTGTTATAACCTCCCTGGCGTTTATCTCGTCCTTGTCAGTGTATAGTTGAGCACTTGAATGTAAGGCTTGTTCTGTCCTCTGTTCATGCCCCGAGAGGGTCTCTTTCCAAATACTTGCCATAAGTTTTCTTTTATTGTGGGTTTCAAGATCTTCATTAAACAAGCCACATTTGAACGCTATAATCTTCAAGTTCGGGAGAAAAGTTCTATCAGAACGGTGGATTTAACAAGTCAGCAAATTTTTATGTCCAACTTCAAAGAAAAGAAACACCCAAATTGGGAGAGAAGAATGTCTGGCAAGCATATCAGAAAATCCACATTTGTACGCTGAGAAATAAAGAAGAAGTCTTCAATCCGAATTTTATCACTTCGAATAGAAATATCTTCGCTGACCTAAACACAATATCAATGTCAATATCTTCGATATGAGATACAGTCTGCAACTTACAACACTCTTGTCAACTGTATCCTGCATTTACTCGGTGTAAACATGCCGAACTATCAAAACACTGAAAGGAAGAATATGAGATAAAATCAGATAAGAACATAAATCTGATTCTGTGAAGTAAGTTGAGAGAAGGGAAGAAATAACGTTAAAATGTGCAAGCACAGATAGAGAAAATATATAGAAGTATCATTCTTCCAGATTACACCGCACCAAACACACTTCAACGTGAAAGTGCGGATATTGAGAATGTCAATATTTCATGTCCACTTATTCGTACAGACCAGAAATCTGCAATAACTGACAAATAGTAAACTAACAAGGAGTACACCAAATATCCACAAAGATTAGCAAAAAAAGTATTTTCGTGCCACAGAAACTCAAAGAATGAATCATGCAACAACATGGACTTAAGAAGCTAAAGTATCACATCTGAATGACTGTAAATACCTTTAAAGACTTTTCCGGACTATGCAAAGTAACTTAGTTTTGGAAATTATTTCTGTGATCTATTACTAGATCTGCTACATTCATGGGATGGGAGAATGAATGATACATTTGACTATCAGTGACAAAAATTAGCTTCTTTCAATATTATTTCTGCGTGTTTAAACTATAGAAGATGTGGATAGTCGTGTAAATTGTGTAAAAAATAATTGCAATGAAAATCTATCTAAAGAAGTACGATATTATAAATTATATAACCATGACTGTAAGAATCATACATTCGAGTAAGATTTGATCAATAAAAAATTCAATTAAATATATAAAATTTTTTTAATTACAATTACTTCTTTTCACATATCCAATGTATAAATATTATTTTGATTACAGAAAAAACATCCGCAAAAAGAATTCAAAAAGCTGAGATTTTTGTTAATTTTTGATTCATCAGTATCATAATCATTCACTTAAGATATACATTAGAAAAATAATTAGGAATACATATTATTATATGAAAAATTTCATGAAAAATTACAGACTATTTCAAAAATATTTAATTTGCAAACAAATCGAGAATATATTGATTTTGATATGTATCTCATTGAATCCATGTGTGAATGTATACTCTCTTGTGTGAATCTGATCTTACAAGATGGATGTGTCATTCTTTCACTACGTTGTTATCAGCAGCAAAGCTTGTAAGCATGAGTTTTTGAGCTAAAAATTTTAGTAAATTGGTAATTCACGCCAAAATTTCGTTTAATCTAAAGTTGATAACAATATCATGCAAATTTTCATTCTATGATGCTGATATTTATTATATTCAATTAATTCCTTACTATCTATTTATCTTTTATGGTCAAACACATCCGTTTGCATGTTCATTGATATTTATGAAAATATTCACTCGCATGTTGTCATATTTCATTCTAGTAGGTCAAGTTTTATTATCTTTATCCACATTTTAAAGTAGTGAAAGCAGCAAAAATATGAAACTTTGCGTCATTGATAATAATTTTGTTTGAAACTACTGAGATGTATTTATCAAGTTAAATATGTTGTTGAAGATGAAGATACAAATAAAATTAATCTTATTATAACTGTATAACTAATATCATCATCAATACACTTCACGAATCAATCATGTATAATTTTTAGCTATTTTTTTAGTTTAATTTAATCTTATATTCTTTATGGTCCATTACCGTTTAAATTTTAGTTATAAGGTAATGGATCATAAAGAATATAAGATTAACAAAAAAAATAATTTTGATTTGAAATAACAAAAAATATCTGATTTATTATTTTATTTAAGCTATTAGTCCATGAACTTAAGCAGTTTGTGATACTTTAGGTCAGTCACTATATATAGTTCATGCAATGAAGACCTTGCATCTTTCAAAAAATGTAATTCTGTGACCAATTTCGGTTAGAAAGTACTACACTAGAAGAGTTTAGACAATGTGTTTGTGGATGTCGTGACAGCTATATCAATATGCCTATTTGATTCAGTCTCATTATGCTCTATTGATTACATATATATATATATATATATAATAGTGATATTTTTCACATAATGATTCATTCAATGCTGGACACGTGATGTCTTGAACCGTTTTATTCATGATACCTTTTGACGTTTTATATATGGCAAAGACATACGAACTTTTGGATGGTCTATTAAGCTATGACTCTTTGAACATGTTCATTTGGTTGTGTTCATAGGTTAATGTATGAGCGCTGCAATTTGTGACATTTTAGAAGCAGTTTCTTTCATTTTCTATACCTTGACGAGTTATAATCTTGTGACTACTTAAAGTCAGTCACTCAACTCTCAAATTGTGCGGCAAATATATATTCAAAATTTCAGTTTTAAGAAGTAAATTTGTTAGTTACCGTTTGGAAATTAAATGAAGTTAGATTTGAAGCTTTAGATGGAACTTCATTGAACTTGGGTTTGAGAATTTATACTTTCCATCAAAAAATTGCATATTATATAGAGTTATTGTTTTTGAGTTTGAAGAATGTTTTGGGCCCTATCCCGCTAATTTCAGTAGTCATACATTTTTATAAGTTAGAAAGTCAATTAGAAACTCTTGAGAGAGAGCGCTTGTACTGAATAAGTGAACATATAGGAATATCTAATTGCCCAGGTACGTATTCTCTTCAACATATAAATCAGTATATTGTGATATCGAGAAACCATTCCCACCAAGAAGTCAGAAGACGCCATGGTAACTCCAAAAGAAAATCATCTGGTAAGTCCAAGTTGATTTCCTTCCAAGTGATTTGTTGTGTTTCAGTGGTTTATAATAAAGCTGCCGAGAATTCATCAGATTTTTCGAATGGTGATGTCCAAGTACTATTCAGTTTCCCTTGAATGATGCTTGCTAGTGGGAAATATTACCACGTTATCCACCATCTATCACTTCTAGCCATGTCCAGAAATAACTCGATGACACTTTATGTGGTGAGTTACTCTGTCATGCATAATGGTGGCTTGCAGAAGTATTTATTTTTGCAAAGTAATAATTTTAGAAAATCAATTATTTGTTGTATCTTATGAAGGATGCAGGTCCAGAGGCAGTTTTCCGCATTTCGCCCTTGCGACCACCGACTGACGTCTGTTGATGATCTAACGGAGATACGTCACGAGAGACGGGAGTGGATGTAGCTCTCGGGCTTTGCTGCCTGCAGAGCCACGGAGGGAGTAAGAAAGGAAGGAAGGAAGGAAGGAGGGAGGGAGAGAGTGAGCAATTTAGTGCCCTTGTTCGCAAGGCATGTCGAGGGGAAGGCTCGTCACGAATCTGCCCTAAACTCATCGGGGTCCAGCGTTTTGGGGGCTTTCTTCTGCATTTGTCCTGCCCTGAGCTCGCCCGGTTTCTTTTCTCTCGACTCGTTCGAGTCTCAGCTCGATCTCTGCGAGCGACGAGTTTTTTTCGACTGCGATCGAACGCTCGTCAAGATGACGGTCACCGATTGCCGCATGTATGAGGCCAAGTATCCCGAAGTGGATGATGTGGTCATGGTTCAGGTAATTTCGTTCGGCTCTTGGCACTCCCTTTTCTCGCAATTGTTTTCAATTTCCGGATGTTGCGATTAAGCGAAAGTGCGGGATGGAAACCTTGAAGTTTCTCGAGTTATGCTTCCGAACAGGTACTGATGATGCCGCAGCTTTGGTTGAAAGGGTCTATCGTTCTCCTTGTATCTGCTGAGGCACGCTGTGTATTTTTTTTTCCCATGGAGGACGCCCGATGTTTCGAGCTTAGATGATATTATTGGTTTTGATAAATGTAAGTTAATGGCGCAAACAGGTGAAGAACATTGCGGAGATGGGAGCATATGTGGCTTTGTTGGAGTACAACAACATCGAGGGAATGATTCTTTTGTCGGAATTGTCCCGACGTCGTATCAGAAGTATCAGTAGCCTCATCAAAGTCGGTCGTCAGGAACCCGTTATGGTTCTGAGGGTGGACAGAGACAAGGGATACATCGATCTGAGCAAGCGCAGGGTTTCAGAGGAGGATGTCGCTGGGTGTGATGAACGTTACAACAAAAGTAAGCTTGTTCACTCCATAATGCGTCACGTCGCTGAAACCATGGAAGCAGATCTCGAGGTACTGTACAACCTTCACTCGAATCCGTTTTGTGTACCTCCAGTCCTCGCGTTGCAGATTGTGAAATGGTGGGGCAGTAGCTGATTTGTACCCAGCTTTGTGAAGTCTTTTTCTAGCTTCCTTGATAAGGAATTTGTGTGCTGGCTTCAGCCAAAGTTGAAGAAACGCTTTGAAACTACTGGTGCCAATTGTCCTCGTCATTGTTGACACTCTCGCAATTCTTCCTTTTGTACCTACGGAGCATTGACTGATGTTCTCAATTCCCCTTTCATCTATTTTTGTGTGAGATATTCTGCGGTTTTGGCGTTATATAATGCCAAAACCGCAGCACTTAGACGATATCTTTCACAATTCTCCCGAAATCTGCGAATTTTTAGACAGCAGAGTCTTAAACCCTATTTTCACTTTCGATATGTGGTTTTTAGCGAAATCACGGGTAAATGCTGAATTCTACATTAGGATAAAGCTGAAAAAGTGTGTTTCATGGACTTACCGAAATGACCAGTCCACGGATGTTGCAACAGAGTCGAGCCGGGTCTAGTTTAAATATCATGTGAGTCACCGTGTGCAGAGTAATTGTATGGACGTCATGATCTCAGATGCCCGAAGCTTAGTTTACGCCATCTTCCAATTATTGGCCCAGTTACGTGGCTGTCGTATGCTAACTTCTGGACATCTGTACGGAAAATGGGAGTGTATTTTCAGGACGTGTAGGGAGCAGCAAGGTTACAATAAGAAACAATGTCGGGGAAGCGTAAAACTTGATATTTGTAGTTTATGTCGTTATTGATAAGGATACGTCATAAGACACTAGAGAACTCAATGCCCAAGAGACTCCGGGTAAACATTGTATGCATTCCCGAGATCAGAAGTTTTTGGTGATACATTTTCGCCTTGAAAGCATTAAACCTATTCGAGTTTCAGTATGAATTTTGAGGCATGTCATTGAAATTCACACTGACACTTTGCTGATTTGGAATTCATTTTTGACATCGAAGTCCTTTATGTCGGTTGTAGTACGGTAGCCTGGTGTGCTTTTATTATTTGTTGAGGGGCTCCCCGTCTGGACGCATCTTTTACTTTTACAACGTGCTGAATGTTGCAGGCTTTCTGTAGCTGCTAGAAATGGATCTTTTTACCAGTTTGAAGGATTGGTAGTTTGGAACTATCTCGATGCTCCTGACCGGATTCAGTTGATTCTGTGAATTGCAGGATCTGTACGCACACGTTGCATGGCCTCTTTACCGGAAATATGGCCACGCCTTTGAGGTCCGCTCAAATTGCTTTGCTTTAGCAGCATATCTTTATTCTTTGACTCTGCTTGGAAGGTTTTATTTCCGATGGTAGCTTTGGAGAGTATGACCGATGGAAGTTCTCTGAACTTTGTGGAGGTGTTTGACTTCCTTCTTCACCCTTGCCAGTCCCTGTGATGTTTGCATGTTATGCTTACAGCGATTAATCAATTGCTTTAGATAGTTGGGATAGGTTTCTAATCTGAGTTGCTTCCCTTGTGTAGGCATTTAAGTTGATTGTCACAGACCCAGATTCCGTATTGAATACTCTGACGAAGGAAGTCAAGGAAACAAAAGAAGACGGAACTGAGGTAAAGAGCTCTTATTAAGGCGATCATGCATCCTTGAAAATACTCCAGAGTGACATGGAAATATGTGACGAGGGTACCGGTATTGTCTCGCTTCTTTGACACCGTATATTTCACTGCCACGTCTAAGCTGTTGCAATATCCGGTCCTGGATTGACATTTCACCTGTTAAGAATCTACACACCGTCTTCGCGGTGCCCGAATTTCGCGTTTTGGATCCTCCCGTTCTCTTCAATGTGTTGTTTTTATTGCTCTCTGTGTCGTTGCTCTAACCTTGTAGTCTCTGTAGGAAATGTCATTAGTCCTAATGAGGGATCAGCGAGCATTAGAGTCCGCCATATTTTTTAGACCGCCGATAATAAAACCAGAAAAACTTATTCTCATTCATCACCTATCTTTTCTTTTAGTAATTCCTTGAGCGTACGGGCTGACTCGCAGGCTACGAAGACAGTGCCTGCAATGAGTGAGGAAGTGAAGGATGCTCTCGTGAAGAACATCAGGAGGAGGATGACCCCACAGCCTCTGAAGATTCGTGCAGATATTGAGTTGAAGTGCTTCCAGTTCGATGGTGTACTGCACATCATGGTCCGGTTTCTACTTTCCAAAATGCCATGACGCTTGACTTGGCACATATATTATTACAGATTACGACTGTCTCTCAGCTTCATCTGTAGGCTTGCGTCTTGTCTTCCAGGGCGTGCTGCTTATATGTTAATTCTCCTTCTTAGACAACGGGTTTGCAGGAAATAACAGATGGTCTTGAGCTTAACTTGCTGGAGAATCATGCAATGCTGCTCATCGGGTGGTCACATCGATATTTGGATCAGTGATCGCTTAAAAATTCCGGCTTGTACTTTTGAAGCTCATCATGTGCAAACAAACTCACGCGTTGGTCTAAATATGTCGCACAGGAAGCCATGAGGAAAGCCGAGGGAGAAGGTACTGAAGAGTGCCCTGTGAAGATCAAACTTGTTGCACCCCCATTATACGTGCTCACGACACAAACTCTAGACAAGGTTTGTTTGTAGCCTCTCAGAGTTTGTATCATTCAGTGTGGATCACTGGAATTGAGATGGAATTTATCAAATTTCGAGCATTCAATTGTGACGGCCACTGTGGGAGCTCTGACTTCGGCATCTAATTTCAATTCTCTTACCAGGATCTTGGTATATCAGTGCTCGAGAACGCAATTAAGGCCTGCACGAAGGAGATTGAGAAGCACAAAGGAAAGCTGACTGTGAAGGAGGCGCCGCGTGCGGTATGTGTCCATGATAATATCTGTTGTCGTCCACATATCAGCATACTGATTTATTGCTGGCAATGTGGTCGATGTGTGGAGTTAATGTGTCGTTGGATTTTGATTTTTGGTTGTTCTGTGACGACACTGAAAGCACTAGCAAGTCCTTGACACGATAATGCAGTTTGAATTTGTCACGTTCTTCTGTCTCCTGCTTTGATCTCAATGTCCAAATCGTATGCCCCCGCTTTAGCTGACTTTGATATTAGTCCAAATTTTAAACCCTCTTGAGTCTGGTTCACGGACATACGTTGAACTTACTTCGCACTGTTACGCTACTGCAGGTGAGTGAGAGAGATGACAGGCTTCTGGCTGAAACAATGCGCAAACTTGATGAAGCGAATGCGGAAGTCGATGGCGATAGGGATTCGGAAGACGAGGAGGAAATGGGCATGGGTGAAGTGGACGTTGAGGGTGGAGCAGGAATCCAGGAGCAATGATTTGTTAGATTGGACTGGAATATTTAGAATTCCGTAGGTTAGAGAGACAGCATGTTTTCACCTCAGTATTGTGACCGCTGAGAATAGCAGGTGAGAACCACCAGCGTGATTGTACTTAAGGCACTTGACATTAGGGTAGGTTGGCGAAGCGGCGGTAGGTCGCCTCTGGGGATTTGTATGCTGTGGAGTTTATTTACACATCAGCTTAGGTGGGTGGAAAGCCTAGTCGCCGAAGCTATATCAAGGTGGATATAATTTCTCTCAAATTCGAGACCTGCTAAAGTTGCTGAGTGCCAGAGGCAGATGTATCTGAGTCGCACTGCAAGAGAAAGTAAACTCGAGAAGTTTTGTAGAATCAGGTCAAATTGCCAGATCTTAAATAGATGTGTCGATATCAATCAGACCGGTGCTTGAGCTCGTACTCGTGTGCAACGGAGCCGGTCTCTCATCTGGAGTAGCTTGTTCAGCTGTAGGTTGAGAGGTGGTCGTACTTGTGGCAGAAGTTGTCTTCAAGGATCACTCGGAAGAGTGAAAGTTGTTTTTACCCTCTATGCCGCTCACGCTTAGGCTTCTACTAGTAGCCAAAGTTCTCGGACTTCTGTAAATTATCTACCGCCGGCAGGCAGGCGGAGGAGGTCCGGGACTAGAACTCTTCTACTTCTGTCTTTCGTTTATTAATTCCATCGCCTGCCCACGCATCTTGGTTCGATCGACCCACGTCGCATATAGTGTTCAGTGGGCTTGTTGGTGTACTTCAATCTGGTATAGTCATCCACGCAGCAATGTGTTCAGTTCTTGGACCAGATGTTTTCTGGAAGTAGATCTGGAGCACCAATAGAACATTGAAGGGAAACTCTTATCCCGAGCTCTGAAGATCGACATCTAATCAGTTATAAAGTATCGGGATGTTTTCCGTTTGTTCTCTTTCCATTAGCTGTTTGGAAAAGAACTGAATGTGGCTGGACATGGATCCTCGATATTTACAGGAACTTCGTCCCACTCATTTCTTCGGTTGATAGACAATTATCACCACTCTTCAACTATACACACGTGTACTGCAAAACTTAACATGAGTAAAGCGTGTATTTATGGTTGTGTTCTTCAGAACCAACTCAAAATGAAACTAGGTATTTTGTCTGGAGCTGGTGGAGTCTAGATATACAAAGATAAGGATCAAGTGTGACGTGGTTTGAAATTCCTCAAGAATTCTCCTTGCTTCCATTGGAAATATTCACGCCAGTCACAGTGATTTTGATGATGATAATGTACATATACACACATTATTGCGACGCAAAACTCAGATTAATGCAGGGAACGAGATTGAGTACTGTAGGGTCCACTCTCCATACAATTGTACAAACTGCTGTCTAATCCTGTTATATTTGTGAATTCCAGTTGAACGTCTGTTCTAGAGAGGAGTGACTTCCGGTTCAGGAATTTTCCATCACGGGAAGAGTCTCTCCTCTATAACCATAGGTATTCTACTACTGCACATGAACAAATTTGGATGCAAAAATATGCATCCACTTTTTCGGAAAAGCATATTATGACAGTCATTCCAATTTAGTTCGCCATGACGTAATACTGGGTATGTGCCTGAGTGCTTTCATCGTCTAGTACTCTCATAACTAACTTCTATACCAAGTCTTGAACAACTGAACTTAAATACCAAGTTATTTGAACTCGACTTCAAAAATCTCTAATGTCTATTACTCTCATAACTAACTTCTATACCAAGTCTTGAAGACCTGAATTTAAATACCAAGTTATTTGAACTCGCATTCCAAAATCTCCACTGTTGTTCATAGAGTACTATCTAAACTCATGATGTCCGTTTGAAGTGATTTGGATTCTCTGTTGAGGTTTCCTTCATCTGTTTTCGCTTTTGAAAGTTATATGAATTTTTCTGATTAAATTTAATTTAGTTCCAACGAAGAAAGCTTCAGAATCATAATGAAAAATTTATCTACCTTATACATAAATCATCATAAGATGCAAAAAATTGATATCATGTATCACCATACATAAATGATCTTTCATGAATTCAAGTGAATTAAATCTGTCTAAGTTTTCAAAATCAAAGTGAATTTTTTTCAATAAAAATTATAGCTTTTTTGCATTAGAATTATTCATCATAGTTTTACCCTTAAAATTGAAAAGTGTACTTCGAAAGTTGTTTAATTGAACTGTATTGTTGAATATTTGAAACATATATATCATCATAGCTTGTATATCAACATTTTGGTATGGATATCAATGAAAATTCAATAATAATCATAGCTAAGATCTTATTAAGTCTAAAAGTTTTATTTGTTATTACATAAGCACATCTAATTGGATAGTATTCTTCTAGATATATTGAAGCATATCATATTCAATCTTCAATCAATTTGGACAAATTGATAAAAAGTTGAATTCTTGCTTTTAGATTTAAAATTAAGAAATATTTGTTACGCAAAAACATCAAAAAACACAAATCATGCAAAATTTTGGAGAAAGCACGCAGACTTTAGCAAAAACTACAACAAGACTATAAAGTTTTACAAAATGCTATGAAACTACCACAAGTTGCTTGCTCTTCAATCCATTTCCAACTTCTACAGTAAATCCAATTCCACAAGCACACAAAAAATATCTTGAGTAAACTTGCTAGAGAAGTTTGACCAAGATCGTATAAAATTTCAAGATCAAGTTTGGCTGTAATTTGTTTCTAATCACACAAGTAGTCAACGGAAAAAACAAAAGTCGAATTCATTGAAACTGCTCATTAATCAACTACTTCTTGGTTTTTGTCATTATTAAAGAATAAACTTTCAATTTTGAAATATTTTTCATGCATTTTTTGAAAAAAATCATCACAAAGTTTGTAGAAAGAGATTGAGATTTTATATCTACAATAAAACTTTGAAAACTACAACCAAAATTGCGGCTAGCTTTAGCCTATGTTGCAAAATTTCCATGATTTTCATGTTATCGCAGTCTTGCTTTGATAGTAATTTTGCTTCTATTTCAAAACCTTGTTGCTAAACTTGCTACAATCAACTATTTTGTCAAAAGTCATAATTCACTTTAGCCAAGAGTGACAACCGGATACTTAAGTAGCAAACACAAGCATGTTTTATTGATAAAAAATCTTGTAAAACGGCATACTTTTATTATAATGTTTAAGAAATATTTTGTGGCAATAGAGCCTATTAAGATAGTACATTAATTTTTCCAAAAATCTTTGATTTTTTACATTAGATGTTTGATTCATCAAACATCTAATGTATTTGATATCATTGATCTATACTCTAATACTCTCGTGTTCTTGATTAGAAATGTTCAATTCGGACATAGATCAGAAAAAAAATGCTAACAAAAAATATCATTATTTTTCATATTTTGTCCAAACATACTTGAAATATTCAAAATCAGTCTTCTAAAATTCCAAAATGAAAATTATTTTTTTATGATAAGTACCCAATACTTTATGACAATTGACAAAAATTGAAATACGTTTGCAATTACTACAACTCAAACCGTTCAAGAAACAATCAAACTTCTAACAAAATATGAAGAGTATCAAAACGTGTTTGAAAGAAGAATGCTAAATATTTTCTCAACATCAAACTAATGATTGTGACATTGAATTTCAAAAAGATGTGCAAACTTTGTTTGATACAATCTACATTGTCTTTCAAAACAAGTTTGGTACATTGCAAGATTACTTTGATGAAAATCTTGCAAAAAACTTGATTGAAGATTCCAAGTCTAATGTCGGAGCTCCTATCTTATTTGTCGTGAAGAAATACATTTTCTTTTGGATGTGTGTGGAGTACTATGGACAAAATCAAGTTCACAATCAAGAATTGGTATTTATTGTCGCTTATTTGAGGAAATCCTGATCTAATCTATCAATCAAAGATTCACATCAAGATTGATGTTTGTGTAACGTACAACCCAGCAAGTATAAAAAAAGATGACAAATTGAAGACCATGTTCATAAGTAGAATGGACATTTTGAATAAAATGTCATGAATTTTAGTATTATCACCCCACTTGCCATCTTACAACACTTTATGAATAACATTTTCCAAGATTTTTTATACAATTTTGTTGTTCGTTATCTAGACCACTAGTATTGGAGAAACTGGGCATTGCTAGACCATATATCAAGATAAAGAAGTACGTTTTTCATCAACCCAAGTGGAACCATCAGTCGCTCTCTTCGAGCTGCCTCTCTAAGAAGGTGGCTCCTGGAACTTAGGTAATCTTTTGTTCTTTTAGAAGTAGAGGTTTGAGTCAAAGATAAAAGCTATCGACTGCGTATTTAAGAAGGTGGCTCTGCAACTACACGCACTAGTGAGTGGGCTCCAAGCGGAACATGCGGTGAGGACCTCAAGTTTTCTCGTGAGATCAGTACTTCTAATGAAAACGATGTTTACGAATTTTTTAAGAAGAGAAGTTGAGAAACAATAATTACGAGATAGCGAAAACCAAGACCGAATTGAGATCTAGATATACGTATTGTATCGGAATCACGACCTGCTCCTTGACTTGAGGACAGTGACAGTTGCGTTAAGTAAATTACTGTTCAACATCTCTGCTCGCTAGCTGTATTACAGATCATTCTTCGACACCAGATTAGCAAGCTGTTCGACAATAGATTGTAGTTATAATCATCACTTCAACTCTTCAGATGCCGTTAAGTGCAGGTCTTCATCATCATATTGTTAGGGTTTCACAAGCGAAATCAGGGGCACATTTCTTCTTATGTTTCATTGGTTGGTGCTCCAGTGAAGGAGCGTTCCAAAGATTTGAATAAGCCGCTTCTGTGTCCCGCACACGGTATTCTTTAGTAAAAGGCGAAAGAATAGTTCGCTCTGGGCTGAACACACGGCTGGTGGCTTGCTACGGCGATGCCCGGAGTTTATGTACCAGATCTCGAGCAAGATTAGTAGGCTTTGTGTATGGGTTTACTCTGTCCCTCTATCTTGACACGCAGCTGACACGGTTGGAGTCAATCAGAGGTCAAACCGCACTGTTCCTTCGGGACTAAACGTGAAACGAAACTGGATACATAAGCAAGGAATTAGACGACTTGTTATTACATGAAAAAGGTAGAGATTAGCTTCTCATAATATCAGTAACAAAAAATTTTTTTGGATAGGACAGGAGGAGGTAGAGGCTTGGGTTGAAATATACATATAGTTGGTTTGCAAGTATGAGATTATTAGTACATTATTTGCTGTAGTATATTTTATATTATACATAACACATTTGTTTCATGTGGAACACATGATACTATACCTCAAAAGAAATATATACTCATGAACTACATCACCACAATTTCGAAATATGTGAAAATGTTCGAGATCATTCATTTGGAATCTTCAGAAACTATTCATACCAACTTGATTACATTCATGAAAACATACTACATGAATACAAACGTACTAAAGTAAATCAAATGAGATGTCACTTACTTTAGTTTTTTGTGTAGACTAATGTATATCCTCGTAGTGAGAATTAACTCTGTAGAGTTTTTCGTAGTAGTGTCCCATTCCCAGAGTATCTTGGGTTGTTCCCGTGTAACTTCCCATGAGTCTAACTTGAGTTGAAGTATTTGCTAATGTCTGCCTGTGTATGTTGAAAAAAATACTTGGTTCGCGGATCTCCTAGCCCAATGTGTTTAACCCTAGATCAGAGCTTGATCTTGACATGCCGTTTGTGCTCTCTTACTCTCATTTCCGTCTCCAACCAGTGTAATATGGAGAGTTGTTGGAGTGCCATCGCATAAGATTTGATGGTGTGCAGGTCCGGGATCCCCTTCGGAAGTGTGTTTATTTTGGACATAAGGTTTCTGTGCTCCCTTTGCTTCACTTGAAGTAGGTTTCCCATCTGGTTCATGCCTCGGCGTGCAGTCTCCGAGGGTCGTCACTTCGATTCTGTAGTTTTTGCCATATCTTCTTGAGGCAGGTTTGTACCGATTCCTTTCCCAGCAGTGACGCGTTCCTCATGAACGTGGTTGTTTCCCATCAGCGCCATGCAGCGTTCCCAACTCGAACGCTGCTGAAACCAGGAAGTGATCAGAAAGTGTGTTCCCGCATGGTACATTACGTGGCATTACATTACAGTACTAAGCCACCTTCCTGCATGAGACACTTTGAATTTATATTGGAGAGGTGTCGGTAAGGGTCTAATTTAAGCTACACCCTCAAAACCTGGGATCTCTAACTGCGCTGTTAGCCTCAACGGCAACATCTAGTGCATACGACGCCATCTGCAGAATGGACTCAATCTGCACGACTAGGGAAAGTGATGTACAAGTTTCGATATGTGCCATGGAGTGTACAAAGATAATGAGAATCTGATCTCCATACTTGTGGATATCAGATAGCACGATGTTGTGCAACGCCCTGCGATGACCAAGGTTTGACTCGTGCTCATATGCCTACAAAGAGAGGGACACAAGGGACTGAAAACATGAGTCTCGTTTCTATATCAGAGTTTGACTATGACCAAGGGCATGAGGCTCGAGAGGGCCGACCCATCCATCCATCTTGAGGCTGGACATACCGACTGATGTTCACAGATTCTTCGTGCCGATGCTTAGAATTCAGCTCATTCTCGCGCATGTTCAGTTCAATGTTTGAAACGAAAGGAAGCAGAGTGCCTGGTCATGTCTTATTGCGGAATCCACCGGAACACAGAAGGGACGAAGGAGACTCACAGTGGCCAGAGGAAGACCCTGGCCCAGTGGCGAGGGAATATAGAGGAAAATAGGGCCCTTTGAAACAACGGACAACCTTGACGATGATAGGCTGCACAATTGACCTCAGCAAGTCTTCTAGCAAGGGCCACCTCCGCCGGATTATCACCTGTTGAAGAAGAGAAAGTCTGGATGTATGTTACTACGTCATCACTTGGATCGAGGTTGACTTCGGAGTTCATACTCATATCATGCTGTCAAGTTGCTTCGAGAGATTCATGCATCTCATACGTTACATACGAGCTGCTGCGTAATCGAAACTTTATTATCTAGATCTTAGATTCCTGCATTGAGTGTGGGTGAAAGAGTCAAAAGTGCGATCTATTCTATTCGCTTCAAACTACAATGTTCTAATGCGAGAATGGCCTTCGAGAAAATATCACAAAGTCACGAGCTCGATACTGGAAAAGAGTGCCAAAAAGTATTCGAAAAGACCTATTTTCTTATCAGACCGAGGAGGACGAGCCGCAAAGACATGTTTGTGCTGGTGCTGCAGCTGTAGGAATACACCCGAAATGTAAGGATGCGACTGGAGCGAGAAGGAAGGAGATGGTTGTAACTTCGGGCAGGGAAACGTGACAAGGGGCTCGACATAGAACTGACAGTCAACTGACAGGTACTTAGTGCAAAGTGATGTTTGTCCTTTTCATTCTGGTAAAATTATGAAGATGAAACTAAAGAGAGGCAGAGCCTTCTTCTCGCCATCTGATGTGCTCATAATGTTGGTTGGTCCATGTTTTGTAAAGGGGACCGAGCTTGGCAAATGCCCGTCAACCGTAGATATCAACCCTGCCTTCTGGCAATCATTGCCTACGTTTTACTCATCGTTTTCAGAGGAATATCCACCTTTTTCTGAAGAATAGACTTTACGCTGCTCGAGGTATTCTCCACGAGGATCGGATTTCCGCATCAACGAAGCGGGACGGACGCTCACCTGAGTCCTGCCTTTCCAGGAATGAAGTCGTGGAAAAATATGTAGATTCCAGTGCCAAGTGGTGTTCAAGCGCATTGGACGAAGGATTCTCTGTTGATCTCGCGAGCTATCCAGAAACATCACTTTCCCTGGGCCCTCCGTGCGGTATCAGGAGTATATGCTGACGCTCGCTTTCTGAATCCCAAATTTTCCAGCGTCTCATTATTGATGTCGCCCATGTCTTACTGCTCTCCCGGCCTCCTCCTCTTCATTCCAGCTGTTCGCTCTCAAAGTCGCTCGAGTCCATCAACCCTCGCTCAATTCGCAAATCCTCTTGTCTTCACATCCTGAATGTTCCAAGCGTATGCTCGATTCGAGACTCAATTTCTGTACAAACATCTCCAGTTTTGGGACCACTTTGGGATCCATAGACACAGAGCAGTTTGACTGTACCGCAGAGAACTGTATATTTTTATTTTCAGCGGCGGAGCAGGTTCAGGGACGGCCACATCAGTTGTTCTCCAAGAGAGAGACAGAGAGAATATGTCCACACTTAGTAACAAACTCGTTGTGAATCTGGCGCCTGAGGTGTCAAAAGAAAAAGGTGGCACCCGGTGGACGAGGGGGTAGGGTTCGCTCAGAGAAAAATCCAATATCGTCCCGTGCATCGATTGGTTGGTCTCCTTGTGTGGCTTTGGCAACAAGAACTGTACAACACGGTCCTGTAGGCGTACTGTACTGTCGTCCGAAAGCTCTTTTTGAGCACTGGAAGGTCAAGTTCGACCTCCGAAGCCGTCCGTCCCTCAGGTGCGGGAAGTTTTCAAAGGGTGCACTCGAGCACCTCAGATGGACTTCATTCATTCATTCATTCATTCATTTCATGCTTCACCACTGCTCGAGTTAACAAACCGTGAAATGAATCGAGAATCCACTCCCAAGAGTCCTCGAATCCTCCAATCCTCGATCAATAAACCCTTCAAATCCTTTTGGAAAAACAAATTACGCCGACACCCGAGCGAGCACGGAAAATCGGAGGTCCGAAGAAAAGGCCCTTCCCCGCCTCAGCTCCACTCCGCAGTCCCTGGACCATGGCCCTCTCGAGGAGATCTGCAGAGCAAAGCAGGCAGAGCGAACGAATCTAGACCGGGGCAATAAAAGCAACGAGGCCGAGGCCTTGCGATTCAGATTCACCAACGGCGCTGCAGGCGGGGGAAAAGCAACTGCGTGGGGTCCACGCGAGGCGGAGGCGGAGGCCGAGCAGCAAACGGAGCAGGATGTCGAGGCGACGCCGGAGCGGCCTTTGCCGGAGGTGGGGGACCTCGGGCAGCCACATACAGTGGCACGACTCCTGCGAGGAGGCCCTTTGGAGGTCGGCGGGAGCTGGTCGCAGGCTCGGGGGTCGGTCCTAAACTCTGGGGCCAGATATAGCCGACCCTGCTCGCCGCCGCTCGTCCTCCCACATTGTGGGTGCGCTCGCGAGCCCCCCATGGCCCAAGCGACGGGAGGAGGCGTCAGCGTGATTTGCTCTCGGCTCGCGATGGCGATTCGATGGCGATGGCGATGGCGATGCAGAGCCGGATCCAGAGTCGATCGATGCCGTGGGCCCCGTGCGGCCGATGCAGCCGAGCGCGAGAAGCAGCGAACGGGGTCAGTCGTCGAGGGAGGGAGGGAGAGGGCGCAGACGAGCAAGATACATTGGCACGGAGGCGGACGAGCCAGAGACGAGGACCGGACTGGAAAAAGGAGGAGCAGGAGGTGCGCAGGCGACAGACAGAGAGGAGGGAAAGGGAGGGAGGGAGGGAGGGAGGGAGTGAGTGAGTGGCGGCTGTGAGGCGCAAGAGAAAAGAGGAGAGGGAATCCGAGAGTCCACTGAGGAGCAAGGAGAAAGAGTCCTGGGCGGCGTCAGTGTCGGGACGTGGGAGAAAAGGGAACGATTTCAGCGCCTTTGGTGGCAGCAAGCAGCAGCTGGAGGGCCTTGCTCTTGCTCTTGCTCTTGCTCTCTCTCTCTTTGTCTCTCTGCCCACTCCCCCATTGCCAAGAAGTGCAGTTCCTGCAGCAACAGCTGCCGGTAGGGCGAGACGAGGACGAGACCGTCTTTCTTTCTTTCGTTCGTGACGGAGGGACGAGGAGCAGAAGCTCGCGGACAGGAGGCGACTGCACTGAGGATTGTGTGAGTGAAGCGAGGGGAGAGAGGAAATGGCGCTAGTCCTCTCTTCTCCCACTAATTTGGGCTCGTCCCTCTGCACTTCGTTGGTTCCCGTCGGTGGGAGTGCGGCGGTTTGTGGGAATGCTCGCGTGTGCATGCTCGCTTCTCCCTCGTCTTCTTCTCTTGGAGGCTGGGGGCAAGATGCCTTCAGGGGGTTGTCGAGCGGATTCGAGAAGAACGTGAAATCTGTGAACGAAGGGCTTCGACAAATTGCATCCGGCCCTCTGAGACACCGCGGAGGAAATTGGCAGGTGAATGCCTCGGACGTGCAGCTTGCCAGCGGTGGTGACAGCGGTAGCGGCGTGGGAGGTGGATTCGGAGATGGAAAGGGTGGGGATGGTGATTCTGGAGACGGTTCTTTCTCTGAGGGATCTGGAAACAGCGAGAACAGGGACGAGGCTTTGGCTGTTCTGGCTACCATCGGTAGATCCCTCGAGAGCTTGCCGAAAGACCTGTCCGCCGCCGTCAAGAGTGGAAAAGTTCCTGCCAGCGTGATCCAGCGGTTTCTTGAGCTCGAGAAGGCCCCATTCCGAAATTGGCTTATGCAGTTCGCAGGATTCAAGGAGCGCTTGCTTGCAGATGATCTGTTCCTGACCAAAGTCGGAATCGAATGCGGAGTTGGCATTTTCACCAAGGTGGATCGTTTGCCGTCTATTCCCCTTTTTCTAACTCAGGGAAACTACTCACGTCTTGTAGATTTCGTGCCCATCGGAGGAGCCTCTGTGTATCACTCTAACCGTGCTTTGTCCTCTTTTCCATACGTCCGTGGTTATGAAATCGTCAATCTTGGACTCTATGTGCATGCCTATCTCCGATGTGTAGCGAGATGTGGTATTCTACATGTTGGTCCGACGTGAAAGGCGAAATTCTCATAGCTTCGGATGGATGAGTGTGTAAGCAGAGTTTATAGACCGATAGGATTTAGTTGCGTCGTCTACCCTTACATACAAATTTCAGGACAGTGCGACGGTGCACTTATTACCGTCGCCTGAACCCGCGATGCGGTTGTTGTTATGCAGTCTCTGAATGTGGTTTTGCATTCGATTGGTGGTTGTGCCCAACGTCTGACAGACAGCAGCTGAGTTGGAGAGGCGGCGAGAGAACTTCACCAAAGAACTTGATTTCGTCGTTGCGGATGTGGTACGTGAGACAAGTTGGCTTGCGATAGTTATGACAAGACATGATCGTTCTCATGCATAGGTCAGAAGACGGAGATATTAGTAGTTATCCCACTATAGGTAGTAGGGGATCGATGAATTTGTTCTTGTCAAGATGTACTTTGCATTGATTAGTTGTGGATCAATCTAAACAGATCATGGCCCTCGTTGCGGACTTTATGCTGGTTTGGCTTCCTGCACCTACTGTGGCCCTGCGCCCTGCTCTCGCTAAGAACGCGGGGAAAATCGCAACCTTTTTCTACAAGTGCCCGGACAACGCCTTCCAGGTATATTTCCATGGTTTTGGAATTACTTCTTCTGGACAATTACGTACTCCGAGAATGTCTCCAAGCTTTTTTCTGGCCCGTTTACTCCAATCGATCTTGAGTTTCGTTGTTGACGAAAGTTTTCGAAAATTCCGGATCGGATTTCGTTTTCTGAGTGCGATCATCCTGGATGCAGATTGCGCTAAGAGGAACGTCATACTCAACATTGCAACGAGTGGGAGCTATCGTGGTATGTTTCTGCGATTCGTAAAATCAGATGTATGTCGAGCCGAAGTTCTCACATGAGTACAATTATTGTCAGTAGGGCTGACGGAACTTTGTTTTTTTGGCTCGCAGCGAAATGGTTCGAAGTTATTTGTGGTGGGAACTTCTGCATCTCTGGTAATGTCCGCGATCTGATTCCTTTGACATTAAGCATCCATATGAAACTTGTGGCATGTATAGAGAAAATGCGGCACTTACTGATCAGCGTTGATACTACTATACACCTACCAAACACGACCTGCGTCAGAAAGTTTTTCTTGAGAAATACTATGTATTTAATTTTTGAAACTTTTATGATCTGTAGATTGGGACCGCAGCAACGAACACTCTTATCAAGTTAAGGAAGTCACTCGACAAAAATTTTGAAGGAGAAACCGAAGACATACCAATTGTATCTACCAGTTTGGCTTACGGAGTGTACATGGCAATCTCGAGTAATTTAAGGTAATTTGTCTTCTTCCGTTTTCCATTTCGTATAAATTACCAAGTTTCGGATGAATAATTTTCGAATTTTCATTAGTACATACTCATATATATATATATATATATATATATATATATATATATATATATATATATATATATATATATTCTATTCAACGAATGACGTTTTGTTTCTGATATGGTATTGTTTCCCACTTTTCATGAATATTGTTATTCATTCGGTTAGTCGTGTCCAAGAGTGAAGGGGTTGTGTGACACTACATGCTTTGCTCCACAGGTATCAAGTTTTAGCAGGAGTGGTGGAGCAGCGGTTGTTGGAGCCCCTACTACACAATCAAAAGGTGGTACTTGGTGTATCTTCTTTCGCTGTTCGAACTGCGAACACATTCTTGGGCTCATTATTGTAAGTGCCTTGCCAACCACTTGAATCTTCGGTTTCACTCTTAGATTATCTGGAAGTCATCATTTTCAGGCAAATGCTCATTCACTTTTCAAATTCCCATTCACTTCGGCCTTGAGTTGGAAATTTTGCATCGAAATCTATCGTGTTAGTATATATTCATATCAACTGTGTACTAGTGAAAGTTGGTGTAGTGGTCCCAGCTTTATGACAGTATTATTTTTTGTAAAAATATGAACTCATAGTATTATATTTTCTTAGTTATGGCTTCAAACTTGATACGGGATAGATTTGCAAATGTTTTTAGGCTAGATTGTATCGATGTGTATATGTTTTCTTCTGTTGCCCAGCGTGTTCTTCAGCTGATTAGAGGATTTATATCAACTGATTTTATCGATTCAAGTCGAAATTGATAGTCGCTTTTGTAATCACCTTCTGACGTACCGTAATCATTCTGTTGATTTCCCTTTTCTGCAGATGGGTAGATTATGCGCGATGGATAGGTGTACAGAAGGTTCAGGAACATTAGCAAATGTTGGCCGGGGCAGGAGCTCTCTCGGTCATTTGATCTATGTCCATTATCTTATTAAGCGTGGATCACCACCTGATCTTTCTTTACTCCACAATCGCACGGCATCAGTTAGGAGGTGTACCATTTTGTTACTGGTTCGATCCAATTTTGCTCAGTGGAGAGTAAAGAATCATCGTAGAGCTGCGATGGTGATTGGTAACATCATGGGCTACACACATATCCTTGTTTTCCTATCACGCAGTCTTCCACGTTGTCAGACCGTCTCGCACAAATCCCTTTACCCCCTTATTCGTCTCATTGGTGCATCGCTTGAAAGTCAAAGTCTGGAGAAATATCAGGGAGGAGGGTTGCTGAGGCTGAAACTTACCTACTGCCTCTTGCACCTCATACATACGATCGAAAGTTTGACCTGCAGAAGAGTTCAAAGGAAAAACATCATCGAATGGAATGGAGTGTGCAAGTGTTCTTTAACCGAAAGGGAGAACCGTAGCGGTGTCAACCTCATTGTCACATCCCCCACAGATTGTCATTCTTGCGTCTACAAGGTGAAAAATCTAATCTGTTACACTGCCTTGCATGAACGTGAGGATTTTGAAGAAGAAAGAGGAGTGGCAGTCAGGCTGCAAATCCTGTCTAGTTAAGTGCTCACAGAATGTATCTGTGAACACGGCTAGGGATACTCTTACAACATTAAGGCTTTGCAGTTCGTCGAAGTGTTGTGTTATCAGCGCCATCTTCGTCTGAGTCCTTGAGAAGGCGTAAGAAGGGTTCTTCTCAAAGACAGTTGCTTGATCTTTCAAAAGGTTTATGCAAAAGGGGTGTAGTAATTCGTCGAAATCAACTTTTGTTCGTACATATAATTCTTCGGTTGACATGGTATTGTGTACGTGAACCTGAGAAGGCAGGACCGTACTTACCTTCAATCTGAACCTATGAACCTATGTGGGGTTCGTTCGTGTACTCACTAGCTGGCTACTTCGCCACTAAGTAAATTCTCCATTATTTCCCTTCCCGGTACTGTGGATATGTTGTCGCATGTCTTGCACTTGGTAATCAGATGAGGAAACGATTTGATGATTGTCGTCTTTTTTGAGGGAAGCATTCTTTCTTACTTTGTATATGAACACGTTTATTTAGTTGTATGGATCTCACGAATCATAGCCGATCGCAGTAACGACTCACTTTCGCCCAGTGAGTGAGTGACCGAGTATGTAACGTTTTAGCAAAGATTAAATTTCTACACAAAGAGTAGTTTGAGGCACAGAAAAAATTGTAACATCTCTCTACTCTTGGGTCAAATCGTATGAAGTTTGCATTCTCATTACAGTACTTGGAAGTTGCAGTAATCACAATCATAAGTTCAGATATGAAAATTATCGAAATTTACATATTTAAAAAATTCCAAAATATTCGATTATGGCCTACAGTTTCTTGAAATTTCAATCTAAGGTTTTCAATATATGTTTTGTTTGGCAATTTCATATACCTGAAATTATTCATATACTTCAAAAAGTAGAAGTAAGTAAAAAAACTTGTTGCAGACATAGTTTGTGAAAAAAACCGTAATACAAATTTTTAAAAAAAAATTATAATCGATTTGTTTCATAGAGAACAAGTGTTGAAGTAATCCTAAGACAATTTAAAATATTATTTGATAATTCTTGTAGCATGCTAAATGATTCTTATTTCTTAGATGCATCATGATAAAAATTTCCAATATGCTGATGTTCTATAACTTAAACCCTGCTTTCGTGTATCTGTGGTTCAATCATTTTGTTTCATTGCATTAGCTGTGATACCTATTATTCGTTATCTTTTCATCTTTCATAATTCTTATTGGTTTGCCATTTTGAACCCCTAAATCCAAAATATTATAAATGTTATAAATCTAATGATCCTCACTTCAAAAATCATCTGAATGTAAATCTTCTATGCAATTTAAAACTGGATGAACATTTATGTAATATATTTAAGTAATATAAAACCATTATAAATTTCTATTTGAGCAATAAATATAATTTGAATATTTTTGAAAAGTATTATGAAGTCATGATTTGAGATTACAAAACTGAAAATCCTATTAGCGTTTCTTTTAAAGAAATTTATTAGAATGTACAGTATCATAATATATTCAATATTGAGAAAAGAATTAATGTATATGGAATTCTTGCCAAAATAACATTTATAATGCCAATAATATGTTTGCAAAAACAATTTGAAATTCCTATCACACTAGAAAAAAAACTTATCACTATAATTTCATTTAAATTTTCATAATATATTTCTTATAAGTTATGTTTGAAAGTTAACGAAAGTTGAATAATTACTTATAATAATGTAGATATATTTTGATCTGTATTAAATATATATAGAATCCATATTTAAAAATATATATATACCTTATTATCTATATTTTGGAAAAATCTAGATTTGTATCGAATTAATGTTAATGTAATAAGCTAGAAACAAATATGTATAATTGCAATTTATGATAGTACTATGTCACATTGAAAAAGAAATTTACAAATATATTACACATGTATATCAAATTTATACATGTTTAATCACTATCATTGCTCTCAAATAATTAAAAAATCTTATTATCATATTTCATATTGACCTTTGATTCGACATTTTAAAATAAATTTTAATTCATGAAAAAAAAATTTATTTATATTCCAATAATTTCTTCTTAATACATTTTTTTCATGAAGTTTTTTTTTCAATCCAAGCTTCATACCTTTACTTGATTAGAAAAATTAATCTAAATATTTTTATGCGTGTGATTTGTCCAATCCATTTTTGTTCCAAGTTAATGCCCAATTTAAATTTGTGATGATTTGTTGAGGAGGGTATTCATATTAATGTGTGCTGCAAAAATATTGTAAATCGTTATACAAACATCATATATGTTTTTATTCCTCATACTTTGAACTCCTTGAAAGTAGAGCAAACTAGAATGGGTTATAATAGCTCTTTTACATGCATTGTGAGATCAACTTTCAACATTGAATTTCTGAAATACTCTAATTGATTGACTTATATGATGACTGATAAGTTTTTGGCATGTTTTTATTTTGAGAAAAAGAGAAAATTACATATGTAATTGGTCACATTCATTTGTTCAGTTAGTTATGATTAGATAGAGAAATTTGACAGATATATATGTATGAGAAAAAAATAACAGAAAATAGTACATTTGAACACAAGAATTTAGTTCTTATAGATTGATTTTATGCATACACCTAAAGCTACGGGCACATTTGACATGATCCAGTGAAAATTTGGTATAATTTGAAAACATCCATCTAAATTTTGCATGTTATTGTCATGCATACGTTTTATTAGATTTCGTGACTTGTTTCTTGATTAAATTTGATAAGAGAAAGTTACAAGCTGGGTACTTGTGTTTATTGAAATAAACATCAAAATTGTCAATATAGAAGTGAATAACACATCTCCACTTAATTTTCTACAGTATTTTTGTCTGAAGAAGTTTGATATTTGAAAAGTCATGTTGAGTTTATAGATTCAATTCTATGAAACATTTCAATGTTGACTTGACTCTTTGAAACAAGAGACATTCAAAAGTGCGGATTTTGAAAGCTTTTGTAAGATTGTGTATTGGTATTATGATAAGTGGATTGAGTCGTGTACGTTAGATTTTCATGAGCCGTTGAATAAAAAATTGAGGGAAAGACATCCTTGACGGCATAGAGCCAAGCTTGATAATTCCTTGTAATGTTAATATAATGAAAAACTAGTCTAATCGAAACTTTGAATAAAAGCATGGTTAGGATAAAAGTTTAGTGTAATCTATGACTAAATTGAACCACATAATATAGCCTAATTGTGGTTATATTTGACTATAACATAGGAGTTTCCACATTTAGCCAACTTGTAATTATCGTGTAGTATCAAATCCTTCACCAAGTATTCATTCCAGTAGTTAATGCTCATTTTCAGATAGATGCCAGAGCCCAATCCAACATAATTTGGTTTCATTTATATAGTAACATGTTCATAACTGACTCTCAAGTTGCCAATATTGAAAAGCTCTCACGAGAGCACGTCTTTGTTCTAATAACCTATAGATCCATGAAGCACAATAGAACGATCCAAGTCGATCTGGTATGGAGTATACACTATGATCATAACCGGCGAAGATAAATCCTGTGTATGTTTATTTATGAGACAGATGGAGAAGTGTACATTTCACCATGCAACAAAGTCAAACTAAATCCGATTATGATGGTATAGAAATAACGTATCATGCCCTTGCTTCAACTGCTGCATAAGTATCTGTAATATCAATTTCATTTGAAGAGATTGATTTTTCATCTTCTTCTCGTCTCTTCTTGTAAAATTAAATCATACATATACAATTTACTGGAAATTTGCCTTCCGTTTGTCTAATGCGGTTTACTGCACTGCAAGGCTGCGAGGGTCACCCACTGGATTTGCCAACTATCTTTGTATTCAGGTCGAGGGAGTTGACCGCCTTTTGTTGCAAAAGACGGCTGATGAGGAACTCAGCCCAAATGACTATGAGGGAATTTAAGTGCGAGCGAACGCACGAGAAGAATGATGTCGAGTCGGCGGATCTGCAGGCTGCCGACCAGATCCCACGACGAAACAGAGGTCGCCGCCCTGATTCGCACCGCCACGTCACAATACTTGATACCACGACAGCCGAGGTCATCACCCTCTTCGTCAACCGGGTAAGTGGGCCGACGTCGTACGCCTGCTACTACAGACCAGGCTGACGTGCATCGACGTATGGCTTCCCGTATTCCTCGAGCGCGGACTCCATACGCGTATGGTACGGTAGCTCGCCGTTTGAAATGCTAGACGTTCAGGAGCGGGACGAGCGGTCTGTCCGTGGGCCCCGAGCGCGCCAACTGGATTCTTGTGCTCGGGGATGCGAGGACTCGTTGCGAGTAGGTGTAAAAATCCGTAGAAGCCTGGATATAAAGTGGGGGAGGGGGGTTTGGAACTAATGAATGAGGATTGATCCTTCTTCGTGCCTGCGTTCAAGAGTTTATTATCGTACATGTGTCTCACCATTAGCTCCCAAATGTCTTTTGCCACGGATGAGGAAGTCGATGATGTCTTTGGTCCGTCTTCCACACCACTTCGAGAATAATGGGACTTTGGTCGTCACTTGGGCTCTTTAGCCTGCAGGAGCAATGAATAGGGCCTCAAGCACGAGCAAATTTATTAGAAAGTACGTCGATATCCATTGATTTGATTAGATTTGATCATGTTGTAAAGATATTGATTATTGTGGCGTAGATACTACAATTGAATGATAATGAGGATTCACTTGATTTTGCAAGGTTTCGACGGTTTTACAAATTATTTCGATGGCATTTGAAACTAATCGAGGTCAAAGTTGTCTAAAAGTTACGTATGCACAATCAGAGTTTTACTTTTGTTATAAGCAAGGAGTTCAGAATCGGGCCTCCATTAATGGACCTATACAAAAACAGAAAGGAACTGCAGGACCGTCGGGAGGAAATGACAGGAAGGTCTGACCGCGGTGCATCAGCAGCAGCAGGAAAGAATGGATTCGGGACGTTCCTGTAAGCCGGCTTCAGGACAAAGGATAATAACGACTTGCGCAGAAGTGCAGCGACATGGAGCTCACGACTTTTGAGGTTCAGGCGGCGGATGTTGCCTCCGCAAAGACCAGCAGCAACATCACCACTGCACTACTACCACTGCGACCACGGCGGCCCCAGATGCTGGTGCTGTGGTCGATACTGCTGGTTGTTGCGGTCTAGTCTTCATACCTTCGCTAATTCTGTCTTGCCTCCTATCCTCGAAGTTTCGTCGAATCGCGACGAATGCCCTGTCCTTGCTGTGCAGAGTAGAGCAGACAAGAGGAGAGGGAAACGAGTCTCGTTCTCTGGCTTGCTCTCCTCTCGTCTCCTGCCACTGCAGGCAGTCGTGGATTTGAGGACGGAGCAGGAAAGAGGGCCGCAGAGCGAGGGAGTGACTATAGGACGGGAAAAAGAGTCAGCTGCTTACAGCGCATGTGTGCATAGAGCTGCTTCTGTCTGTTGAGCAGTTCGACTGACTGATGCTGGCGTAGCGGAGGAAAAGGGACGCTGGAAAGGACAGTCCTTCGTGTCAGAGTTGAGAACCAGTGATGGTCTGGAGCTTAGTCGGCGGAGGAGTAGGAAGAAGGGAAGACAAGTGCTGCGGTTATTTTTGGTAGCGATGCTGCGAGGTTTACTGAGTTTTTGGTGACAGAAATAGTAGCCGCAAGAGCTCGTCCGAAGTTCTGGGGGTTTTTTTCCTCTCGAAGGGTGTGCCCTGTAGTCGAGAGTTGCACGAACAGTGGATTGTTAGAGCAGTGAAGACCATGGTTTGAAGGACAGTGCAGGGGCGGAGATGTGTCGAATACTTGCTCGTTGAATATGGAGGGGCCCTTTGATGGCGCGGAGACAGGTTTTGTGCATGCTTTGTGGCTGCAGATAATGGAAATTTGAGGGCTTGGCAGGGGAGTCTTGTAGGGGTTAGCTAAGCACGGTAGGGTATCAGGGACTCGACTCGGGGACTTTAAAGAGTACATTGTTGGTGGAAGTCCTTATTGTAGTTACGGGAGAGATTAAGAATTTTTTCCCTGTCCGTGAAATTACGTCTGGTGGAGCATTTGAAATGTCCGCGATGGCAGACCGAGGAGTTATTGAGGTGATAATCGTAATACTTAGAGAGAATAGCACTTTCAGAACAAAAAAATCTACCATGTTCTTTTAACGTGAAAATGAGTAATACAGATCACATTAGGTCGTTTTAGAGTGGCAAAGTCGTGAGTAATGAACTCTTAGCTGTAAAATTTCTCCATCATCAAAGATGCAGCACTCGTTCCAGCTTTTCTTGTCTCATGTTCTTCATCATTTGAATTGTGTCATTCACTCGTCTCATCTTCTCGTCCTTTTTTCCCTGTGAAGATTTTTTTCTTTTAGTATTCCCTCTCCATTCACTCCAATGTCCTTATTTTCTCATGATCTTGAACTGTTGTTAATTGACTCATTTCTTTTAACAAACAGTTTCCGGTCGCTTTCTTCTTTGCGGTTTTGAACTTGCTTACACAGTAATACCCTTCAGGATCAGAGTTTAATGCTTACAAGTACCTAAATATACCCACTTGGAAGCTTCAGCTGTCACAAAAGCTAGCTTCGTATTCAAAATGTCGAGTGTCCGTAGTTGCAAATAAATTTCTCACTGTTGGACGATCTATTCCCCAAATTTTCTTCTTTGCCGTTTATTTTTCTCTTGGTCCACAGAAACTTACTCTGCCTCGATGTGACAGAACTCCAAGGTGCTGATGGTCGGAGCTGGCGGCATTGGATGCGAACTTTTAAAGACGCTTGTTTTGACGGGTTTCAAGCATATACATGTGGTAACACCTTCTGCTGGAATTACTAAAAAACCGTGTGCGGTTTTTCGTGCTATTCAAACTTGGATTTTGAAGCTAAAAGATGCATCAAGGATCTCACGTTTTGAGAGCAAAATCTGAAATTGATCTCTGAAACTATATTTACTTATGCGAGTGATTTGGTTTTTAAAGAAGCGCATGCATATTGGGATTTTAGAGAACCTTGCTGGAAGTCATTTTAAGTAGTGTGGGTCATCACAAGAGTGACAGGCGCTTCTCCTTGCAGAACAATACGTTCGTAATTAAAAGTGGACTATATTCCTTGATCTTTCTTGTGCATCACCGATGTCCTGCAGTTTAGTTTCTAAATTCTGGGTATTCGAAAGTACTCAAGTAAGGCGATGATGCTCCACCTTACTGGGGATTGTGTTTATTTTCAGATCGACATGGACACAATAGAAGTCAGCAACCTTAACAGACAATTTCTATTTCGAAAGCGTCACGTTGGGATGTCAAAGGCCCAGGTAAGTTGCGCAGGATCATTCGCATGGATAGTGCTGTGTCTAACAAGTGTTATCTATGTGCGTGTGTCGTGAGGCTTTGGAAGGAGAAAGCACATAATCCGTATGTTTTCAATTCGAAATTGGACGTTGTTCTCAGCCTTGAGCTGTTCATGGATTCAGGTGGCAAGGGAGGCTGTGCTGAGGTTTCGACCTGATGTAGAAATTGTAGCACATCATGCTAATGTCAAGAGCTCTCAGTTCAATGTCGAGTACTTTCAGCAGTTTAGCATTGTGCTAAATGGGCTGGATAACCTGGACGCCAGACGCCATGTGAATCGGCTTTGTCTGGCTGCCGATGTGCCTCTAGTTGAAAGTGGCACCACTGGCTACTTAGGGCAGGTGCGTGTACAGTCACTTGTAGTATACACTGCAAGGTTAACAATGAACGACATCTAGATTCTGTGCTACTTGTGAGGCAACTTACGTGTGTAGAAGCACTCGACTTTCATGTCATGCAGAAGTTAAGCTCTTCTTTTGCATGTGCTCTTCACTGCGTTAGTATCGTGCTTCTAGCTAAGCTCTCAAAGCCGACTGATTTGTTTGCTTTCCATGTTATGCAGAGCTTCCTTTTCATGTCATTCGGGTCTCTTTACGAGCGCTCGCTCGTTCTATGCCTCCATGTTTTCCCTCCGTGATTGTGTATGCCTGCTGTGTTGGATGGTTGTATTGGGCAAGACAGGTTACAGTGCATGTGAAGGGTCGGACAGAATGCTATGAGTGCCAACCGAAGCCTGCACCAAAAACATATCCTGTTTGCACCATCACGAGCACTCCTTCCAAGGTATGCCTCTCTTCCGGATCTTTGCTAAGGTATCGGTTGCCTTTGCGTCGTAACATTAAATCCGGAAAGGTAGTTTCAGTCACAGGAGGCAAATATACAGCAGAAACTTGTTTGGATCAAAGCTTTGTGCGATTATTGTTTGACGTCGGATTGTCATCTGCCGGCCTAATGGCCTAAGCACTTGTACAGATTCAATTGTTTCACATGGCTAATGCTTCATCTGACCATTGTTTTTTCTTCCAGCCAGTTCACTGCATCGTGTGGGCAAAAGATCTGCCTTTTTTGAAGTTATTTGGAGACAAGACTCTCTCCAATGATCTGGATGTCCGTACCAGTGGTGCAGAGACTTCTAATGAACAGGAAGAAGCTAGCTTTTTCGATTTACAAAAGGATGAAACCAGCAAAGCATATGCTGCCCGTGTTTTTGACCGTCTCTTCGGGCAGAACATAGAGATAGCCCTGAAAAATGAAGGTGCCTGGAAAGAGAGAAGAAAGCCCACTCCTCTGTTTATTGCTGATATATTTGGATCCGAAGATAAGCATGAAGAAAATGGATCAGAAAATGGATCAGCTCTCGAAAATAAATCCAAGGACGAAGGGAGTGCATTGTCTGCTATGACAAAGGTGGGACTGAAGAACCCGCAAGAAATGTGGAGTGTGAAAGAGAATGCCAAGTTGTTCTTAGAGTCCGTGCGGCTCTTCCTGGACAAGAGAAAACAGGTAATGGTTAGGTGCTGTTGACAGTACATAGCTCTTCAGCTCTGAGCATTACTGTTTATAGGAAGGTTCTCTGTTCTCTTATGGGAAAGAAATATGCTCGGTCGTCATTTTTTGATTCTGCTTATGCAGATATCTTCAGCAGTCTCCTTTATGGATCAGCGTGACTAGATTAGTAGTTCTGGACGATGTTTAGATTGGCTTATACAAACGATTCTCCACTTTTGGTTAACCTTTGGAACCTGTTGTCTTAGTTCATGAACATCAAAAGTTTGAATCAAAATTTCTACTGCCCGGTTCTGCTACTTGTTTTGGTTTTTAGCTTAGTGGTCTTTCCTAATCGCGAGAATTAATGGTTAACTGGACTGGACCGTATGAAACTGCAGGAGATTGGGAAGCTCACATTTGACAAAGACGACCAGTTGGCAGTCGAATTTGTTACAGCAGCTGCCAACTTAAGGGCACATTCCTTCGGAATTCCAATGCAGACGTTGTTTGATGCCAAGGGTATTGCGGGGAACATAATACACGCCATTGCTACAACTAATGCCATCATAGCGGGGTTGATTGTGCTGGAAGCTATCAAACTGCTAGAAAAGAACCTAGAAGCATGTCGGTAAGTCGGTCACACCAAGTCCATGCTGCTTTGGAGAAGTGTGCTTTCATTTGGTTTTGATTTCAGGTTTGTGATGCGAAAGAACTGGCTTGATCGACACAGTTTGGAATTACATGCAGAATGACCTACTGCCTTGAACACGCATCGCGGAAATTGCTGCTGATGCCCTGTGAGATGGATGTACCGAATCCAAAATGTTACGTATGTTCTCAGGTAAGTCTACTATATCGCTTTGGATCTTTGAGTTTTCACCTGTATGCAGATGCTACTGATCGAATTTGGATTGCTAATTTCCTGAATGGACTGGTTATTTTGTATGAAGGGAGTGCCCAATTTCTATCCTGATGTTGGGAAGTTTGCAGTGATATCTTGGAAATTGTAGTAGTAAGGCCCTGTGTTTGTGCAGACACCACTCGTTTTGGAGGTGAACACGTCAACTGTAACGTTAAGGGATGTCGTTGAAAAAATTGCAAGGAAGAAACTGGCTGCAAGTTTTCCGACAATTATGCAGGGATACAATGTGCTTTGTGAAACGGGAGATGATATAGATCCTCACTCAGCTGCCATCTATGAGGCTAAGCTGGATATGGTGAGTTGGTTTTCTTTCTCTACTGACACAAAAATTGCTAATAAGATAGCAATTGCGTAGGTTACAAGATTTTATGTTTTCTGTGTCTCTGTTCTTGAAGCTTGCGGTGTTTCAGAATATAAGTAAAGCTCAGTTTAAAACTGAGCTTTATGTTAATAGGTTCTTACTTTTTCTGTGGACACTATACCATAGGAGTTCCTGTTTGACCTTGACTCATGTTCAGCTAATTCTGAATATCGTTTTTGGTAGAGAATTTTAGAATTTGCATTGTTTTGAGATTTGGGAAATAGTTGGCCGTATGTATTAAATCTCAAATTACAGTTGGTGTATTGTTTGGATACCTATTGGCAAGAAATTCAAGTCGCTTCACTTGAAACTGAAAGCCAAACACGCGGCGATAGTGTTCATCGTTGGTGTATTAAATGGGAATGCGTCTCGTGGTTGTCGCAGAAACTTGATTCTTTAACGCCTGTTCCTATCGTTGACGGCGTGGAAATTACTATTGAAGATCTTCAGCAAGATTTCTCCTGTTCAGTTTATGTCAAACACAGGTAACCTACCCAAGTAAATTTTGCAAGAGAGTTGAAATCATATGTTGGGCCTTTCCAGCAAGTGTGGAGATGCATTTGCTGTTATTACTGATCGTTTAATCTGTTTTCCTTCTCAGGGAGGACTTCAGTGAAGAGGAAGCAGATGAAATGCGCCTGGGAGGACTAGACCTCCTTACACCTGCCGATACCCAAGCCACCGCCAAAACGGAAGCAGCACTTAAGTCGTCCTCAGCGGAGATTGTGGACGGCGATGAGGACACTGTTATGATAGATGGAGTAAGCGCTCTAGGCACGAAGAGAAAGTTGGAGGAGGAACCACAAGGACCAGTGCAAAAGAAGATGAAGGTTTAGCTCACGAGGACCGAACCATCGTCATCACCAAGTATGATGGCGACCTCTTTTGTGCCATGGAAACAGTTATTCACCAGACAGGAAATGTATATCTGATGTTCATGGCCGGGTCGTTTCGACCTTCACAATGTGCTGGTTTGTAGTCTCCAGCACAGCGTAGACACTCACCGCCTGTCAGTCAATGTTATGATCGAATATGACTTGGAGGCGACGTTCTCCCACGGGTAGTTGAGGACTAAGTTCATTAGAGGCTTTCAGTGTAAAACCGGGAGAGGGGCTATCTGGGGGAATTTTCGACCTATACATCAGAGTCACACATGTGAGTGCAAGGCCAGTAGAATCACTGGCATCAGTTTTTTGCAGTCGATGTTTCGGCAGATGGATCTCAGATGTGAGATCCAGAGGAACATGGGTCTCTGATGTATGTTGGAATTGAGATATGTTCTATAAATTTCAATTCGGAGTTGCGATTTATTCGCGCAAAGCTGGTTTCTTATGTCTGATTCTGAGTAGTATCCTCGCTTGCGTATGCTCTTCAAGAGGACCTTCTGTAAAATCTTGTCCAATGCTTGAAATCGAAGAATGTAAACTGCACAGAGGGCCGACGCGATCAAGCAGCTTGGCTGCTAGGTAATCACACTTGACTTCTTCACACTCGAATTTATTGTATGTATTCGTTCATCCCAAATTCTCCTTTTTGGAACGATCCTATCAAGTCAACCTATCGTCCAGTTTTGGTCGAAATGTAGTCCAAGGAAAAACTGCCACTTCTGGTTATTGTCAGCCATATCATGCTGGTGAGGTTATAGAAAGCCGGATAGCTTGTCCTGCATTAAATACATGAATCCAAATACGAAAGATTTCCCCTAATTTCTTATCGTTGGCGTTCCACGGCGTTTTTGAGGTCACCGAACAGCTTGCAATCACATTCTGTACTGAAAGCTCTCGGCAATGTTTGATTTCAAGTAATGTTGCGCTTCTTTTTGTACTGAAACATCCCAAAATGATTGGGTCGATGAAATTTTAGTTACTCCGAACCAACATTCCCTGCAGCATTCTCAGGACCGTCGGCAAAGGGTCTAGACCCTAAACCCACACCCATGCAAGGCAAATGAGAATGTAACAAAGAGTTGAGAACCGTATGATTGGTAGCCCTCCCAACAGGCCGTATATTAAGTTATTGCTGTTCGGATGATTGTCTTTCATTTTGCCTCTATTTACGGAATTTTGCTGTAATCAAGGTTTAGTTCATCCCTCCTTACCTTAAACCCTCAAGTCTTCAGATATTGAACTTGGAAAACAACAATCTCGTATTACCTATGAAACATTAGCGGAGCTGCGTGAAGAAGTTTGAGCTAAGAATTGAAATCTAATTGGTTGGAATGCTTTCGCCTAATGGAAGCAATGAATAAAGAATAAAAGAAGTATAGAGTCGATTCGGAAGGGTTGGAGAATAGATCATGTAATCTAACTTATTGGGCGGGAAGATATCATGTGCTTTAAAAGAGATGGATAAAAAATTAAAATAGAGGGAAGTATATAATTGATTGGAAAGGATTGGTGACGGCCAGGAGACCAAATGGTTCGATACATGAGACAAGATAGAAACGAATGTATTTAAAAATAATTGATTAAAGATGACTTCAAAACTAAATCATGTGATCAAATTGGTTTACTGCATACAACAACCTACGAGAGCATAAGTATCGAGTTGCAGAAAATTTGTGATATGAGCTTTCGAAATCAATTGTGGCCGATTGGAGAGAAGATGAGGGCTAGAGAAAAGAAGAATGGATTTTACTCGAAGTATACAGAAGATTTCCTTTCCATTATCAACTGAAAATATCGAACAAGAACCTTGCAAAGAAGTTCGTGCTGGAATACTTCTGTAGCTTTTGGTAGGTTTCGGCAAGTTAATGTAAAAGGTAACCGGGTAAAGCATGGAACTTTACCTTTACCCTACCTTTTACGTTATTCATGTCACTACTGTCTACCTTTACTCTTTAACTTTACCTCGGGGTAATTCCCCGGTTACCTGTTATGGATTCTTCAAGATTTAAAAGTTATCCTTAATTCTGGGTTACCCCATAAATCCGTTGATAGAGTAATTTATCCGTTTAGTAAATTGGTAATTTGTCAAACTAACATCCTATAATTGTGTGTTGTTTGGAGAACATGTATAAAAACTTCAACTGGCCTGAAATTTCTTGACCTGCTATCACCTTCAGCCATAAACCATGTATTGAGAGCCCATAAGATTACTGCAACTAATGTGAAAGAAAAGAAAAGAAATTAGCAAGTGACAATAATGCAAAATTCAATTTGCCATTAAAAAACTCATCAAGCACTTCATTCTCTTCTTGTCCTCCATCCAGTCCCGTGATGGAGTAAAGAGTTCTCTCTAGATCATATGTGTCGGAGTTCGTCATGTGCAAGAGCTTAACCTTTAACTCCTTATCTACATTTCATGCTTTCACGAGATTATGCAGAACACCTATTGCATTAGGAATTATCAATGCGCGTTAAACCTGCATTGCTGTTTGTTGGATAACGTCTTCAGGGAAAACGTTCAGAATTACATTCTGAGTAATTCTGAAAGGATCCACGTTTTCATTTTTTGTGGGCACGAGGGTTACCCAATAATTACTTACTGAGTAACCGATTTGGCTCTACCTTTATCTTACCTTTACGTTAACCAATAGCCAAACCTCTAACTTTTACCATTTTACCGGGTAACACTAAAATGTCACACTGCAACTTGACAAGTCAGAAGATCGAATATTTTTGGAGTTTTGTTACGCCTGCGAAGGAAGTTATGTTTTGATATATATCTAAACATCAAAGAGATTGCGCTCCAAGGCAACCAGGGAACAAGGGTAGTCGATCGCTTTGGTAGTTCAGTCATAGCAGAAATTGGAGATTGTTGTAGTGGGATCACTATTTGAGTTAAATTATATGCTTGCTATATTTGTTAAGATGTATTTTTGCAAGGACATGCTTCATGTACATCTATGCTTGATTGTAATTCACAATTCAAAAATCACAAAATAGATTCGATCTGGCAATTGATCGAAGCGTTTACACTTTTGATACATCATAAGGCGGAGAAGGAGAGAGAAAGTCAAACGGCAAAGGTAGATCTTGAAAAGCTGTGCAAGATCAAGGACGCTGAGTCTAACTTTTACAAGAATAGAGATTCAAAGATTGATTGAATGCTTCGGCCGCTGGTCATTTGCAAGAATGTGACATACGCTTTGCGGTCTCATGTGCGCTCTGGGCATATCCATGCAACCTTCAATCAGTCGGACGTTAGACAAACTGTTTCACAAGTTGGACTCTAAAGTTCAACAGGCTTGCTTATGATAGCTCCAGTGTGCATGCAATTAGGGAAAATTACTTCAGACGTATAGAAGATGAAGTAAGGAAGGCTACTCCGCATCTGGTCAATAGAGATTTGTTTTACAAGATTGACTGAAGCCCCATTGCTACTGTCCAATAGTTTCCACTCAATTGTGAAGCTGAAAGAAAACAAACCATGTGGTGATGACATGTTCGATAATGTGGATATCTCCCAATAGCTCGACAGATAATGATTTTCCTAGTTTGCGTTCGACCGCTTACTTTACTGATCTCTGTACATCGTGAGAGTTTGGTCGCCAATGATCATGCAGATGGTTTCGCTAGTATCGAGCTCATGTACTTCAGAGATTTGTGCGAACCCTGCCCCTTCGTTTCAGGTTCTTGCCAGACACAACGCTGCCATAGTTTCCACACAATTGCTGCGACTAAAGATAGCGAGCATTGTGAAGTGGTAAGTTGGATTGACTATAACGAAGATGGAATTTATCAAGCTTTCATGCAAGCCCTCCTTTGGAGAAAGCACAACCAACAGCTTTACATCTTCTTCCTCAGGTTATTCGAACGAAAGGTTTCTACAGAAAGCTAACAATCTCATCCATGGTTTTATTGACCATTAATTCTTCTCGACGGCTTACTTTCATATGAAATGTCGATGTTGTCTTCGAATTTTCTTTAGCTTTCAACGTACATGTCAGCGAGTTTCCTCAATAAACTGCTTCCTAGTCAAAGAAAGTAAGATTCCTCCCGTCCATAGATTGGGCCGTTTCCTGTTGTGTTATGTTCATCCTGGTCCTGGATTATTTCTTGCATAATGAGGTGTATCGTTGTATTTTGCAACAAATATATTTAATCAGAAGAAATATCTGTTAACTTTTTCAAATTTGAAAATTGGTACCTTTAATTTAATATTAGAACTAATCGTGTTATATGTACATATTCATATGATATATTCTCAAATCATAAATATGGTAAATATCTAAACTTCTTATATATATTTTTAGATCTATTGAGATAAAGTTGATAAATTATGGGTATAAATTTTGATTTGGATTTTTAATGATATAATTGAGGTGAGATGAATTTTGATTTTACTTTTAATTTGAAAGCAAAATTGATGACAAAAAGCTTACAGTAGTTCGTTATACCAATTGGATTGTTCATTTTATTACCATTTCAATCAATTTTTAATGCGTACTATTTTGGGACTAGGTGTACATCTACCATTCCAGCACGGATTTTGTAACGAACAGTATAATGGTATGCACTCCTTTCCATTCTATATTTCGACTAGTAGCACACTGTTTCAAAGCTCATAATAGAATATATATAAATCGACAATTCATTCACCGTGTTAGATACAAATTTCTCTGCATGTTTTGATCAGACTTTTGTCATTTATTCCATACCATCCATGTTCATGAAGGGACGAACAAAGATATGGATGTGTGCATCACGTCATATTTACAATCTATGTACTAACATATGATCATGTACGAATTAGCAAGGTTGCATGAAACAAAATAATTCCAAATTGTCTTGGAACATTGGTAAGCAATCCAATTTTGTCTTGATAGTGTAAGAATAATCATACTTGCACATAATTATAAAAAATATTAAATTTTGAATTATTCATCATTCGATACATTGAGCACTCCAAATTATAGTTGAACTAATATATGTAGGCTTATCTTCCACTAGGAAATTTTGAGTTTATATATATATAAAATCTCAGATTTCTATTCTAACTGGATTGTGGTATCTCTGAGCTTTACATCCTTGAGAAATCTTACGCTGATTGGTACAAACTTCGCAATAAAGGTCTGGCAGTTGCCACTTGATACACATGTTGGGTTACTTTCATTCGAGAGTGTTTGTTATTCTCAGTTGGAAACACATGAAGTGAACAAAAGACACTGGGCTTCCTTTCTGTTAATATTCCATGAAAATCTATTTCAAAGAACTTGATAGATACTTATCTGATTTCTTTGGTTGTTTTATTTTTCTTTCAAATAAGTTTAAATATTTTTAGTACTGAAACTTGTTAGAAGATCTTTCAACACATATACAGGATCCCTGAAAAATTTAGAAACTAAAACCTTGTGTCCCAAAGCTTTATGTCGGGCAGACCAATGCGGGTCAGCTAGAACATCATGTACTTTCAAATTTGAGAGACGGACGACATGATCTAAAAAATCAAATTGAGCTCAGCAAGAACCGAGGGGGAATTAAACGTTGTGACCGTATATTGACTCCTAGTCTAATCGACAATTACAATGCACACATGATATCTATTGAAATGCTTACGTTTCATTACATCGGTCCAAATAACTGGAATATCAGTTTCTTATATTTGAATCGTTTTCATAATCTATATGATCATCATTGACTTTTCGCACAATTGTCATCCAAGAATAAACTTAATACAAATAACAACTATTCATGCTTATTCATATATTGTATGATAAATTTGTCTTGATATGAAATATGCACATGAGATAGTAAAATTTTAAATTTATTTCACCTGATTTCATTGAAGTATTGTTTATAAATTTTATTTTCTTGATACTTGAGTCATATCACATCCTACCTAAAAGTTGAATTTACTAGTTTATTAGCCCAATTTAATCCGAATCGGGCCAATTGAGGAGAGTAGAACTTTAGAACTGATTTGTTTCTTGTCTCGGTAGTTCCTTGCAGCTCACGAATGCCTTGAACTAGACTAGCCACAGGAACTTGTGGTACCTGTAAGGAAGCAGTAGTTTTTTTCACCTGGAACCAACTGTCCGCTTAGTTGACAAACTCCAGACCGGTAATCTCTTTTCCATCATAAAGCTGGAGTGCCGCATCTGCAACTAGCTGCGTGCAACCAAAGCCAAGTTTTCTTCGGAGATAAGTCACTAGGGAATTCAGACTTTTGACTTATCCATGCAAAGTATGAACTTGCTCTCTCTAAGAACATCGTTATGAAATGAACAAACGACATGTGTATCTCATGGCCTGGACAGCTAAAACGATCCTACAGAGATGGATCTCAGCTCGAGCAGAAGCAGAACAAGGATTTATCATCTACATAGACATTGCAGAGTGGCTCCAGATTGAAGAGTCGATGGACTTTTAGTGGTGATAAAATTCTATCGGTTGAAGCAAGTAGCTACAGCTTGCAAACATTTGAATTGTTCAGGAAAACAACAGACTGGAGTCACTTTTGTGAATGTTCTTCGTGTTGAAATAGAAGCACGACAACATTCATGAGAAACGCATACCTGACCCATCTGTAAGTACGAGTACTCTGTAACGCCCGCAACATGCGGTGTTACCACCACATTAGGAAGATGTACGATGGGATCTTTGGGGTCGATGGGTTCAACCCAAGTTACATCCGTGGCCAGACCTCCAAGATGACCTGATTTCAGGGCTTCACTTACGGCAGTGTAGTCCATCAGACCTCCACGGGCAACATTCACCAATAGCGCACCCTGGTACCACAATATTGCATGTCAATCTGTACATCTCAATTGCAAACCAACACGCACGTGCATGAAAGTCCCAAGTAATGTACTCAGCTTGGTTTACCGTGTACATTGATTCATCGAATACTCAAGTCCGACATGAGAATCTGATCTAAAAAGTCTATACTGAAACAACTTTCCCACGCTGAATATACGTGATATTCATGCAGGTAACATGTTAAAATAAGTATAGAAAATCACAAAACTTACAGGGTTATACACAACACTCAGAACACCACCTGTAGCAGAATGTTTGTCCACTGGCAGCCAAGGGAACAAAATACATAATGAGCGAGAAATTGAAACATCTGAGGGGCTTGAAATCTCTACCATTTTCATGCTTGCCAAAAAATCTTCATTTACCATCCCTACCTGCGAACACAGCAACATGTCAAATTTCCGTACAAGTCATGAAGTAGAGTCTCTTGCTTCATACTTTGAATATGATTGGATGATTTGGGATTCCAATATTTTCGTACAAGCCAAAATTTATGATTCTCTTTATAAGCTTTTAGAAATGATGAAATTCTCACCGTTTTGGGACTTTGAGTACAGCAAAGAACGACGATATCTGATCTGCTGAGAAATTCATGAAGGTGTTCCATGCCACCCTTTTCATCGACAAAATCGTCCATAGGAATGGTCCCATTGCTTACAAGCGAATGCTTCATTACATTTTCACTACCTGTTCAATCAATCGGGAACCATCAAGTAAGCCCCTTCGACAGAACAGCTCCCAAACGCAGAGAGAGATTGTATATCGAAGATTGCACGTCTGAACGGTTCTACTGATGAATTGCAGAAAAGCTTACTGCTTACTACTGTGAAGCAGTCAACAACATACAATGCTATGCCTTTCTATAGAAGAGAAAAGTTCTTCACCTGCTGCAATTGGGTACATCTGGTTCCATGACGGTCGCACAGCTAAAACTCGAACTCCGAAGGCTTTCAAGCGCGGAGCGAGTTCCTTGCCTATATTTCCGTATCCCACGATAAGAACCTGCGCAATCCGATGCAAATCATTATGCTCAACAAACCAGACCTCCGGCTGAATGGTGCAAAGTTTGACTCTGCAAGCAAAACTCAAGACCAAGACAAGGATGACAAAGAAAGCCAATCCATACCATTAACAATTTGTTATGAAATATCTGCATACAATATCATTGTTGTTGCTTGCTCTAGTTCCTTGGGTTTTGTTCCTGATTCAGCAAATGACGCCACATGCTTCAAAGCTTCTCGACATCAAAGCTTTGTACTTTGTACAGTCCGTGTTTCCGACTTGAGTCCCACCTACCTACATATAAAAAGCATGACCCTTGCTTGTATGATTCCAAGAAAGATCAAAGATGCGTTGTCACAATGTAAACACCGATTGATGGTGTTGGCCACCAAGCGATGTACAACAAGTGAGAGTGAGAACATGTACATGTTTTGTCGTAAAAAAGGGAAGGTAAGTTGCAGAAATGGCTTATTCCCGCGCTGGAAATCTGCAGATTAAAGCCTCACCTTACACCCAAATAAAGTTCGTCCTTCTGGAATTCCTAGTGATCCCTCTTGCACAGACTTTGTAAGGCCTTTCTGCACGCAGATGCAACCAGGTAAGTGACCAAGCCGAACATTGTAATGAGAGAGATAATTGATAATCATATCAACCGAATCTATCTATCAGTTAGTAGATTCAAGCCCCTTCTTCTAGGATTGGAACAATCTTCAGACATGGTTGGCAACTTACCTGATCTCTAAGAAGGCTAAGCATAAGGAAAATCGCATGCTCTGCGCATGAAAGAGCATTTCCTGTGGAGTCACTTGGGATTCTTCCAACCTTGATTCCCATCTCTGTGGCAGTTTCAACATCAACCCCTGCCTCACCAAACTAGTGTTAGATACTCACATTCAGACGACCGTATTGAGCAGAAAGAAGTGCGACGAGTGCACTAAACAACTGTCAGCATGTAGAGAGAATTGAAGAAGTCCGATGTTACTAACAAGATGCTCTGTAACTATAGATGCGAGAGCAGGAGTTGAATTGGGTGGATTCAGATTCCAACCACACAAGCTACGGCAGCGGGTCGCTGACACTTTCAGCAATCCAACTCCTCCACAGACGCCAGATCTCTGCTTGCTCTTCCTGGAATTGGAGGGCCAAAATGACTACATTGTTCTCTACGCAAATTCCTTCGCACCAAGAACCAAGTGAAGCGCACAACTTGCCAGAGAAAGGAAAGCCAGAAGCAGAGATTCATACTTTCGAGCCCCATGCCGAACTGGGTGATGAGCTTCAACCTGGATGCCTTCAAGAGCGTCTTTCGGTCCAAATTCCCCATCCGACAAACGCACATGTCGTATTCATGAATCTTCTCCGCGATTTCATCGAGAGGCAAACAATCAACCTGCAGATCCGATCAGACTCTCCGTGAGTCCTCGCCCAGCAGCAGCAGAAGCCCAGAGGTGCCATTGGCGATTGAGCTCACGGACGCCGCCGTGATCAGATGCAGCACAAACAGATGCGTTCGCAAAGGCGACAAAGAAGAGCGTCTTTTCCAAAACTCACGAGAATGTGCGGATAAGATTTGAGTGCTGCGCAAGTCCGAGATACAGCGGTCGGGAAGACTCCGACGCCGCAGAACAGAAGCCGCAGCTGCGCAGCCTTGCCGCCGTCCGCCATGCGCCGCGCCTCCTCCAGTTCTTGAGCCATGTTCGACCGCCCACGCTCCGGAGCCGCTGCCCACCGTTAAGCAGTACGCGCTCGATCCGAATCCGAAACGCTGACGCGCGTACACGACGAGACGAAGGGACCATGCAGCCGCGAATGTGTTCCGGCCTCTGCTCGGATCGGCCTCTCGGAAAGCAGCTCGTCTGCTCGTCTAGCCTTCGGGCTAGGGCCCCCTTTTCCGGTACGGCGAGCTCCGCGAAGTGGCGGGCCTCGATATGGCGCTCTCGTCGAGCCCTCTGCCTCGGATCGCCGATGGGTTTATCGATCCGCAGGGGACCTCGGCCCAGAGATCTTGGAGTGCGATGCGCCTCGCAGAAGGAGGAGGATCGGACTGGATTCGAGGGCGTTGCGAGCGTTCCCGACGTGACGGATACCGAAGGTTCGAGATTCTGTTCCCCATCTGTTTGTTTGTCGTGATTGTTTCTTTTTCCGAATTTTGTTTCGCGAGGTGTGTTTGCATTATGGCAGAGAGTGTTTTTGGTGTTTCCCGTTCGCGATACGATGGTGCACTCGATCGTTTCGATTCGATGGCGAGGTGTTGGAGGTGTGACTTTTGCACAGAGGATGAATGAATGAGTTCCGAGTCCACAGAGGTCCGAGAGTGCTCTCGGTGTCTCCCAGTCTCACCCTGCATTTCTACACTGGCGTTGGTTTTTGGTCTGTTGTGTTGCATCAGTTTGTCTCCGAGACTCCGACGTTGTATGCATGAAACACCTCTGGTAAATGGCCACAGTGCAGTCTTCACGTTTTGGGCTCCTCGTTGCGAATTCGAGTACTCTTGAAGCAAAGATGGAGTGCATCAGAGATTGGAGGGGTTTTAGCGCACAGGCAATGGAGAACCAGCTGATATGACCTTGATTATGATCTAAGCTCCCAACAATGCTATTCTGAATGTTGCAGGACTTTCTCAATACTTTAACATGCTGACAGTATTGTGTTGTACTCTTAACATTGACGTTGACCCTACCTTCAGCTGTGATGTCTTTGAGCTATGAAATGAGCCTATTTTTGTGGGTTTTTGATGATTGTGCCTCACCATTATTGGAAGACTGCAGGTATCTTGCCTCCTAACTGGCCAACTGTGGGTCTTGCCCTTTTCGGCTTGGGATTTCTGCTGGGACCACCACTCGATGGACTGCACTCGAGGGTCCAGCTCCAGATATATGATGTTGCGGCCGTCGACATTTTGGGTCTCAAAACGAGCCTGTGGGTAAGTTGTAGCTATTCTGCTGTTGTTGTTTTGGAGCCAGTTTCAGGCACTCTCAGTTGTTACAAAGGTTTTGAACATGCTCTTTAGAACTCCCTTTACTGTCAACGGGAAAGGTCATGGTTTCAGATTTTTCTCGTGTGTTCGATCAGGTGCCTCCTTTGCTGGGCGTGTTCTACGCTGTGGTCGGATTGATACAGCTCGCACTTGATAGGTCATTGGCGCCCAGAGACACAATTCCAAAAGCCGATTTGAGAAAAGTCATTACCTCTTTTCTGTAAGTCAAATTGTAGTCTCTTTCTCGGTATTCTATTATCTCTGAAAGTTTACAACATTCTGGATATCTGTAAGTATTCGTCCAAGCGAATTTACGAAGAGAACTATAACAGTTTGCTTGTTAGACTGCCTTACTGGCCAATTACTGTAGGTGCTGTCTATTCCTTTATATATAAATAAAGAAATAAATAAATGAGAGAGAGAGAGAGAGAGAGAGAGAGAGAGAGAGAGAGAGAGAGAGAGAGAGAGAGAGAGAGAGAGAGAGAGAGAGAGAGAGAGAGAGAGAGAGAGAATGTGGCTGACAATATTACTCCATGAGGCAGAACATTGAGCCTACTACTGGAGTTGAGTGCCGAGATGTACAAGGCCGGAGTACCCTACAACATCGAAGCGTACATACTGTTCGGACTAGCAGAATTGAACTGGTTACTATTAGAGAACACTTGGTGGGGGTTTGCTCTTGCTTGCTTTGTAGGAGTGGTTTGCCCACTTGCCGAGATACCCATTCTGAAGTGAGTGTTAGTCAAAATTTCTCAGTTCATGAAGTTTCTGCGATAAGTGGCCTGTTGGCAATTATCGACTTTGAGTTGAACAAACTTGACTTGCTAACTGACTATGGCTAACTGTGATCGGCTGGCGGTGTCTCCAGGTTGTTTGATCTCTGGCACTACCCAAAAGCCAATCTGAGCATTTTTGGTGTAGTAAGTCCATAACCTCACTGATGATTGTTTCAATTTTCATATTAGTATCGTCCGTAGTTTCACAAGAACAGATCTGTATGTATGTGTAGATAAGACAATGCAAATGTGGTCAGACTGCGGAACACAACCTGCTTTAGAACTGTAGAATTCTTTGTCGTTGTTTCGGTACAGTTTATTAGTGAGTTTCAACCATACAGTCTTTAGCTTCAAACTTACAAATGGTGGAGTGTATACCAACGCAATACAGCACGAAAACTCAATGAGAATGACGAGAACCATACGCATGTTTCTTGGACTGGATCTCCAGCGTCAGGAGATGAGATTGAAAATATGAAACTCAGTCTCCATGCCATCTGGAACTTTTTCCTGTACTGTTTACTTTATACGTGACTTATAAGCGCAGCTCTGATGGACTGACATGCGTATCCCTTACTTCTCGTATTTCTGAATGTTGTACAGGGTGTCATCACGTGGGTGGTTTGCTGCTACTTTTTCTACACTCCTTTCATTGGCAACCTCGCAAGGTGGCTAAGCCAAGAGCTGAAAAAGGGTTCATCAGACTGAAAATAGTGTTGATAATTCGTAATAACAAAAACTCTCTCATCAACTAGCAAAATTTTGTGGGCCGGAGGAACTTCGAATCTGTCTGTGCGCTTGGCTGTGTGAAAGAGGGATCACAGAAGTGACAGGTTACAGATTTGAATCCACATTTTTAGAAAAAGTGGTTGGTAGAAGGATTGTAGCAGTAACATGAAAGATGTTGGATACAACTTTCAAATTACATGACTGATTGTGAACCACGAGAGGTTTTTCCCCTAGCTCCAAACTCACTGCATAAATGGGTCATTGAAGGGCTTATTTCTAGTAACTGCTGTATTACGTCTAAACCTGTAAATCTAAAATTGACATTTAATGGCATATTTCTAGCAACTGCTGTACTACGTCTAAACCTGTAAATCTAAAATTGACATTTAATGAGTTCGCAGACTGATAGACTGGAGCGTGTCGAAAACGTTTCATTATTTACACTGTTGCAAATTTCGACATCATCATGAGTTTGGGTACATTTGCTTTCACAATAGTATGATTTCAATGACGTACAAGCTGATTTGGTATATTTGCTTTCAAAAGTGTATAATTAGAATAATGTACACCGGTGACTTTGACAAAGCAGCTTCTTCGTGAAGAGGTAAGCCACAAAATTTTATCGATAGACCCCACTTTTTTCTAAACCTAAAACAGTCTACTTGTGTTTTGATTATTGCTTCCAACAGGGAAGATACAGTTATATCCTGTTCGAATTTTTTCTGCAGTCTGCAACCCATGTATGAAATATTGTGTTCAACATGGAATGTACTCGGCGCGATATACTGTTTGCCACTATAAATTGACCATGCAATCATACGGAATGATTTGTACAATCTGACAATGGGGATGAATAAAAACAATTTAATAATTGTTGAAGAGAAACAGATATATATAGCTCGCAGAAACTTTCTTTGTTCTGTTGTGAACTATTTACTTAGAACAAACATAAGTTTCGTAATCTCCATATACCGACACTTAAAGAAGGGCCCGAGTGTCCAACTTTTGCCAAGTGTACACAAACTTCAATTGTGCCTGTTAAAGATTACATCGTAATAGTAATTCCAGATGGCCTAACTAAACTATCTACTTAGTTGACTTCTGTACAAAGTTAATACCCTTCTCTATACTGTCTTTCAGCTCGGCCTTCAATTTTACCAGTCCTTGTCTGCGAGACAACACAAAGTGTCCACATGCTTCTGTCAGATGAAGTTCAGACCCCATGTTCATCCCAATCTTCTGAACAGCATGGAGCATTAAACCTTCACTGAGTCAAAATGAGACATCTCACCTTTCATACTCATTCAAAGGACCCAAAGGGAAGATTTCTTCAATTCCACCACGTCCCATCCTTACTTTGGTGGCAAAGAAAGGAAGCTCCGTTACCTACAGAAAAGAAAACATTAGAATTTGCAATGGTGGAAAGAGACAATCAAATACGTAATACATCAACAAATGGTGCTCACTAGATGGAGTGTCCAACAGATGAATCTACTGGGGCTAAAGCTTATCATACCTCTGAAGCAACGAAGGCACACTCCACAACATCACTTTCTCCTCTCATCCCCCGCAAGGCTGCTTCCGCAAATTTGGCAGCAGCATAGGCCTGCAGTTACGATACAGACAAAGTTAAAACATATGCGAAGCAGAATTTTTAACTCAACACTGACACTACGGCATGATGATGATCAAAATTTTTTTCCTAGCAAAAGCAAGGAATATAACTTCGAGACTTGAGATCTTACCATGGATAGAGTTGCAGATCCTGCGCCTGCCTTGGCCTGAGAGCAAAGAAATATGGCGATGTTACTAATTCAGCGATAGCATCAGGAAAAGATCTTCAAGGACCTCCTCGTAAACAATTAAAATGTACACTCCAAAAAGTAAATTTCTCTGCGCATACCTCAACAACTTCGGTTCCTCCATTTTGAATTCGATTTGTCAGATACTCCACTTCATCTTTGGAGAAGGAAAATGGAGGAGACACCTGGAAAAAAATAATTCCGCATTAAATTACACCATCCAGTAGGAAGCTGCCGAACTGCTCTATTCTACTGCCGAAGAAATTTCTACACAAATAACCGATTGAATGAATGAATACGAGAATCTGCATTATCAAATGTCCTCGGTCTATTAGTTGGTACCTGAGACAGAATAGGCAAAATTGTGATTCCTGCATGTCCTCCGTATACTGGGACGTTCACTTCCTTTGGGTCCACTCCAATTACTTCGGCCTGGAACACATTGGCAAGATAAGGGAGAAATAAACACTCATTTTCACAAAGAGTGCCAATATTGTAGCGACAGTATACATTTGCAGCTTTCACACAGCAAGAACAAACTTTTCTTGTAAAGTAAGGGACTTTTCTAGTAAAAAGAGGCTAGACTAGCTGAATTGGCTGTAGTATAAGCAGCTGCGTCTTCAAACTGAACCAGAACATAACAACATGTAACGGCGTAAGAGAAGTGCAACTCACCACAAATGTGTTGGCTCGTACAACGTCCAACGTTGTCACACCGAATAACTTCTTCGGATCATAAACACCAGCTTTCTTCAAAACCTCAGCAGCTATGGGTACAGTCGAGTTTACAGGGTTGCTAATAATGGCGACTATGGCCTTCGGGCAGCTCTTGGCAACACCTTCAATAAGAGTTTTTACAATTCCAGCATTGATATTGAACAAATCATCCCTAGTCATTCCAGGTTTTCGAGGTACGCCTGCTGGGATGATAACCAAGTCAGCACCCTCAAGTGCTGCGTTCAATTGGGCTTGCCCCAAAAAACCCCGTACCACGGCAGTGGTGTCGGTGTGGCTGATGTCTGCGGTGACTCCGGGAGTGTTGACGACATCGTACAAGTGCAGGGTTGAAACCAAAGGGTTCAATTTCAAAAGTAAAGCCAAAGGCTGTCCAATGCCACCACAAGCCCCCAGCAAGGCCACCTTGAATCCTGCTGATGCTCCTTTCGCTCTTGTGTACTCTCGCCTTATCGAAGACTCCTCCGTCCTCTGCCGGCCACAAAAATCACCATGGATTAGAACAAATAGCCTTCTTCGGCTATGACACACCTGCAAACCCATGCTTGAATTCGTTTCCAGAATCCACAGCATGAGCCTCTTAAGTAAATAGTAGACGCGAATTCACAAGAAGAAGTTCACTGCGTCATCGATTGTGTTAGCCATAATTCCACCCACAAAAAATCGCAGATCCACAACGTCCGTTCGTTTACAAATCCTGCACAATTATGTGAGAAGAGCAGCAAGAAACACACCAATCTTCCTCATGATACACATCGAGTACCGAAGTGGAAGAACCGAAGCAATTGAGATTCTAAACCGGGTCGCGACCTCAATTCCAACGCAGAAATTTTCTCCAAAAGTGCACTCCATCGCGGGTGACAAGCCAGGGCTGAAATCTACTCACCACGGGACGCATGTGAGCGGCGATGCGAGCAAGTCGAGCATTTCCGGCCTCCATTGCTGCTGCCACTCGAAACCTCTGCGCTTCCTCTGCGTCCGCAAACTCGCTACTCTCTGGCTGCGAGAGGGTCAAATTCTATGGAGGTGTGCGGTTTTTCAGTTCTGTATCATCATTGGTCGTCCGCGCACAGCCAAGTAGGATGGATATGAAATGAGCATGCGGTGGGGAATCTGATGAGGCCAGCCACTTTATACTCGCTTCATCGGATCTTAATCCTTCTGTCGCACGCACATTCATCCCCTCTCTCCATCTCCACTGGAAGCTCTGCTTTTCTCCTCGCCTCTAGCCTCCCCCTCCTCCTTCATGCACCGCACGCCTCCCCTCGACTGCTGGCCCACATTACCCTCCACTCGTCAACTTTATCCCCCTCACCTCACGCTTCCCTCCGACTCTCGCCCCCCGCCGCCTTTCTCGTTTCTCCTCTATCTCTCTCTCTCTGGACTTATCCGCTCCTTCGGCGGGTTTGGCGAAGGTCTCGACTGGCGCCGGATTAGCGGATCCGCTGGGAGGGCGACTGCAGCTTGGCCCCTTGTCACTCAATCTTTTCTCGGATAACGTGATACGGCCTTCATAAACCTTCGATACAGAGCGCGAATTTTTACCTGTTTTAATAGCCTGCTAATCAGTATGGACATGAATTGTCTTCACTTCTTTGCGCATAATTAGTTAATCACTAACCGACTGTTTTATATAGCAATAAGCCAGGTATGTTAAATGACAGGTAGCCTCAATTTATGACTTAGTTTTTTCCATATTTTTTCTATAGCGACATGCAAATATAAGGATTACCTTATCGAATAATATTATATACTCTGGTGCTCTAAGGTATTCTAAGATAGTCTACAATCTTATTTTGATGAAACTTGGTTCGGTTTGCGCTTTGTGCTACTTGATAGAATATATCCCATATATATCATGTTATCAAACTGGCCCCGCAGTCCTCTCGTGATTCGTGCAAGGATAAGAAAATGGTTGTTTTTATGGTGGATTTTCAGCATTTCGGACATCTAAACTTAAGCTGAGATCTCTACACATTTCTCTCGATGCGGAAAGTTCTAGGGGCGAACCATCCGGTGATTTCGCTCATCTTGAACGGGGTTTGTCGTTTTTGGTTTCGTCTGTGTCTTGTCCTTGCATGTGCATTTCACGAGGAGTTGATTCCACTGTAGTCTAACGTATTTGAATGAGCTTCATCTTCCATCATACGTAGATCTTCGGTTCAATGTATGATTGCAGTTCTTGAGCGTTGAACTCTTCGCTTCGACACCATGGAAGCTCGACAAGAGCTTTGTATAGGCTATTTAGAAGAGAAAAAATTATGGAATAAAAGTTACTGACATGAACAAATTTGGATGTCACAGGTCACTTACCATCAGATGCGTTTTTACATGTGTTATATATATATATATATATAAATATAGATTTTTTAATTGATGATTCTTGATTGTAATGTGATCTTTAATGATATAGCAGCACGAATAAGGGTTGATTTTGGTGTATGTCCTTCCATAGCATCTGGTAACTATACATGTAATCAAAATTGGGTAAATTTAGTTACCCAATTTCGATTACACGATAATTTAGTTACAAGACCTTAAAAAACATAGTTATAGTAACTACAGTCGCACTGATGGTTGTGATTTATTTTTTAATAGTTTAAACAAAATTCAAAAGCGATTACATTTTTATGTTTTTATCTCGATAGTATGCTTAAAACTAGATCACACATTGAATGACTAACGTATTTATGTCAAGCTCCTAGTACCAGTCGCTGCAGTCGGATGAGAAGGAATGATAACTTAGAAGTTCAAAATCTATTACATGATGACCTCTCAAAAGTAAATCCTCAAACTTGTTCAAAAAGTTTTGAATGATCTGGATGAACTTTGACAAGAATTCAAAGTACATATTACTTAGCTTACTCTTGCGCATACTCAAATCCAGGATCCCATCAACTAATACAAGAATACTCAAGAATATTCACCAGAGTCCCATCAACTAACTCAAGAATACTCACCAGAGTCCCATTGACTCGCTCTGTCTGACCATTGGTTTGTGGATGATATGGAGTAGTTTTTCGGTGATCTATCTCAAACCTATCTGTTAATTCTTGAAACATCTCATTCAAGAAGTGCCTGCCCCTATCGCTAACCAGAATCTTGGGACATCCAAACCCTGAAATGATGTTTTCGTACATGAATGTGGCAGCATGAGCAGCCGTATTCGTCTTCACCGCCTTCGCTTCCGCCCACTTTGTCAAGTATTCTGTTGCAACTATGATGTAAGCCATACTTTTTGACGAATGAGGATGAATCTCACCAATATAATCAATTCCCCATTTTTCAAAAGGTACAAGAGGCAATGAAACGTGTAGAGGCATCTCCATTCGAAGGTCATTCCTAGCATACCTTTGACAGGCATCACAGCGCTTCACATATTCATGAGAATCCCTAAACAACCTAGGCCAGAAGTATCCTGCTCTAAGTATTTTCTGACCTGTAAGTTGGCCAGAGAAATGTCCTCCACAAGCACTGTCGTGGCAAGCCTCTAAAATTGCAGGAACCTCCACTTCTGACACACACCTTCTCAGAACACCATCAGCTCCCCTTCTAAACAATCTGTGGCCAATCACTGCAAAACGTCTACTGTTGACTCTCACCTTCCTCCTTTTTTCCTTAGTCCAATCACCTGACAACTGCTGAGTTGTCAAAAACTCTACTATTCCAGCGTACCATTCTGGCTGAGCTGTGACTACAAAAAGATTTTCATCTATCAACCTATCATCTAATGGACTGGTCTCTACATCCTCCGACAACCTAGATAGATGGTCGGCCTACAAGTGCATGCGACCAGGTTTATACTCTACAGTGTAGTCAAATTCCTCCAGCAATAAAACCCACCTAGCCAATCTTCCACTAAGCTCCGCCTTGTTCACCAGATATTTGATTGCCATATGATCAACGAAAAAAACGACTGGATTACAGATTTGATAATGTCTAAACTTCTTGACTGAAAAAACCATGGCCAAGCACTCCCTCTCGGTAGTAGAATAGTTCCTCTCTGCTGGATTCAACTGTCTACTGGCATAAGCGATTGGTAGGTCCTTCCCCTTCTCCCTTGTAGACTGACACAACGCACTACCCACTGCTACACTACTTGCATCACAGAAAACGTGAAAAGGCATGCTCCAGTCAGGAGGCCTCAACACCGGATAAGTACTCAACCTGGACTTCAACTCTTCAAAAGCTTCTTGACAAGCATCTGTCCACTCAAACCTATTCTCCTTCCTCAACAATTGAGTAATAGGCACTACAATCTTGGCAAAGTCAGGAATCAACTCTCTATACCACCCTACATGTCCCAATAACTTGGCTACCCCCTTGGCATTCATGGGAGTCGCCAATCCTTCAATGACTGCAATCTTATCAGGATCCGGTTCTCTTCCCTTCTCACTCACAACATAACCCAAAAGAACTCCTCTTTGAACACCTAGGAAGGTCTTCTCAGGATTCAGAGCTAGCTGCATTCTTCTACATCTAATGAGAGCTTCTCTAACACACTGCAGATGCTCAGCAGCACTTGACTGAGTGCTAAAATCGTCCACAAAAACTGTCATAGACTTGTATAACAGATCCGTGAAAATATACATCACCAACCTTTGGAATGTGGCTGGTGCATTGCACAATCCAAAAGGCATAACAACCCATACAAAGGTTCCCCACGGAGTTGTGAAGGCTGTCTTATGAACATCCTGTACAGCTATGGAAATCTGATTGTAGCCAGCATATCCATCCATGAAAGTGTACCTCGCATGACCTCCAACTTACTCCAAAAGCAGCGTGATAAAAGGTAAAGGAAAGTGATCCTTCTGAGTACAGACATTCAGCTTCCTATAATCCACACACACTCTAAGTTTCCCATTCTTCTTCTTGACCAAAACCATAGGAGAAACCCAATCCGTGATCTCTACAGGCTTAATAAATCCAGCTTTGAGTAATCTCTCCAATTCTACTCGAACTAACAACTGTAACTGTGGGTTCATCCTTCTCTCCTTCTGTCTAATAGGCTTAGCTCCAGGGACCAGAGAAATCCGATGCTCCACCATTTCGCGAGGTACTCCCTTCAACTCATCTTACGACCAAGCAAAGGTGTCACTGAATTCGTCCACCAACTCACCATACTTCTGTATCTCATCATTTCCTAGCTTGGAACCCATCTTCATTTGCTTCAGTTCTCCTCCTCTGATGGACACCTCCACATATTTCTAGTCTTCTTCCGCCACATGAGTTTGTTCCTCCGAGCTTTGATACCAATCTGGAGGGATCTGAGGATAGTCCCTGACGTCTTGGCCCACCACAATTCCGGTTGATGTAGTCTTGAAATGCAAGGGTTCCTCCAACTTCGCAGTTTGCACAGTATTCTCCTCCTCTTCAGTTTCATCAACATGCACTAAATCCACCTCAGTAATATCCAATTCGTCCAACCATGGAGTGAGACCTCCATGTATCCACTCTTCCTCCATAAGAACCTCACATGATTCCAGCAACATATACCCTTCTCTCTGTGAATTGATCACCTCCTTCTTGAAAATTTCGTGATGAGAGTTCATCATGGCGTCACAACCCGACTCAGGATAATCTCTCAACCACTGAGCAAACTCTCCATCATCGCTTCTGTTGTAAAAACTAGGACCTAAGCTACCTGATCCTACATCTAATCTATTTTTTCTGTCATTCGAATGAACCACTCCCACTAAAGTGTCATCACACTTGGCCTCGTTTTTCTATTCTTCCTTCCCTGAAGATAACTCAGGATCCTCTCTCACCCTTCCACCTAAGGACCCTATTGACACCTTGACTCTGTTATCCTGAGGACCATATGTGATTGATGGCTTCAGTCCTCCCCAATCCACAATTGCATTAGCCATTCTCAACCAAGGTCTGCCCAATAGAATAGGGAAAGTGTCCCTGTTCGAATGCATCTTAATCACATGAAATGTGACAATGTACTCCTCACCACCAGTGGACAACCGGCAATCTTTAATCATTCCCACTGGTAAAGCTGAAGTCTGATTGGCCATATTGATAATGAAAGGTGAGGGGCCTGTCAAATTCAAACCTAACCTTCTCATAATGTGTTCAGGTAGGATGTTCAAACCACTACCCCCATCAACTAATACATTGGGAATCACCTTGTCTACCACTATCACCTCTATCTCCACAGGTTTGACATCTTGACTTTCTTTTTGCAAATGAACTCTAGCAGCGACTCTAGTTTTC